GGGTGGCTCAGATGGTTAAGCATCTGCCTTCGACTCAGGTCATGATCCCAGGGTCCTGGGATCGAGCCCCGCATCAGGCTCCCTGCTCAGCGTAGAGCCTGCTTCTCCCTCTCCCTCTGCCATTCCCCCCGACTTGTTCTCCCTGGCTCTATCTCTCTGTCAAATAAATAAATAAAATCTTTTTTTTTTAAAAAAGGCATAAAATAGTAAATACCTAGAGAGCTTGTTATATGACAGCCAATGTTCTGAGTGTATTATATGTATTAACTAATTTAATCCTTACCACAATCCCATGAAATAGATACTATAATTAGCCCCATTTTATAGATAGGAAAATTGAGGCTTGAGATCACACAGGTAGGTGGTGGAGTTGGGATTCAAAGGCAGGTAGTTTGTTCAAATATCTATGCTCTGAATGATTCTGCTATATCCCATCTGCTGTACATAATGTAATGCAGTCAAGCATTATGGGATTAATTATTATCAACTGGGATTATTTTTAAATAATAGCACACTATGTCAAACTATTGTATGCATCAAAAATGCACAACTATATGTTTAAGTATTATGTTCTATACAGTTTGCTATTTGGGTTCACATACTCGATATGCTTGAATTACCATACACAATATAGAGGACTGTGCTTTCTGGGAATTTTCCTCCTGCCAGAACCAGTACTTCATTGTACCCTTATACCCCCTTTCTCTCCAAGACTTGGCAACTTGCCTTGCTTCTCAGACAGAGTGTGGTTATACAAGCTGGCTCCTACCACTTCTAGCACCCACTAAGGAGGTTCCATATACAGAGAGACTGCAGTGCCTGAACACTCGGTAGGCTGGACCCAAGCTGGCTTTGGCTTTCCCGGGCGGGGGTGCATGGAAAATCTGCTTAACATCAGGAAGTGTGAAGAAACTAAGTCCCTATGACCAATAAAAGACAGGAGGTGGGACAGAACCAGTGCTCATCCTTCTTTCCCAGGAGGCACTGTTCCAAGATGCATACATACGGTTTTTCTAGGGCCATCTGATACTATGTTGAACAGGCACGGTCAGCTCAAGAACCCACTACCTTGTATTTGCGCTGCCTCTTTCCTTAGATAATATGCTCTCTTTTTCTCCTCACTCTTACTCCCCTGGGATTATATCAACACCCCCCCCCCACAAACCCCCATAAAGTGTTAGCACAGAATCTCTCTGCTCTGTTTTCTAAGAAACCTGGGCTAAGACATGAGGGTATTACTTAAGGATGATAATTTTGGTATATAACAATGCAGTTAGCAGGTTGCTGCAAGAGGCATGAGAACAGTGGCCATCAAAATTCCTTCTCCCTCCCCTCTACGATTCAATAGTACAACAAGCAACTCAACACTTTAGTCCCTAGTTTGGATACCACAGTGCTTCTGTAGTAGAAACTAAGTAACTCCTAAGTTTACCTGATAAAAGGAATCAAGGTTTCAATGTTCTATATCCATAGCTGCATCTTTGATTTTTTTATATATATGAGGGTTGTCTTCGGTAAGATTCAGGGAGCCCTTCTTATTTAAATTGCTTTGTTCCGATGAACAGAACTAAATAAACCCATTCAAAGATCAAATTATATAGCTATTAGAGAGGGTACATCTTACAGCCAATTTATTCTTGCAGGATTGCCAAGGAATGGAATTCTATTCAAAATTAGACCACTGGAGGGGCCAGACAAAGGTGATTTTGTCATTAGGTAGAGCTATATAACATCAGACCTTAAGACATCGGGGCCTAAATTGATTCTTCCACACTTAGTGGTGTATATTTTGGAATACGAGCTGGGTATTGGTCTGAATACTTTAGCAGGTATGATGTCATTTTAGTTATGACTGAGGCCCATCTGGGAGAGAATATAAGTTAGTCTCTTAAGTCTTTTATTACAGAATGTCAACTCTGCCATAGGCGTATTTAGTATTTAAGACACAAGTTATTCTCTTTAATCAACAGTACAGAATAATAGGACCTCAGGGCCTCAGCAGAGAATTCATCTGTGAATTAGAAATTGGGCATTTGCCAAAGGATGATGCAACTTGCCTAATATTTGAGAAAGATGGTCTAGAAGGCAAGTCGATGCTCCATCCCTCTGGCTTATTTAAGCTCCACCGTCATTAATTTCAGTCTTTATTAAGTAATAAATCTATATTATAGCACCTTAATAGTCCACAGAAATGCTTCCGTTGAATTAGCATTTAATGCCACACACTCAGATTTTAGAGAATGGCATTAGGGAAGAAGCAACCGTCTGGGGAACGTTTGTATGTATTTTGCACACAAGTTTAAAGTTTAAAGTTTAAAAATGGGGTTTGTTCTGGTACCAAATCTCTTTGTGAATCTAGATGAGAAAAATCCATGGTGCTCAGACTTGCTTTGACTTGCAACATTATTAATTTGTTGTTGTTGTTATTATTATTTGCTTTGGCTCATAAAAATTCACAGCTAAACAATGCACTCGACTGTACTAATGGACATTTTGAGTCACTGCTAAGATATTTCTTCCCTTTCAGTTATTCCTCGCCTTTTCATAAGATTTAACAGTCCTTTTTGTAGTTTTAGTGTTGAAGTAGTCCCAAATCTAAAAAGGTTATATATACTTAACTAAATAAGCAATAAAGTCTTTAAATAAACAGTTGTAGAGAATATTTACATATAGTATTTCGATGGAGCAGGGAATTAAAATTATCAAGTTAAATCTCTTTGCAAGTTTTAACAGAATCCTACCAGTAAAACATAGATGTGATGGAATAAGAGCTGGCAAATATTTTAAGCATTTTAGTCCCCATTTCCCGTGTTTCATGTTTCTTAAGCTTTGTTTCTTTCCTCATGGAAATTATAATGCCCCTTTTTAAAAATGCCTACTTCATTCTTCATATTTTCATTGAATAGTTACAGATAAAGAATTTAACTGGAAAGTACAGCAACTATTAATAATCAGTCAGTTATGGGAATAAAATTCAATTATCACACACTATGTTATTCCCAAATTTATTTAACATAATTTAAGAGTTCTTGAAATTGCCAGATAACCTCTCAGATTTATTATAACTTAGATGAAAATTCTATGAGACTATCTCTAAAGGATATTAAACAACCAGAAACTTCAACTAAAAAGTCTGGTATGTTACTAAATTTATAAAGAGAAAGTAATAATCCAGTTGTCTGATCAAATTTTCAGTAGTTTTGTTGGTATCACAGAGTCAACCTCAGACAAGAGTGTCTTCATAGGTTAGCGAGCACCTGCACATCTCTGTTTCCCAACTTGGCCGAGTTTCTATTGCTTACTCACAGAGGACATATTTTGTGAAACGTAGCATGCTACACAAATTAGACATACATAGTAAGTTATAGTCCCAAATCACATGGAAATTCAGTAAAATATCTGGTTAAGAAGTACAAATTCCCCAATCTTGTCTATGGTGTTACGCTTATAAGTAGCAATCATAAGAAATTTTAAAATCCTGTTTCATGGGGGACAGTTATACCTGCTGGTTTATAGTCTCTTTCCTGTGACTGAATGCCAGGCTTCACCACTGTGTGAATGTCTCGCCCATCATCCTAAATCCAGGGCAGGTAGCCTGTTCTCTCAGGTCAGGCTCCATGTCCTCACCTGATTTCTTGTCTTCACTCTGACCTGAATCCTATATGCTAAAAGCAGATTCTACTAACCATTCCTAGACTTCTTTTCTGAATTGGGAACTTCTCTAATGTCACCAGATTTGACCCTATTCACCAAACTGGATTTGCTTTTAGATTCCCCTGAAACTGCATTCCTCTTTCAGAGGAAGATGGTTTTCTTAACCAGCAATGCCTTCTGATTCTGACCTTCCTTATCTACCCTTATCCCACAGATATCCACACTCTTGGGGCATGAAGTTTGGTGCTAGGACATTAAATCTCTGGCTACTGTTAGGAGGTCCCTTCATGCTTTCCACCCTCAATCATCCACAAGAATTCTATTTGAGATAACTAGTGATAAAAGCATAAATACCAACTTAGTATCACCCTCATTATTACCTACTATTTAAGCCCAGAATATATTATTGTTATGTCTATTATAAATCATTAACTATTATATCCATCCAACTAGAGCTATATCTGATAGCTGTATGAATTCAAATTTTTAAATTTATAAGGATCATAGTGTAATGATAATATATTCCTCCAAATATAAGAGTGAGTTAAAATATTATCATTTGTTTCTTCTAAATAGATTCTTCATGACATTCTAAATTCATTTTAACAGCAATTTTTTTTTAAACTAAAGCCATGATGGATATTTTTTCCCCCTGGGATGTTCTGATCAATTTTCCTATGAATTAGTCTCATGAAAATAAACTGTAAGCCTAATGGGGTTCCTACCAAAGAAAAAATTTTGTGATGCTAGATCAAAATGGTTTTTTTTTTTTTTAGCAAATGTTCCAAGCACTTAGCTATTCAAAATATATTAAGAGATAGAAATAATCATCAAGTGCTTCCCTGTAATGAATGCTGAAATCAACATTAACATCATGGAACATCGTCTCCAGTTACTAACTGGAGAGATTACTAGCACAACGGGAAAGTAGACTTCTTTCCCATCTCAGCAGTGATGCCATTTATCATGTCTTTTTTTGAGTAACAAGACTTGTATTAAATAAGCATCAAGAGGGGATGAGGCCAGAATGCGGTCCTGAAAGGTCCCGAGCTAAAAGTTAATCAGCTAAAGGGCTAGCCCCTTTTTACCTGAGCACAGCATGCAGCCAAGAGTTCACATGTAGGATAAAATTTCAAATTATGAGTCATTTAAACTCCAAGAAGAATAAACCTATGTCAAGGAAGGGGTACTGAAGAGACCAATTGCATGGGAGCTACAAACTTGTAAAAAAGATCGCCAAGACCTTTTATTACAAAAGAATCCAAGATGTTGGGTCTAACAAAGGTAAATGTCACAAGAAACCAAAACTCAGACCCAGACAAATACACACATATATATAGTTTTACCTTGCTGCGTTGGGATCCTGTGACCTTAAGGAAGGATGTGGACAAGAAGCAAAATAGCAATAAACAATTGCTCGGAAGACAACTGGTAGACCATAAATGGTGTGCACTTCAGAAAACACAGTATTATTTGCTGCTCAGAGCTCATTCTAATTTACCTCAGTTTCTTATCAATAAAGACGGATTTGAGAATAGGACACACATACATTAGAAAAGATTATAGTGTCACATAGGAAATTAATCTGATGGCATTTTTTCTCAGCAAGAGTCATGGGTTGTTCTCAGATTAGCTTTTGTACTTTCTACACACTGATTTCAATGCTGCAGAGATGCTATGTCAAATTGTTCCTGGAAGAGGCCCTACTCTATGTCCACCCCTCAACCTGTACCTTTCAGTAGGACCACTGTCATAAGGACTGACTGCTGGTTACTAATATATTTCCAGACTTCTAGCTCAAAATCCAGATACATAATAGAAAAAATAATAATAATGTAATCTATTTCTTTCCACTTCATTTCTTTTTGAACATTCTAAAAAAAAAAAAAAGAAAAAAAAAGGAGAAAAGTCGTAGTTAGCAACAACTCTTTTCTTCATAGAAAGCAAAAGTAAAATCTAAACAAATGGGGCCAAATAATATTTACTTTCCTTCTGGCTAATTAGCATTGAGCAGTATTTCTAATTTTCTGGATATTTAAGAGCTGAGAACATCTGAGAAAGTAACCGTAAAATAGAACACAGTCCTAGGAATATATGCACTCCTACCTCATGCAAGCAAAGGGCATTGTGTGCCACCATCTACATATGTACAGGGAATGAGTGACCTATTTGAAGTCAAAAGAGGCCAGATCTTTAAGACTTCTTCAATTCAGAAGAAAATAGCCAACCAAGGGTTTAATTAAAAACTCGATGTCATGTTGCTCTTCAATAAATATTTTCCTCATATGTCCATTGGAAATTTCAGATCATGACATTCACTGAGATGAGAACAGTTTGAAGCACTCTCTGAGAGTTCTCAGGGACACTCATTCTGAACATATGGGTTTTATTGGATTATTTCATTATTCTATGTTCCTTGGTCTTAACTTTAGCAAATGTTAGGACTCAGATTTGTCCATCCAGCTTCTGACATGCAGTTCCTTGACACAATAAGCTGCAATAAGCCATGAAGCAAGAAACATAAATGTCAGTTATAAGCTATGAAACAATGTTTCAAAATAGAAAAGACAAATCCAGAAAGATCCATCTTACTTCAAAACTCTTCACTTCTTCTTCACCATCATCATCTTCCTCATCATGACAACTCTGAGACATGGAAAACATTAAGAAAAGGTCAGCAGGGTTAGAATATGTTGAGGCAGAAAGTACAAAACAATGCAGCACGAAATACGAAATCATTTGTACTAAGTTGTCATCGACATTGTCGAAACAGATATATTAGATACAGTAAATGTAGATGGCATTATCAACGAATTCAGGACCTAAAAGAAAATTATGCTGTGCTTTTACAAAATCAAAATATTAAATTGCCAATTTTAGGCACAGCACGGAGATACAGACGAGATCCCTACCATAGTACCTGTACCTCTTATTCATGCATTTATTACCTTGTTCAAACGAAACTGCAAGCCTTAAAGACAAGGATAATTGTTTTCTCTTATTTTATGTTGTCTTTAGAACGCATGAATATAGATATATGCAATAACTGTGAATTAAAATTAACAGAAAGCATGTCCATTGTTTAAACTGAATCTTGTGATCTTTTACGTTCATTTTTTACTGTAATTGGTCCAAAGGAGGAAAATGAAATTCTAGCTGCTGCTAATATTATTTTATTGAAAAATAACTGACTAATCCATTATTTTGAGTTATTTTCCCAGAAATGATAAAGGAGTTATGCTAATCCATGCATATATTCTTATCTAATTGCCACAGCTAAAGTTTTTGCTTGCTAAATTTAAGGAAGAGCGGTGTGATTAGGACCATAGCCTGAGGACACAGAATGCCTGCTTTAAATCCTGATGCTGCCAATTATTAGCTGTTCAGCTTAGGGCAAGTTTCTTTACCTCTCTGGGTCTCCCTTTCCTCATATTTAAGGTAGAAATAAGACAAAGAAGAGCAGGGCTCCCGAGAGGATTATATGATTTAACATATGCAAATTGTTTGCCTAATTGTTTAAGTGTCTGAAAAATAATAAGCATTTAATAAATCTCAACTGCTATTATTATTATGGTTGGGAACAGAAAGTATCATGTTGACCAAAGGAAGCTGGTCACTAACCAATACCCGTGGCAGGGAAAAAACCTATAGCTCTTCAAGGTTAGATTGTTCCAGCCCTTCTCAAGATTTCTTCTGGTCCACAAGCACTCAGTGTATCAGTGAAGTGAATGGTAGCAAGTAATTAAATATAAGTGACAAATCAGAAAAACAGTTTCAATTCAGTAATTCCCAGTATTTTGAGTGTGGAGATGAAGTGGGGATGGGAGGGAGGGCAGAAAACATGATCCTTCTACCCACACAATGATCAATTCTAAAATGTCTGTCAAGTTCTTTTGTTCACTCAACAAATACCATCACCCTTTCCAATTAAGAATAAGAAGACTGACAACATGGTTTGCAGAGGAGAAAATAAAGGATTCTGCTATTTGGAAAAGATGTCCCATAGCATGTTTCCCCACAGAAATAAAGATGTTAATTATTTATTCAAGAGTACTGGAAATATTCTGCTATGTGCTATTGTCACCTTGGCTCCCACACCATCAGTTAACTGGAAATTTAAGAAAAAGAACCCATGGGGGCGACTGGGTGGCTCAGTCGTTAAGCGTCTGCCTTTGGCTCAGGTCATGGTCCCAGGATCCTGGGATGGAGCCCCGCATGGGGCTCCCTGCTCCGCGGGGAGTCTGCTTCTCCCTCTGCCTGTCCTTCCCCCTGCCCCCCCCCCGACAAATAAATAAAATCTTTAAAAAAAAGAAAAAGAAAAAGAACCCATGAAAATTTGAACAAAACACATCTGATAAGCAAATCTGTGGTCCTCCGTAAATACTGTGCATCTAATGTTAAACACAGAGGAATTTTGGCTTATCTGCCCTCTAAGATCATCTCTGATGTTTCCTTCCTCTGCATTAGGAATTAGAAGTAAAGTACAGGCATTTTATCCGGTAACAAGCATGTTTACTATTTAAGCAAATCAGAACACTAATCTGTCTCTTGAGAATGTGAAGTTTAGGGGCGCCTGGGTGACTCAGTCAGTTAAGGGTCTGCCTTTTGCTCAGGTCACGATCCCAGGGTCTTGGGATTGAGTACCATGTCGGGCCCCTTGCTCTGGGAAGAGTCTGCTTCTCCCTCTCCCTCTGCCTGCCACTCCCCCTGCTTGTGCTCCTTCTGTCAAATAAAAAAATAAAATCTTAAAAAAAAAATGTGCAGTTTAAGAAAAAGTGCGGTTTTAAATTTTCTCAAATTATCTCCTTATAAATTTCATTATCTTTAGAAATATAGAGAAGAAACAAGTTCTGAGATGAAGAATACATTCAGAAAAAATATCATTTTCGGTTACAATGATATGCTTTAATCTATAAAATTCATATGATATGCTTGCTTTTGGAATTCCTTCAAAAATTTAGAGCTCTAGCTGACAAATATTTTTTACAAATATTTAATTTTTTTAACAAAGATTTATTTTTAAATAAAATAAACTATTTTAAAAATCTTTCTATGAAAATTTAGTAGGATCTGCTTCTAGTAAGGTTAAAACTTGTGGTTTTTAGAACCTATTCAGCTTAAATCAATTTGGAGTGGATAGCTGACCAAACTCATCAAACCTATAAACTATTTTGAACTTCTACTGATTGGATACATTGAGGATACACTGGGACCAATTTTTTAATGTACTGGGAAGAAAAAGGATTTATAGGTATAGGAGATATGTTTTTCACTAGCAAACTGCATCCATGTAGTAGATATGGTAAGTAAAGAGGCAGTTCTGTTAGATGGCTTTAGCTTCCTGCATCAAAATGACAAACTCCAGGCATCGAGGAGTTATACCGTATGCCAGGAGGGAAAAAGTGAGTAAAATCCATACACAAAAGGGCAGAAGCACGGAGCAAGAGAATTTAGAAGAAAAAAAAAAAAGAGAGAGAGAGAGAAAACTAAAATAGACCATTCAGGGGTCTAGATCAAAATTCAAAATTGGTGATGAGAACCCATAGCCAGTCAATAGGGCATTTCACTTTGCCCGCATCACCTGGGCATTTCTTTCTGCAGAGCAAGTACATTTCACACATGTTTAAGTTGCCTTTCTGACTGTGGCACTCCTCAGAAGATGGAGGAAGCAAACCAGAAACTTTTAGTATGGATTTAAATTTAAAAGCTGATGGGTGAGACCGAAGTGAGAGTAATCTCCTAAGAAAGTGACGCTAGTATTTGAAAATTTTAATAAAACCAACAATGGATAGAACCCTGGGCATAACTTAATGCAGATCCTAAATATTTCAATAAGTTAGTAAGAGAAGGAGGAGGGAAAGATTTTCTCAGCCAGAAAGTCAACATTGTGGAAATACCGTTGAGTGTTTAACTTATGATGGCATCATTCTAGAGACTTCCACATGGTTATCTTGTTCATGTTGGTAGAAACATCCCAGTTGCGTGAAACGGCTTCAGATTCTTGAGGAGAGCTAACGGGTAATACTGAGGCATTCTGGGAACCGAGTGTGAGGGGCCATGATGATGACAAAAGCAGTGGCAACAGCAACACAAGCCAATGTGGATAAATTTGTAAAGTGGTGGCGTACACGACAGGAAAAAAAGAGTATTAATCTCAGATTTAAAATAAAGTATGGCTTGAAAAACACAAAGATTTTAAGATGATTTTTTTCAAAATATAGCCAAAGCAAGGAGAATGAGGAATAGTAAGTATAGGGTTTAGAGCAGAGGCTATAACAATAATAATAACAATAGAGAAGTTCAGAGCTACTTATCAGCTGTTTGATTCAGATTTTACCACCAGAGAGAGTGATTTTTATTTTTTATTTGTTTGTTTATTTTTTAGAGAGACAGTGTGAGCACGGGGAGGGGCAGAGGTAGAAGGAGAGAGAATCCCACACTGAGCATGGAGCCCAATGCTGGGCCACAGCCCAATATCCCAAGACCATGACCTAAGTCAAAACCAAGATCCAAAAGCTCAAATGACTAAGCCACCCACACACTGCAAGAAGTGATTTCTAAATATAGAAATCAGCCAACAGAAATGAAAATTATGACCCCAATGAAAGACCATCTTATACCCATTTGGTTAACAGAAATTGAGAAACCATATAATATCAAATACTGGAAAGATGTGGCTCATCAGACTCTCTCTTAAACATTGTTGGTAAGAAGGTAATTTGATGCAACAAACCTGGAAAAATCATTTGCCATTTTCTTCTGAAGTTGAACATTCTTACACCTTACCACAGCTCTTGCCTCTCATACAATAGTAAAAATGAATAAGAATAGGAAGTTTGACCCAGTTACCCCATCTCCCCACCTTCCTCTCCTCCGGGAACTCTCACTTTGTTTGCTATGATTGAGTCTCTTATGCTTTGCCTCCCTCCCTGATTTTGTCTTGTTTTATTTTTTTCCTCTCTTCCCCTATGATCCTCTGTTTTGGAGGGAATGTGATATAATGAGCACTGGGTATTATATAAAACTGATGAATCACTGACCTCTACCTCTGGAACTATATACATTATATGTTAATTAAAAAATAAATATAAAAAAATGACGCTCATGATGTCTTCCTTCCTTTCTCTGTCTCATCTCCCCAGTGACTTACCAGTATTTCCTGAAATCACTTCCTATATGCTCTATATGCTAATGTTAATATGTTATATGCTAAAGTTTGCATCCTCCTCCCCCAAAATTTTATGTTGAAACCTAATCCCCTATGTGATGGTATTTGGAGGTGTGGTCTCTGGGAGGTAACTACATCATGAGGGAGGAACCCCATGAGTGGGATTCCTGCCTTTATAAAAGAGACCCCAGAGAGCTTCCTTGCCTCTCTGCTCTGTGAGGACACAGCAAGATTTACACTTCCCAGCCTAGGACAAATAAATGTCTATTATTTATTAAAAAAAAAAAAAAAAGAAGAAGAAGAATAGGAATTTTGAACCCTTTCCACATTAGCAAAACCACAGATTCAACACAAAAGGCTATCAACAGAAAACTAAGTAAATAAACTTTGGTGTAGTTGCACAATGGAATATAACGTGATAGTCAAATCCAATGAACTCTACCAATACACACAAGTGTCAATGAACCTTAGAAAACAGTATTGAGTACAACAAGTACCAAGAGATTATATATAGCATACTGCCCTTTTAAAAGTTAAAAACAACTAAAATTAAAAATATATATAACTATATGTATAATTATAATATATTCCCATTTGTATTCATGTGATATATATGTATTAATAAGTATGTACGATAAGTGAAAACGATATACAAGGAGAGCAAGGGTATCTGGAACATGGGATTAGGATGATGGTTTCCTTGTATGGGGAGGTGGGGTATGGGTTAATCGGGGGGGACCATACAATTATATGTAAGTTATTATGAAGGTTTAACTTTTCTCGTGTGTTGTGCATTTATGGGTAGTTGCTACATTATTAGAAGTGACTAGGTCACTAACTTAGTAAAAGTGGGCCTCTATAATGGACCAATGATGAGAGTCTCACATGGAATCCAGAGCTATGATTTAACCCAATTCCATGCTCCTGGGGTTAAAACAGAAAGACTGAAAATAAAAACCCAATTGAGATGTGAGTGGTGCATTCAAAAAGATCCTGCAATGGTGAAAGACACTAAGGCATACGTGTCTGAAAGTGAGTTCAAGTTCTAAGACTCAAGGCAAAAATAATCATTATGTGAATATAAAATGACTGTTGATAAACTCTGAGGAACCAGGAAGGCCAAGAGAAAGTCTCAGAAACTGGGATGCTGATTCCCCACCCCCCTTTTTTTTTTTAAACAAGAGAGTCTTCTTAGTGCTTCCTCAAATCATTAAAAAAAAAACCAAAAACACCATATATTTATCTGCTCCTGATAAACATATTACTGTATTTCTAATCTTAATCTTGCAGTGGAGAAATAAAATATGAATAGCAAATAAGAATTGTAATTAAGAAAACATGAGATAATTTCAAGGTCTTTATTTGGCCCACTTTAGAAATTCCTTGTGTTTTCATACTTAATTTAGGGACTTTGTGGTCATTGGATTCTTCCCCCCAAAATAGCCACCCAAAGAGCTAATTCTTTAACTTTCAATTTTTGGTGTATACCTGTGAATGAATCTAAAAATACTTTTATTGATTAACTACATAGTTAAAAATTAACAGCAAAGCCTAAAAAAATATTATTTTCTGCAAAAAATAGATAAATTCATAGTACTTAAAAAAACAGGTCTCTCTTCAAACCATTCTACACAGGCACATGCACGATTTTCAGTGAACTGTCAGTAAAGTGGATCTACATTTGTATTTCATAATGCTGACTAAAACTAATACTCATCTGTTTATTTTTTTATTATTTTCATCGTGATAAGTGCGCTCTTTAATCCCCTTTGCCTATTTCACCCATTCCCCACCCCCTCCCCTCTGGGAACCATCAGTTTGCTCTCTATAGTTAAGAGTCTTTTTCTAGCATTATACCCTCTAGCTCTCTCTGTTGTTGCAAATGGCAAGATTTCATTCTGTTTTATGGCTGAATAATATTTCATGTATATGTACACCACATCTTCTTCATCCATTCATCAATCGATGGACATGGGCTGTTTCCAGTTTGGCTATTGTAAATAATGCTGCTCTAAATATAAGGGTACATGTATCCCTTTGAACTAGTCTTTTTGTATTTTGGGGGTAAATATCCTGTAGTGCAATGACTGGATTGTAGGGTAGTTCTATTTTTAATTTTTTGATGAACCTCCAAACTCTTTTCCATAGTGACTGCACCAGCTTCTGGGATACTGATTTTCAAAATGAAGAAAGGCAACCTCCAGAGACTCTTTGGTAAGAAGTTAGATATCAATCATCAAAACTAGCAACTGAGATAAACACAGGGAAAGCACAATTATCAAGTTCGTGGCTAGCATAAACGTAAGGAGCTATTTAACACTGAATGATAGAGCTGAACTTTAAAAATATTTTGGCCTTGGTCTATAGTCTGACTCTAATTAGAGAAACGATGACATATATTAAAAATTATTAAAACTGGGGCCTGGGTGGTTTGGTCGGTTAAGTGTCTGACTCTCGATCTCGACTTGGGTCTTAATCTCAGGATCATGAGTTCAAGCCCTGCATTGGGCTCCATGGTGGGAGAGAAGCCTAGTTCAAAAATAAATAAATAAATAAATAAATAAAAACAAAAACAAAAAGAATTATTAAAATTAAGAATACATCGACTGTCAGTATAGGTAGGAGATGAAACTCCATAGAAATTCATAAATGCCTTGGAATTTTGGTGGACAGGCAAGCTCAAAAGGAGGCAAAAAATTTCAGAGTAATGAGTTCCTACAATTTATTGTAAATGTATGGGATCCTAAGCAGTGCAGAGAGGATATGGTCCCAACAGGCACTGCACAGGTGAACTCACAACGAGGACACTGTGTTCAATTAATTTCTGGGTGGCACATATTAAAAAACTAGAGTATGTGTGGAGTAGAATGAACTGGAGTGATGGAAGACTGACACTCCTGGGATACCTCTAACGATAAGAGGTGATTTAATTATCAAGGGGAAAATCTTGAGAGAAAGGGAGCAACACCAAATACTCGACCATGTATCAAAAGAGATAAGCTGCTTTAGGACACAAGGAGAACCAGGGGAAGGCAAATTCTGCTTCAGCAAGGAAGAACTTTAACAATCAGGAATATCTTATCCTCAAACCATGAGGTTCTACCTTTGTAGCCCACCTGCTTGGTGGTCCTTCGAATGCAGAGGACAACAGTCTGTGGGCTCCTTGACAACCCCCTTATTTGTCAGCTCCCTTCTTCTTCATGCCCTTACTTATCCTAGTTAAGAGTCCATGATCAAGGAGGAAATATCCTTCTCTCTTTTATCCTTCAGCTCAGTGTTTTTTAAACTATGGGTTTCAGCCCATTCATTGGATGCAGAATCTATTTAATGAGTCAGGATCTAAAATAATTTTTTTATTTAAATATAATAGAAAATATCAGACTCTACTGCTCATTGGAAGGGTATAATTTCACGAAAATTTTCTTTCAGTGTATCTATTTTTATGTTTCCATAAATATACTGGGTAAATGTGTTTCTTATTGGGGGTTATAGCTTAAAATACAGTTGGAAAGACACAGCTCTTCCTCATGCTCCGGAGCCTGTCCTCTTACCCTGCTCCCATTCACTCAAGACCTCACACCACAAATTACTCCCTTGGCCTCTCTATTGGTTCCTTCCCACCAGGAGAGAAGCATGTTCAAATCTCTCACATAAAAGTAAACCAATGTCAAGCAAACAAAAATAATCCCCCTTCAACGTCACAATCCCATCTAGATATTGATCCCTTTATATTGTTTCTCCCCTCTCTCAAACTTCGAGTAAAGAAATGTCTAGGCCACATCTCACATGTGAATCTCTACTTTCTTCCCCACAACATGGCACTCGCGCCGCCAACGGCCTCTCTCCATAATCTCCTGAAACTGCTCTTACCATGGTCACATGATGCACATGTACTAAATCCCAGAGAAGTCTCAATCCTCCCCTTGTTCATGCATACCCTCAGCAGCATACGGTTCTGTTGAGTACCCACTTAGGCCCACAGCTCCTACATATGCTCACACTTAAGATTCTCTCCCCACCCCCTTTTTTTATGGGTTCCTTTTCTTCTAATCATCTTTTATATACCAATGTCCTTAGAGGCGTGGTCATGGGCCTTTCCGCTCTCATGATGCCTTCTCTGCCTGGGGCAAGACCATCCATTCGAATGGCTTCGATTCCCTTCAAATGTGCATACAACCCAAATCTGTATTTATTAGCTGTCCCTGAGATGCTGAATGTCAGACAGGAATGCCTCATCATGTATCCGACCTCTCCACAGGGCTGTCTTACAGGCATTTTTAACTCACATGTCCAAAATGCAATTTGCCATCTCTCCCCTTCACTCCAGGCCTGCAATTCTTCTAGTGCTCCCCATCTCAGCAGCTGGTACCACGGTGTACCCAGTCGCCCACGTCAGAGGCCTCAGAGACATGATGACTCCTCTTTTAAACTCATCCCCTCACTCACCCTCCTCTTGTGAGATATAAATGAAATAGACACTCAGTAAATACGAGCTGTTCCTATTTTGCGTGGTCCACTCGTCATTAGGCAGTCGAGGACTTCCTTAAACCTTAGCCTAAGGTTAAGCCTAAGCTTCACTACTCTCCTATGCAACCTCTTCCCTATACCCCTAATAGCGCCTCTACCATTAAACTTAGCAGAGCTTTCTGCAATCACCTGCTTACATTTTGTCTTCTCCATCAGACTATAAACTCCAGGAAGGGTGTGTGCATTTCCTTCTTATTCACCGTGTTACCTCCAATACCTTGATGCCCTGTATTTGTTAGATGAATGAATGAATGTTTGGAAACTTAATGAGCTCCCCATAAAAAAAATGTTAAGTGACCAAACAATAATTATCTGTAAAGGAAGTCAGAACAGAGACTCATGCAACAAGTGGAAAATTGAGATTAATACCCCTTCAGTTTCTAAGATTTAACAGTATTTTATTTGGACCCAGAAATACATAGATTCTTTATCCTTTGTCAGATGAAAATGATTTTCCTTTATTAAAATTAAACATTAAAATCAAGATATATTTGCTTACCTTTGCCATAATATCTGCATAAGCCATATATAAAAAATCTTCTTCCAGTTTGCTATGAAAAACAAAAAGAAAACATGAGTTTTTAAGTAGGAGGCTAGTCATATGTAAAACTGCCATCACTGTATAAAATAACCTTTGTTCTTCAACCAGTATGCCTTTTTAAAATGAAATAAACACAAAACTTAGGCAAAGTCATCATTCAAAAATATGGTAGAATCAGACAGCAAAGATCTCAGACCTAAATAGCTGACCCATCTTACCGTCCAGAAGAGGCCTTCAAGTCTCACAAAATAAATGGTCTACTGATTTACACACAAATGTAACAGCTTTAATTTTCTTGAAACTACACAAGCTGAAACAAGCAAGTTTAAACGAGGTATAGGGGCTTTTGACAGAAGTGATATTGGACATTTGATGGGAGGACTCCCCAAATTATTATGCTACTACACTGTTGAAAAATACAACAGTCATAGTGATTCTTAAAAATTAAAAAACATGTTTAATATCTTCTTCTTAAGACATATGGAAACCATTAATTCATGAAGAAAGGTTTCCATCAAAAAGTATCTAATATTTGCAAAGTGATTTTAGCAGTTTTAAGGTTCAGCCATCAGAAAAATTCATTTATGAAAATACCTCATTACCTGACAATGCCAGACAGAGGGTTGCTCTATGCTTAGGGATGAGATGATTTTGTTAGTTAGGAAATAATAAGAGAGAGAGAGAGACATCGTGAGAGAAGGATGGATCACATTGGCTAAGAGGGAGAAATGTGCATCATTATGGCATGCATAGAGGTCAAATGAACTTGTCTAGACTCTCAAAAGACTCATGTGGATAGGACTGATCATTAAATTATCTTCCAGCTTTTGCAGGAATCAGAGTGAAGCCTAGGGGAAAGTAGGCTCCCTTTTGCCTGGCAGGGAGGCAGATAAATGTTTTATAACCTCTGAAAGAGTTTCATCCACAGAATCTCTGCAGTGCTCCCTGTTATGAGCAAATGCTGAGCCCATTTTGATTACTGGGCATCTGAGGACATAGAGGTTTAACTACACAGAGGTTCGGCCTTTGTAGCTTTGGAGAATTCATATAAATAAGACTGTAGAAGCCACGGAAAATGGAGAATGCCCTTAAAACAGACCTCAAAGAAACTTCCTGTTGAGTTGATGGCTCACCTGCCTCCTAAAGGTTTCCTAAGACCCACTGCACAACGGAGACACAATCTACCCAGGAAATTTGGGTCACCATTGGCCTCCACACATTTTTTCGTACTGGAATTTGCTTTGGGCTCTTTTGTTTTATTTATAAAGGCCATTTGTGATAAAGAAAAAATAATTTCATAAGATTTGGGATCAACTGCATGAGCTAATGACAAAATTGTTACAAAAAATTGGAGCTCACAGACAGACATTAAAGCCTGAACTTGAATGAATGTTGGTCCACAGGTGTATGGCAGACTCGTCCTATCTCAGAACAATTCTCTCTCCTAACAAGAACAAGATGAAATTGCAACATGAATGTGTGAAACACAAGATACTCAGACATGGGGTTTCTTTATCTGTTCTTCCTATGCTCACATGAACCCTCCCAACCATACCATTTCTCTGTTAAAGCTGTTCGACTAAACAGAAGGATGAGCTGATGGAGGGGATCAACTCTCTTCGTGCCTTCCTCTTCTTCTGGAGGGTTGGCTCCAGGTTTCTACAAAAAAGCCAAATTGATAAAATTTCACATTAAATGAAATGCACACACAAAGCCAGGAGTAATATGAGGGTCAGAAACAATGACTAAAAGGAAAGCCATCTTCTTCCTGCTCTGGCGTGTGTGTGCCGTGTGTGTGTATGTTTTATATGAAATGTGCATGCAAGCGTGTGTGCTTTTAGGCACTGTGCATGCACATGTGTGTTTTATATACATTGTGCAGGCATGTGTGTGTGTTACATTAATCAATGCAAAACTATGCAGCTTAAAAAAAAAGATATTTAGGGCGCCTGGGTGGCTCAGTGGTTAAGCGTCTACCTTTGGCTCAGGTCATGATCCCAGGGTCCTGGGATCGAGCCCCGCATCGGGCTCCCTGCTCTGCGGGGAGTCTGCTTCTCCCTCTCCCACTCCCCCTGCTTGTGTTCCCTCTTTTGCTGTCTCTCTCTGTCAAATAAATAAATAAAATCTTTTAAAAAATAAAAACAAAAAGATATTTAATAATTGGACCAAAAGACACTGAGCAAGGATGACTCACATCATTTAAAAATTCTGAATGCTATTCTTAGAAGCAGATTCACAACTGGGAGTGTATTTGGTACAGAGATTTCAGCTTTAGGGAGGGCTCAACTTGCAAAGAATTACAACAAAATCCTCAGTCGCTCCAAGTATAAACATTTAGTTCACGGAGCAGTGAAAACTGATTATTATCAAACAAAACATTTTCCTTGCCTACACAAACAATGTCAGGTAAAGAATGCTAAATGACTTAATGCTTGAACCACTTACATTTTTTTTTTTATTTTCAGTTACTTTAAACTTAGAATACTTTTGTACTATTAGAACTTTTAACACGAGGAAAATTATTAAGCATTTTTACTCAATGTAGCATTAATTAATCTTGACTGCTGAATGGTTTAATGACTTTTATATCTTTATTGCCTTACACAGACTGATTTTTTGATTTTTTTGATTTTTATTTTTTTATTATGTTCAGTTAGCCAGCATATAGTATATCCTAAGTTTTTGTTGTAGTGTTCCACGATTCATTAGTCATGTATAACACCCAGTGCTCATCACAACATGTGCCCTCCTTAATAGCCATCACCCGGCTACCCCATTCCCCACCCCCCTCTGCTCTGTAACCCTCAGTTTGAGTGAATGAGTGAAACCATACGATAACTGTCTTGCTCTGCTTGACTCATTTCACTTAGCATAATCCCCTCCAGTTCCATCCATGTCGATGCAAATGGTGGGTATTCACCCTTTCTGATGGCTGAGTAATATTCCATTGTATATATGAACCATGTCTTCTTTATCCATTTGTCTGCTGAAGGGCATCTCAGTTCCTTCCACAGTTTGGCTATTGTGGACATCGCTGCTATGGACACTGGGGTTCATGTGCCCCTTCTATTTACTATATCTGTATCTTTGGGGTAAATACCTAGTAGTGCAATCGCTGGGTCGTGGGGTAGCTCTATTTTTAATGCAGACTGATTTTTCTCTCTACATAAAAGATCTTCTTTTCCTGGATTTATGGCTTAATATTATAGATAATACATGAGTAAATTTCTATAAGCTATCTAATATTCTATGGGTTGTTTTGGTTCCAATTCACTTAAAATATATGGGGAAAATCAAGGTCAAGCTTTCATGAATTATATCAGTTTATCCAATATTCCCTGATAACTTGTGAGTTAAAAAAAATAACTTTTAGAGAGGAGGTCATTAACTTGGGAATCATGAAGCCTCCAACTAGTCTGCAAAATTCTACCAGACCATATGCTTATAAATTTTTCTGAGATGGCTTTAATCAGATATTTTAACAGATCCACGACTTAGAAAAGAATAAGACAATGGCTGTCCAGAGTGCTCTGCTCTCAGTACAAGAGCGTCCTTACCAGCACAGCATGGTGGAACCAAAAATCTACTTGCCATCTCCTACATTTACCATGACTTCCTGTTCTTCTTGTATCCAGTCTATCATTCTCTGCCCTGTGTGTTTTTAAAAACCAGCTACTTTTCATTGGCTTTGTTAACCTTCACTTATGTTTGGTGAATAACTTCGTTATGGTTCAGGTTTTACAGCTCTATACTGGTTCTGAGGTGGTTAAAGGGGCTTTGAGGAAGAATTTAAGAGAATAATGGAATCAACATTTGGTTAATAATAAACTATCATTCAGCTTCACTTCTGAATTGCATGGTGTTGAAGAGAGCTCTTTGAAATAAGGATAAAATTTTCCCTAAACACTGGATGCAATGACAATCAAGAATAAGTTTCCTAGGACGAATACGCTACAACGATATTTTCTCTTCAATATGATAAGTGCTCACACCAATGTTATTCCTCCAAACCCTCTTTCATCTTATAACGCCATTAAAACATACTGCTAAATCTTCTATCAGTTTATCTTCAAAGTAGTGTTCTTCTGTTTCAATCCAAGACTTTTCATATCCCTGAAGAAAGAGATTGACAGCCCGGTGCCTAAAAGATAAGCACAATTTCAGACAAAGAATTTTTTAAATACACTGGAAAAGTATTCATTAGTGCTTTATCACTGGACTTTCCATGCACTAAGAAAGATAAAACAACCAACTTCCTACTCATGATTGCAGAGGCAATACATCGTAGTGAAGAAGGCAAAGCTTCTCCAATCATACGCTGACTTACGTTCACATTCTGGCTCGGCCATTTCTAAGCTTCACAACACACCAGCCAAGTTATTCACTGTACCAACTTTCACTTTTTCCATTGATAAGACTAGGAGAAACCCATCTGCACTTCAGTTTTGCAAGATGTAAAGGAGATAAACAATGTAAAGCACATTGGGTAGACAGATGGTCATTAGGTAGTCGCGATTATGACATAAGGTGGCTCTGGATAAACCCTCTACTAAGCGTTCAGAAAGGAATTATTCAGTGTTTGAGTTAATATTCGGTACAAGCCCTGAGGATTACAAAACAAAATGTATTACGTGAACTTAATAGGACTATGTATCCAAACACTAAATCCTAGGATACTGAAGATAAATGGTTGCCTATGAAATAAAAGAGCACCAAAGACTAAAAGAATCAATAAACTCATCATGAAGTTGATGAGAGGTACACATAAGACTCCACCATAAGAAAGGATAAAAGAAAGTCATGACCATAAGGAAACATCCTAAGAGAATATCAGAAGTGTTAAAAGGAGACGTGCCATCACAGGATGGAAAGCTGAGCCTAGCGGTACTAAGGGCGGGCTATGCAGTCATGAGGCATATGGTCAGATAGGTTTACAAAGAGTCTGGAAAATCAATGGGAGAAACTGAGGATGCACCTGGAACTGCTAGAAAGCGTCGTAAAGTCCTGTGCATGAGACAGGCATGACAAAGGATGGGACAGCCGAATCACAGGAACAGCTTTTGCACAATACACTTGCTAAGCACTCACAGAAATGCTGATTCAATAGGTTGAAGCTTGGGTGTTTCTGAAATGAATTTGAGTGTATTTCCCCAAAGCACCAGCTTTGAGAGCCACCACAAAAAGGGATACAATTCTGAAAAGCTTTCATCAGAGGGAGTGGATCAGCAGACTCTGTGACATCGGGAAACGAGCTCGGAATCTGCTGCCATCAACCTGATAAGAGGCAATAAACAAGTGAGCTGAAGAGGTGGCCATCAAGGGAAGAGTATCCCTGTGAAGCAGATGAAAGAAAAAATCTGAAGGAACTTGGAGAATGACTGGATGGGAGTGACCAGAAAAGGAATAAGACAATGGATTCAAAGCTAATGTTCTAGTGACTAACTGGTGACACCATAACGGAGTCAGAGAATTTAAAAGGCGTACATGGTCTGAGGGGGAAATTCATGTATTTTTATACTCAGTGAGTGTGTCAGAGCAAGGAGTCCAGCTGTCTTAGTGAAAGGGGAATGTGTGAAGTTTGTTTGCTTTTTTGTTTTGTTTTACTCCCTGACTCATTTATTTATTCAAACATGTACTGAAAGTCAGAGTTCTAGGTACTGAGGATATAAAACTGAACACCACTCTAAAGGATCTCCAAGTTCGGATCAGAGAGACAAATAGGCCCAACGCTACAGGAACGTGCCCACAGCTAGAGGTCTGGAAAAGCATCCTAGAAACAAAGAGGAGGAAGCATTCCATCTGCAACGAGTGGAAGAGCCTGCTCCGTAAAAGAGATGCAGCTGAGCCGAGTCCTGTTTACCAGATGTGGGGATGATGCCACTGACACAAAGCTCCGAGTGGAAAGGGCACAGTTTCTTGGGAAAACTACAAGGAGGCTGAACTGGTACCTCAGCCATGAAGCCAGACTCAAATGTACCAGGTTATTTCTCTATTAACAAGTACGCCCGCTGTAAGAGAAGGTAGGGGGTCTGTTGAACGCAGTGACGTTATTTCCATGAACTAGTTCCATATCAGTTCTTCTCCCCAAGACAGACAATCCCCCAAAATAATAAACAACCATTAACATGTATAGTGTTAAGTTCGGCTCTAAGCACCCTGTACCTCAACCCATTAAATCATCTGAACAAGTCCACGAGGCAAATCTCATCATGGTACACATGAAGAAACTTGGTCAGGTAAGAAACTTGACCAATGTCAGGCAGCCATCAGCTGAGATGCCAGGATTCAAATCAAGGTAGTCTGAGTTCCTAATTACCCCACCCCACCTTACATATGTGAGCAGATTTTCCTCGGTATTTAAGGGTATTTAACAATCACACCGTAGACCACAGTCCTCTGGGAACACCCAGCAAAGAAACACAAACTCAAGTATTACACAGAAGAACCAAAGCATCTCTTCCATCTCTCTCAGACTATTGCATTCATGTTACAATGGATGCTATACTCCTACTGCTTAGTAGGGGAAAAAATAACTTCAATCTATTATAGACATTAAAAAAAGTCTGACCTTGGCAGATTGTATAACGGAGCCATCCGGAAGCAGGCTACCACTGCCCTTTTCCTCTGTTTGGATAACAGTTTGTGCCAAACAGCCTTCTTCGATCTCTGTGGATGCTCCACCTGAGGTAAAAGGATACAAAAAAAAAAAAAAAAAAAATTAAATATTTAAACCCCCGACTACCCTCAAAAACATAGTATTAAACAGCTGTGCCTTTTAGATTAAAAACTTTTGGAATTTCAATTCCAAAAGCACCTTACAATTATTATGGAAAAACCCATGTCCTAGAAGTAACCCAATGCTAAATTGGAAATAGGTTTGAATGCTTCATATTTTCTTTAGTCAAAATATAATATGTCCCCAGTAGTGTGTACTTAAGAAGCTATGTCATCTCTAAAAATCAAAGAAATATAAAACCATTCTACATAAAATCATGTTTTCAGAATTTGGTTATGGTTCTAAAACATATTTTCTGTCTACACAAAAAATTAACCTACTTACTTATGTATCCATTTAAACCAATTTTATCCTAAGAGTTTATAGCAGTCAACAGGAATAGAGGCAGACACAGAAAATTCTACCAAAAATTCAACTGTTCCTTAATATAATAGGATGGAGAGAAGATGACAAGGCTTTGGGAACACATTACTAGGAGTGAGGTAAAGAATTTAATTTTGCAAAAATGCTAAAATACGTAATTATTTTGTTAGAGAGGGACAAATGAGAATTCAAAGTTGTAGTAAATGAGGCAAGCAAGCTATATATTTAGCTAATGGTGTTTGGAGCTCCAAGATGGAAAAGAGATTAATTATAAGTATTAGACAGAAAAGAAACCCAACATGTAATTCTAAATTAATTAGTAGTCTCTAGGTAATTGAACACTGTACTTCCCAGACTGTAATATCTCCGGCGCATACATGTAGATTTCTGGAAGAAATAAAAATGTTGCGTTAGCTAAAAAAATAAAACTAAAATCTATTATCCTTTGCAGTAAAGGCTCAAAATATGCATGTCATAATGCATTAACAATGTCTGGACTACAGTGGTTTAGAAATTTTAACGAAGCAACTTGTATAATTGGAAAACACTTATTTCTGTGATGGTCATCCCTCCACAGGATCAGTAAACACTTTCTGACAATTGTCCTCTTCTGTTTTCTTCTGGATGACTGTGTTAAGTGAATCAAGGGTAGTACTGTTCAACTAGATCAATGCATTCAAGTTCCATTTTGAGATTCAGTCTGTACAGACTAGCTTTCTGTGGGAATCCGGCATTCTGATCGGTGTGGGTGACAGTCAACAATTACAATAAAGTACCAAAACACTGAAGATCCAGTTGTGAACATGGTAGAAAATGTGTCTGTCATCATGAAGCTTACCACTTGGCAGAGCATTTTATTATACATGAAAAGTCCCTGAATAGTGAATTTTCTTCTGTCTGAATGCCGGGAGGTGCTGATGTGTTAGCATGGCTTGAGTTTTGAGTATTAGGAAATTGCAAGGGGACAGCTTACTCTCATGGGACCAATGACCAGATGTGCAGTATAAAATATACAAATGCAGGGGCACCTGGGTGGCTCAGTTGGTTAATCCTCTACCTTCTGCTCAGGTCATGATCCCAGGGTCTTGGGATCCAGCCCCACATCGGGCTCCTTGCTCAGCAGGGAGCCTGCTTCTCCCTCTGCCTGCCACTCCCCCTGCTTGTGGGGCTTTCTCTCTCTCTGTCTCTCAAATAAAATCTTAAAAAAAAAAAAAAAGAAATAAAATATACAATTGCAAAGGTTGCTGATACGGGAGATAAATTAAATCAAATATCTGCTACCCACCCACTGTTTTCACACTGAGTTTAGCAAGTGAAGATATTCTTCGCAAGCTACTCAATGAATGAGGGACAAATTAACATTAGAATAGAGGTATTGAAGGCATGAATTCCTCTTGTGGCCCATCTTTCACTCTTTTCTAGTCTTTGGTAATTGATGATTTCTTTTTACTCATATTCTTAACAATGTGAAGAATAGTTGACCTTAACTAAAATCTGACCCCCTTACCTTTTCCTAGAAAATTCCTTTAAGATTATGGGGATCACCTACTTGGCAACGAGACTGTCTGGACTCCTTATATAGTCTATTCAGCACATTTTGTGTCCCGGCACATCTGTATCATTACATCTTTATCTATTCACGTGTCCACATGCTCTACTACGGCATGACCTACTTGAGTCGAGAGATAGCATTCAATCCCCAGAACCTGCAGAGTCTAATGCTGCCATACAGTAGTGCATACAATAAACGTTCACGGAGGGAATGGCTGCGTCACAGAATGAATCTCACTACTTTACATATGACTTCGTTCATTACGATTGAATACAGTTATCAGTATATGTCGCTAGAATAAAACATCATCAGATTTCAATAAGCTTCATTTAATGTTATCTAAAATTCATTCAAACAAATCCAGACATGTGCATGAAAACTAGGAAGAATTAAAACCTTACAGTACGGGGTGCCTGGGTGGCTCGTTGGTTGAGCATCTGACTCTGGATTTCAGCTCAGGTCATGATCTCAGGTCGTGAGATCGAGCCCTGCATCAGGCTCTGTGCTGGGTGTGGAGCCTGCTTGGGATTCTTGGTCTCCCTCTCTTTGCCCCCCCCCCCACCCTCTCTACAACACAAAACAAAAAAAAACCTTATGGTAGGAGTACCTCTGCCAGAAATAATCCTCCAGTACACATTAAATAGATATTTAACATTCTTAAATACGTATATAATGCTGGAAAAACAACTCTATGACTTTATATGTCATTAAAATTTCATTACCTTAAGTCTCATCACCTGCTGACTGATAATTTGTACTTAATATTTCATGAAAATATTATGGAAATATTTAGGGGAATATTAAGTTTCCTAAATTTTATTATATTATTAATAGTGTGGTGTCAAACAATGTAAATACATGTCGATAGCCATGTGGTTTAAAGGTATCCTAGTTAAATTTCATCAGGTGTAGTGATAAATTGTATGCCATGGGAGAAGTTATTAATGTTTGAGGGGCACTTGAGTAAGGAAGAAGGAAAGTAAGAGGCTACTACATTAGATGATATCCTTACGTTATTTAACTGGTCAAGGCAGGGACAGGATCACCAGATAACATAAAATAGGAATCAAAGAAAAATGTTTGTTATTGCTGTGCCAATATGGTCTTCAAAACATTTAAGTGACAAAGTTCCTGAGATGACATAGGCCCTTTTATTATTTTATGTTTGTTGTAAAATGAGAGAACTGTCACGTCAGGTGAGGACTGTCATGAAGGCCCAAGGACAGATCACACTGTTGGGTTCACACTGAGCTCCCTCACTCGGTGTCATTCTGCTGAACGGATCTCATGAGAAACAGGGCATGCTGTCTCTGTATCACAGATATGTTACCTAAACCAGAAGATTCCTTACACAACAATATAACCCATGGATGGATAATGTTTCAAATATTATTGGTTGGGGAATTGCTGAATAATGAATAAGGAAATCAAACACATAGGGAACTTTGTAGTTTAAGGCAGGATACAACTGAAAATTTATATAAAAACACTATCTCACACAATTTTAATATCAATGCACTGTTCTTCTCTAAATGTAATATATTGCTGATCTTGGAGAAAATTAACTCAAAAATATCTCTAATAAAAGGAAAGGTACAGCAAATGACCAAAAAAAAAAATTCAAATATTAAACTAGTGAGAGCATCTCAAACATATTGTTATGAGCAGTAATAAAAAATGATATGTAGAACATGCAATCAGGTAACTCTTGAAATTTTTGTTAGAATGATTTAAAATTAAATATACAGTCCTATTTATCTGTATAATCACAGAAATATTTTGAGAAAAGACAAAAAAACAAAGGCTGTAATATCCCAAAATACGTTAGCTATATATTGCTACAAAAGTTATAAGCTTGGAAATTTTGCTTATTAGATATAAGCACCCCTTAATAATATATTCTTTATAATAAATATCCTAAACATATATGTTTTTTGGCCTACAGCTTACAATGAATCATTTAAAATGTGCTTACATGGTTAAGACAAATACGATAGAATCAATGCAGAATCTAACCTGCTCCAGATGAAAAAGCACATTGGCTATATCTAATACTCTTTCCACAGTCTTCTCTGGATCTGATGGATCTTCAGTCCTGTTTGGTAAATCTTTGTAAAGAGCCATTTGCCATCTGATAGCAGGATCCTCCAACTGCAGAAAAAATGAAAAAGTTTCAAAAATACAAGGTTACAACCTAAAGGGGATAAGACCTACTTTATTGAGTGTAGCCCAGTGTCAAAACTCTGTGCAGAGATCAGGGCAGAGAGTGATCTCGTACTCATGAAATTAATCATCTAGTGGAGAAGACAGAAATTAAATATGTACAATTGTGATGAAGGCTACTCAAGAGAAATATAAGGTATCGTGAGCTTCAACTTAACCTGCTGGTGGTTGGTAAGATTCCCCTGAACAAGGGAAGGTTTGCCTAAGACGTAAGGATGAGCTGGACATAGTCAAGGCAGGGAAGTAGACAAAGCAACCTTCTATCTTTCTCTTCCCCTTTCACAAACACTGGAAGATCTACATACTTACTTTCACAGGCAATGATATGGGATCACACTTAACTATAAATAGAGGGACTCTACAACTGAGCTCGGTTTCAGTGAAACAAAGATATCAATATAAACTGATGGAGGGCTAATAAAGTCGTATTCTATAATAAAGGAGTCTTTTTAACACTGTCAGATTTCCTGAGTGGGAGATGTAACTGAATTCTGTATGTTTTTGAGAAGGATTATTATAAAATCATAGAAACTGAAAAATACAAGCGTCCTTACAAGGAACAGATCACATTACTGCAAAGAAATAACATAGAAATAACTATGTCATTAAAAACAGGCAAAGCAATCCCCTTATATTTCTCTTCCCCTTTCAAATTTCCATTAAGAATGGGAGACAGAGGGTAATGAAACAAAGGTAAATGGACAACATCTGAAACTTCACAACTCCTAGTCTGAGAAAACACAGTTGGAAATGTGAAAAATAACTTTCACCTAGAGGCAAAAACTGAATGACTTGTAAACACCATTTGTCCTTTGATAAAACGAAACGTTTTTTCCCATATACTTTATTCGTCTGAGGACTGTGTTTGGTACTTCTGAATTTTAATACACGTTTACTTGTATTTGTCAAGATAAGTAGAAACTTTATTCTTTCTAATATAAAATTACTCCTTCTGGCTCCCAGGATTACCAGTCCTACAATTTCGAGACAATATATTTGAGAAGGTGTTAGGAACAAAAGAGTTCATCTTCTGTTAATCTGTATGGCTCCATAATATGTGTGCCTAACTCGCAGAACAAGTACAGACTGAAATGTCAAAGAGAAAATCTATGTATTCATCACCACTTTATTTTCATGTCTCATTCATTCTAAAGTGAAATGTTGATTATGAACGTGTTTCCTTCTCTGCTCTTCTTTCTTCCTGACTCCCCAGTACACAATATAAATTGTCCACAGTACTCCTACAAGTAACCTCTAGAATATAATGGAAGAATTTCCTTCTGGGGCACCTGGGTGGCTCAGTCATTAAGTGTCTGCCTTCGGCTCAGGTCATGATCCCAGGGTCCTGGGATCGAGCCCCGCATCGGGCTCTCTGCTCTGCAGGAAGCCTGCTTCTCCCTCTCCCGCTCCCCCTGCTTGTGTTCCCTCTCTAGCTGTGTTTCTCTCTGTCAAATAAATAAATAAAACCTTTTTTAAAAAAAATTTCCTTCTGCTTCTTCAAGACAACCTTTTTCACTTGATTATTTCCCAAGAGAAGCACAGACCCTTCCTTAAGAGGTACTAAACATCTCCTGACTCTCCTGACTCTACTTGAGTCCCCCAGGAGACCCTTTCAAGGACTACATGATCTCTGCAAACACCCATACATGTAGCATAAACCCTTCACTTGAGGTTTAGTTGGAAGATCTATTAGTACATTTTAAAATGTTCAAAATCTTTTAGCCATCTGAAAAGGGATCAAGCTCTAATAGGAATTTATCTCCTGTTCTAGACAAGTTTATAACTAAATGTATGACTGAGTACATACACATCAAAGTGCACATGAAATTTGTTTTAATATTTGTTTCTTGTGAATATTGGAAAGGTATATCTCACCTCTATCATATTGTAGTCCTAAGTGTTAAAGGAAAAGAATATGGTTTTGATCTTGGAAAGAAACATTTTAATACCCAGAAAAGCAAACATTATATTGTAGTCACTACTTTTTGACATTTGGACAATTTCATAATTGAGAAAATTCTCCAGAAGGGACACCAGAATGGAAGCAAATACACTGAATCAAAATAATAAACTGCTAGATTTCATACACTGCATAGGAGGTTCCATAAACAAATGAACAATTTATCTCCTAGTATGAGAAAAATTCCAAATAATAGTATATGCTTACTGGACTGCAAAACGTACTTCTAGCAATTTTTTTTTTTTTTACCCAACATTAATAAGTAGCTGTTCTCATGATTTCCATTCATGTTTTCCTTCACCTCCCTAGGTAAATTCATTTATTCCTATTATGGCAATTCTTAATATCTCCTATGTATTAATGACTCTTAAATACACATATTTAATTTCTGGTCACTAGATGTAAAAGTTTAAATTCTTATGGACACCTGTCTCCATGTCCCCAAAAGTCCTCAAACACAGCTAGTGAAGGAAATTTCCAACCTTTATTTCAAATCATGACAGATTTTCTTCAAAGTCTGAGATTCTTTGATGATCTACTTTAAAAATCCATCATTTGTTATCTTGAGAGTCTTTAATACCAAAAGGTTTACAAGCAGAATAAAGACTGATTAAAGTATTATATTTCTACTTTCTTAACTACTGAAGTAACATTATATGTAGTACTATTCAAAGAGAGATTAACTAATTCATAAATACTAAATGTGGTTAAATTTGGCTTACCTTGCCTTGTAAATGAATATTACTGCGGATTATATCTCGTACTTCATCCTCAGTGTCTTTCTGTCAAGAAATAAATGTTACCTAAAAGAAGTCTTACAATGCATCAACTGTCACAAGTCAATAGAAATAAATCTAACTGCTTTTGAAATAGTATATGTCAAAATAAACATATTTACAGGATTTAAATACATGTCACAAATTTGGGGGAGGTCATTTTTCAGACAATTTCTTGATACTGCTGTGACTAGAAACAAGATAACAACCTACTTTATTTCTACAGTAAGTGCCGTTAAGACTCAATGGAACAGAATTTCCAGTTCACAAGAAGTGGGAGAACCATGTTCCCTTGGGTTCAAACAGAAGTATGTGTCCATTATTCTCTGAAATCTCCACCAAGTAATTTTGGCACTTAATGATATCCCCCATGCTCCAGTAATAACAAGGAGCATATCCTGAGAATCAAATAGTAGAACAACCGTCAAGAGAACCGCGTCGGTGCAGTCCAGTCTGCTACAACATCCCCTTAATCATCTCACAGTATTAAACTCTGGATATACAGAAAGGTGCTTCATTCAGTGTGGGAACAGGCAGAGGAAGAATATGTGCTCCAATTTCCCTAAATATAAAATAGTAATCCCAATGTATATTTTTGTAAAATTGCATCTTTATAGGCATGAAGAGAAAACACAGGGGCCATAAAGAGATCTGGAAAACTTAAATTTCAAAGCTTGCAAAGGAGAAGAGCTGCTGATTTAAAAGTCAACACCTTATCCAGCCACCATCAGCACAGTAGATGATTCTTCTAACAGTGAAAAATTACCCCTCAAAAATTTGAAGAGACGTCTCATAACAAATTTTATATAGGAGTTCATACGGAATCCATTTTTTTTTTCACTACCAGGAACTTGTTTGCATCTTTTCTCTATGGTTCCTGAGTAGTCCCTGAAGGTGATTAACATAATTTAGAAATAAAAACAGCCACAAAAAAAAAGAGGCAGTCTTTGTATCTGAATGGTAGAGTTTACACAGAGAAACTGCTTAATAGGACATTTAATGCCAATGAAATATTGACACAGAGCAGTGAGCAGAAGGAGTCTACACATTTGAGGGTTGGGAGGACAAGTGATCGTCATCACTGGTGTGCACAGGAAACTTACCATACTGAATCGGTTTTTGGCCAGAGCAATGAGCTCCTGGTCCCCAGGGGCACAGATATTCAACCCAATGGGCAGCAATCGCTTCAGAGCTGCTACAATAAGAGAAGTCTGCAGGGAATATCGATCTCCTTTGCGCTTCATTTTCTTCCTTTCCTGATCAGAGACAGCTGCCTACAGAACAAAGCTAAGTGTTAGAATTTGTGACTGCTTTTCTCAAGTTCAGAACTATGAACCTCTCCTAACTTGTCTGTGGTTCCATCTTCCTTATTTTCAGTTCCCTATTTTTGAGACCTATTTCCTTCTTAGCATCTCTTGCTAATTTCCAAGTCCTACTTTCAGCTTCCCAGGTCATTACCATTCACTGGTGTGCTTTCTACACACTTTCAGAAGGAGAACACACATTGCAATTTTAGAAGAGCAGACGGAAACATGAAAAATCCATGGGAATTTCAGATATAGTATGTTTTGTAGTCTTCATTGCTTACGAGGAAAAATGTGAGAATATATGGTTTATTTTTGTTTTGACAGATGCTTGCTTTGAAATATGAACTCTTTCTCTCACACACATGCACACGCTACATATAAAACTATTAGAAAATATATAAGCCTTTTATGTAATCTGCAGACTTGTCTCCCTAGGGCATTAACCCCTCTCTAGTGGAAACAGATGTAATATACTAATTGGTGTAACATAAGTATTCAGGATTATCTCTGGATGACCTGTTTACATCTGAATACTGCCATGCTACTTCAGGGTTCTTTTGTGATTTTTGTTAAATTTTATGTCCGTGCCTCAGGGTCACTTTAAATGCAGGGTCTAATTTTCACTGGGTAATGAGTATTATTCTATTAACGGGGTATACTCGAACATCAAAATTAAAATAATTGTCCCATGTCCACTTCTTTGTGCATGTTAAATTTCTTTGTAGCAATAAATCAAACACTGAAGATATTTTCAGGATAGTAACATACTGTATTAGGTTTGGCCAAGTGAGGAAAAAAAAAAACAGAAGAGAATTTAACATACAAATGATTTGCTTTCCCCACAAAGAGACAAAATCTATCACAACATGTTGAATTTTTTCATATTAAGTAGGAAAATAATTGTCATCATAAAGTAATGGTAGCTTATATATTAATATTATGTAATGTATTTACTATGATATATATTATATATTGATCTATCAAACCTATAATATCTTAACTATAGCAATGAAATTTTATTAACTTTCCAAAGAGATGTACTTATTGCATGGATCCTGCTCTTTACCAATTTGTAAGAGATTAATTTCAGTAAGTTTAGGAGAAAAAAAGCCAATGAATAATTATTTGTACTATTAAATTGATTAACCCATTAAAAAATAGATCAGTGGTTTTAAATGAGCTCTTTGCTAAAAGGAAATGCAACCACAGTGAGAAAAATAATTACCCATATAAGGAAGTGACACCCTAAAAATTAAACAAATTGATACAAATTACACAAACATATTTCTATCCAATTCTGGTAATTTCGCTTCAGCAAAACAATGTCCTACAATACGTTAATGTCTACATTTTGTTGGTGTTGCGGTTTTCTTTGATTTTAACTTGTAAAGTTCTTTTGGGTTTATGATTGTATAAGCACAAGGAGCTTTTACCTGGTTTGATATTTATAAATATTTAAGTGACCATATAATAAAAATAATTAAAGTCAACACTAAGGGCAACTATAAATCGCTCAATTTTGAGAAACACCAGATCAATAAATTCCTACTTATGCTCAAACAATAATCTTGCATCATATGCAACAGGAAATCTATAAACCGAAAAGAGAAGTTGCTATATCTTTGAACACTTATGGGTGACAGAATCCACTTCTAGTATAAAGAAATTAAATCTACAAACAATCAAGTATCCTCATGTACATCTATGTCAGTTGGGTTTTTTTCTTTGATTGGCATCTGTTTCCTCCACAGACTACAGAGCTCCATTAGGACAGTGGCCAAATTTGTTCTGTTCCTTTCCATCTACTCAGAACCAAGCACTTTGCCTTGCCCGTAGGAGCTGCTCAGTAATTTGAGCAGAACTGCTAAAGCTACTGAATTTGCATATTTCATTTTCAACCAATTCCTAACATTTGAATCAGAGATGAATATGCAATAGCTTGGTCAATATATGGGCATACTTAGAGAGGAAAGTAGGATAAACTGACCTCTGTCATCAGTCTCCCTCTGTCTCTCTCTCGCTCTCACACACACAAAAATAGCTCTAACAATCTCACCTAAAATAATCTAAAATTTAATAGAGATCAGGAAAAAAGGGAAGCATTTTCTAATACTCCTACACTGAAATAGCCTACCAAAGCAAAATAAAACTCACAGATATTTATTAATGGTTTAAAAAAATATTTTAGACATATTAATAATAAAAGTGAGCCTAATGATCAAAAAGACAAGAGATAATAAATGCTGGCGATGATGTGGGGAAAGGGAGCTCTTGAGCGCTGTTGGTGGGAATGCAAACGGGTGCAGGCACTGTGGGAAACAGTATGAAGGTTCTTCAAAAAATTAAAAATAGAAAGATATGATCCAGCAATTACACTGCTAGATATTCATCCAAAGGAAATGAAAACAGGGTCTCAAAGAGATACCTGCACTCTTCTGTTCACTGCAGCATTATTCACAATAGCCAAGATCTGGAAACAACCTATGAGTTCATGCATGGATATATACACAGGGTGGGGTGTTATTCAACTATGAGAAGGAAAAAAATCCTGCCACTGCAACAACATGAGTGAATCCTGAGGGCATTGTGCTAAATGAATAAGTTAGACAGAGAAAGACAAATACCATATGATATCACATACATGTGGAATCTAAAAAAGCCAAACTGAGGAAAACAGAGAGCAGAGTAGTGGTTCCCAGGGGCTGGGAAGTTGGGGGGCGGGGCAGGGAATGGGGAGAGGCTGATCAAAGGGTACACACCTCCAGTTATAAGATAAATAAGTTCTGGGGATCTAAGGTACAGCAGAGTGATTATAGTTAATGATCCTATGTTATCTCCTTGAAAGTTGTCAAGAGAGTAGATCTTAAGTGTCCTCACCACAAAAAAACAGATGGTAATTATTTGACATGATGCGGGTATTAACTAATGCTTTGCTGATAATCAAGTCGCAATACAGAGGTGTATCAAATCAATATGTTGTTGATTTGTTCACCTTACATTACATAATGTTATATGCCAATTGTATTTTAATAAAGCTGGGGAAAGTAGTGACTTTTAAATAACTAAGGCCAGTTGCTACATTTCAACAGGAACTGAAATCTTAATACAAAATAGGATATAATTCTTTTTTTTTTAAGATTTTATTTATTTGTCAGAGAGAGACACAGCAAGAGAGGAAACACGAGCAGGGGGAGTGGAAGAGGGAGAAGCAGGCATCCTGCGGAGCAGGGAGCCTGATGCGGGGCTCTATCCCAGGACTCTGGGATCATGACCTGAGCCGAAGGCAGATGCTTAACGCCTGAGCCACCCGGGTGCCCTGAAAATAGGATATAATTCTATAATGCAATAGGCAAAACCCACTATTTTTTTTTTCTCACATCGACAAACAGAATTTGTAACAGATGCTACCTGTATATGTTTTTTTAAAACAAGTTATGAAATTAAAAACTTCAGCAATGCTAGCCCTATAATGATGCAACATTATATATTTTGCACCAATTCAACAGTGAATCTGGAAAAACAATAGTAAAGTAAGACACACACAAATGCCCAGGGTAAGGACCAAATTTCAAACTCTTTAAATTCAAATTTTCATTTGATTTATCCATACTAATTAAGTAGCCGTTATGCACCAAGCGCTGCATTGAGCTTTAGAGTTACCAAGTCAATAAAACATGTTCCCTGCCTTTGTAGAATGTTTGGTCTAAAAGAAGTCACAGTGGGGCTACACACAAAGGGCCCAGGGCCCTGCTGGAAGGAAGGGCTCAGAGCAAGAGCAGGGGGCAGGAGGGAATGGCTTCCTTGGAGGGAGGGCACTCACGACCCTACATGTTAACAACCGGGGGAAGTACACTAAGAGCCCCTTGCAGTAGTCAGCAGCACCATTGCCCACACCTTGGACAAAGGCAGAGCTGGGCTGCCACACCCCACATGTGTGGTCACCCTCTCTGAAGAGCATTATGGCCAATTTCAAATGCACTGGCCTCTCTCTGCCTTATGGGCTATGTACATATTAAGTCAAAATGAGGTTCCCAATCCCAGATTACCATATTCCGAATTGCTGGCTTCAGCTGTCCATGTCCATATTTTACCTAGAGTCATCTATTTTCGTCTTATCAAGTGTGGAAATGGTACGCCATACAAATAGCAATCGACCCTGCTTGGATACATGACAATTTGTTCTGTGGTTTAAGTTTGGGTCTGAATCTCCATTCAAAAGAGTTCCTTTTTTCTTCTGGACTCTGGGGGTTGGATCAATCGGTCATGGTGATGTCTCGGGCAGACAGTTTGAGGCTTTGTCAGAGGAATCCCCGAAGCCTTCTGCATCATTCTGTTCTCAGCATCGCATGGGGGGAACACCTCCCTGTCCATTTCAGCTTCAGATGTCAGACCTATGGCTGCCCTCCTGTTATCCATTCTTGGCACTAGATCTGAACAGGACAGACTTTTGGGAAAGATGTTACTCATACCCTGACTATATCCCTCTTCTGGGTCCTTCATGCCATCTGGGCTTAGCAGAGCACCTCAAGGGCACTGATAAAAGTATAGTTATGATGCTACTTTGGCCAACACAGTTACTCTCAAATCTGTCCAAATGCTGAAACACAAGGACATCATGATTCCTTTGGTGAAACAATATAGCATATTAGTGAATTGGACTCCATTATTTAAACTAGAAACATTACTTCTAGGAAAAAAGTTCATGGTACTTATGCGATATAAAATTTTAAGCACATATGCAGACAAAATCAACAACAAATCTTAAAAACAAGGAAGGAAAGCATGATCACTGATTTCTAAAAACTTCGTCAAGGGCACCTAGGTGGCTCAGTTGGTGAAGCATCTGTCTTCAACTCAGGTCATGATCTCAGGGGCCTGGGATTGAGCCCCGAGGTGGGCTCCCTGCTCAGCGGGAAGTCTGTTTCTCCCTCTCTCTCTGCCCCTCGCCCTGCTCATGTTCTCTCTCTCAAATAATCTTTAAATAAATAAATAAATAAATAAATAAATAAATAAATAAATAAATAAAGTACTTTGTCAATGTTGTTGTAATGTGTTATGATATCCTGTCTCAGAGTGTCAGCAGTCATATGGTAAAGAGATGGAAAGGTTTGAGAAAATTTAGCGCATGTGGAGGTGGGGCTGGGGGGGCGGATATTAAGATGCTTCAATCCATTACTTTGCATTTTCTCCCTGCAAATAGGAGTAAATGTTACTCTGGGTCAATCTGTACAGATGCCCCTGGTCTGGCTTCCAGGATGCAAAGTGGACTATAATGAGGAAAAAGAGGGAAGAGAGGGGCGCCTGGGTGGCTCAGTTGGTTGGGCAACTGCCTTCGGCTCAGGTGATGATCCTGGAGTACCGGGATCGAGTCCCACATTGGGCTCTCTGCTCAGTGGGGAGTCTGCTTCTCCCTCTAACCTTCCCCCCTCTCATGTGCTCTCTCTCTCTCTCTCTCATTCTCGCTCTCTCAAATAAATAAATAAACCTTTAAAAAAAAAGAGGGAAGAAGATGTCTGTGTAAGAACAGGCAGACCTCTGCTCTAAAGACTTTTCATTTATCGTTGAGTTTCATGATACACCAGAATCACCATTATCGACCCAAAGGAAACACTGACCCCCTTTTGCCCTCTCTCTATGCCTTTGTTAAGACGGTCCTAAGTTGACAACATGCTGTCAAAGCAGAAACATTCACTAACAGTTTTCAGTTCAAAACATCCATGAGACATGCACAGCATCTCAGGACAGCAACAGCTCACTCTTCAGGCTTATCGGCAGCCCAGAGGAGAGCAAAATTCTCATCTTATACGTGTGTTTCCAGAGCACAGGCACATAAATAGTCTCTCAGTTGGAAAGATGTTCTAGGTATGCAAACCTTCAGTGAGGCTTAGCTTTTAGTTCATGTGTAGAAGTGTCAAATCCATGGCATTTAAAACTCTAAAAAAGACCAGGAGCATTGAGTGATGCTAGTCAACTATCCTCGTGGCCACCAACAAAGCAGGTGACAGGTACCAATCATTCCTGGGGTCAGTGCAGTAGGTGTCCCTCCCACTGAAACTCTCTCCCATCATTGACAGAGTGGGTAGAGACAGATTTCCTTGGCCGAACTCACACTATTCTGCATCTTTGGCCATGTGGCAGCCTACTTTCTGTGTTACCCCCATGTAACATATTCATTTTCTTATTTAGTGGTAATTTGAACAAAAAAGGCAAGAATTTTAAAGTGTTTTGAAAGTTCCTCCCCTCCCCAACATGAGTGACAGAGAAAACAAAAATCTAGAGCCATACATCCCATCTCCTATGTGAGGATCTGGAATTCATACATGTGGTTCTTAAACAGTGCAGCTAATTATTTTGATGTTTACATACTTGGCACAAATAAATGCACACATATTTAATCTTGATGAATAGGCGGTGTTGACTAATTGTATGTATATTACACTGAGTGGCAATTGTGTGCATGTGTGTGGTGTTAAGTATGTCTTTTTACTCTGATTCTTTGACATCTTAGGGTCTTGCTGATCTTTGACTGTCCCTCCTAATACTGATCATTTCCTACAGATAATAAATTACTTTCCTGCAAGCATGCTTTTCACATACAAACCAACCAACCCAGACTCTCATATTCCCCAATTATGTCTTTTCCTGGGTGTCGATCCACCTGCCCTAATCGCCCCAGGGCTAGGTACCAGACAACTAGGGATGCTCCCTACACCCCAGAGTCCATTGAAATTACTTGAACTAGTCAATCCTAAACCTGCTTACCCTGCTTTGCCTGCCCTGTCCCACAAAAACCTCAATAAAGTTTCCTGCCCACCCCTTCCCCCTTGTTCCCTCTGCCACAAGACTAACAATAATGCTTTGCCACATGCCCCCACCATATACCATGCCTTCAGTTTCTAGGGAACTGTGAGTAAAACCTTCTTCCTTCATGAAAGTCATTTCTGTGTCTGTGTGTCTTACTGTAACTACTTAAATCCCGCATACCCTTAAAACCTTGTGTATGCGTGTATGCATTTAATCAGTAAACATTACAAAATCTCTAAAATCTCAGTTGTACACCTTCCAAAAAATGTAGAAAAAAATCAACAATGAAATTACATTCAACGGGCACCTGGGTCGTTAAGCGCCTGCCTTCAGCTCAGGTCATGATCCCAGGGTCCTGGGATCGAGCCCCGCATCGGGCTCTCTGCTCAGTGGGAAGCCTGCTTCTCCCTCTCCCACTCCCCCTGCTTGTGTTCCTGCTCTCACTATCTCTCTCTGTCAAATAAATAAAATCTTTAAAAAAAAAAAAGAAAAAAAAGAAAGTTACATTCAAAAATTTTCTAGAACTGGGCAACAGATTATAGTAATACCTTTGACATCTTTGACTTGGTGTCAGTGATAAGGAAAGACATATTGTTGATTTCATTCTGTACCACGAAGTTCTGCTCTTCCCTCTTGAAATTCTGAGAATTTGCAAAGAAAATTTCAGTTAAAATATAACCGATATATAACATGGATAAGAAGTCCATGTAATTAGAGGTTACACAGGACCCAAAAGTTTATACAAAGATAAGTAGTAATTTGATATATAAGACTTACCAAGAAAAGGGAGCAAATATTTTTTTAAATATCCAATGAGGGTGCTTGGCTTGGGGCAACAATTCTGGGAACTAGATATAAATATGTAAGCTTCAAAGGTGGGAAAACTAAGATCCAGAATATTTAAATACCAATGTCACACATCTACCGAAGGGTGGAGTGAGTATTCAAATCCCAATTTAGCTGGTGAAAGGCAGATACTGCTTCTTGGGAGAAAAACAGGGTACACACATCTATGATGTAACTTTCCAGTCTGTCAGATATTTTATCTACTTTCTCATTATTATCTACTATAACATTATTTTATTCACTTTTAACTCAAGAACATAAGGACACAGGCAAAGCCAAGTGTCTGAGCAGTGATAGTAAAGAAGGCAAACAAAATAAAAGCGAGATCATCAGAGTTTTAAAAGAGAATTTAATGATCTAAGCGTATGCCTTCCTCTTTGGGATGAGCAAAACCCAAATAAAATGATTTCCTAGTAAGTATCCAAATATGTTAATAACTGATGAGTAATAAAAGGTTTTGTGTGAAGGACAATGAAAGGACTAAGCTTTGACTTTCATTCAGCTCACACTAACATTCTGATCTTACCATTTATAATAATATGGTTGGTCATAGAGTTTCACCTTTAAATATCTGGGGAAGAATATATACGACACATACTAACAGATTTGGGTTTTAAATATACCCATGAGATTCAAAAGTACATACTCAGATTTTTTTCTTACTCTTGAAATTATCATTAGACATTCATCTAAAAATCTACTGACTGTGATAAATACCCCTCCAAATACTTGTTCCAAAATTTTGACTTGCATATATATTTAAAGAAGTTTTTTTGGTATTTTGGTGATTGATGAAGTTGAAGATTCTCAGTCCTTCAAGGAAAAATATGCAGTTTTTACTTTTCTTGATTTACTCCTGGGCTCTGGATTTCAAATATTCCTTCAGAAGCACCCCGAATGATCTAATGCACCCTTTTCAACATGAGTTACACAGGCTCAGAAATCATTTTCTTTTATCTAGAGGAACATAAAGGATCTAAAAGAATTTTAGACATCATAGAAAATGAAAGTCAATGTGAAGATATAAGTGCATATATTAAAAAAAACATTATTCCACCTATTATTTCAGTGTAATTATATTTTATATACATTTTGGTAGCAAGTTTGACAGACTCCTCAGAAGTAGGCAATAAATAATATTTATTATCCTAAACATTAAGTAGGAAAATTTTATTTTTTAAAAAAATATGACATTTCTAAAATAAAAGAATTTGTATAACCATCTGATAAAATAAATTGGGAAGTCACTTCAAATAATGAAGCTGAGGTTGAGGTTTTGTTTTTATTTTCTTGGAGTCTCCCATTTGCTAAATGCCATCAAGAACTATAATTGACACAAAAATTCTAAGCTTTTGAAATAATTTGGGGCAACAATAAATGCTTACTTACCCATAGTTGCTAGTTATTGGAAATAATTATAGAATACTATATCAAGTTCTTCTTATTAAAATCCTTTCCCAGTTCAAAAATACAGAGTTCTACTTGTGACATACAAAATAGTGAAAATTCACTAAAGATGTACTTACAAATTCTATCAACAGGATTCCTAGAAGGAGCTATATTTTATTCTAACATGAGCAAAACTAAACTCCTGTAGAAACAAAGGTGTGTGCTGCTGGAGCAAATTTAAAGAAGTAGTACCTTTACAAGTAAACAAGTGTTATCTTGTGCTTGAAAAACAAAAGTCTATCTCAGCATTTCTCAAACTAGGCATGAGGGTCCCTCCCCCCCCCCCGCCCACCCCCCCCGCCCCCGGAGTGGGGGGGCGCTTAGCAAAACCTCTACACAGAGGGAAGCCTGCAGGATAAAAGGCCACATCTCTATGTCCATGTTATCCTAAAATTTAGGGGCAAATAGAAAAAACCCCACCATTTATGGAGTGCAACTAAAAACCCCTGTGATTTTTCCCAAACTCAAAAAGAAGGTTTAACACTGCCTCAAACTACCGAAGGGAGTCTGTTGTCTCTCCACACCAGTTAAGGGATACCTAGGAAGCAAGCTTGAGAAACATTATCATAGGTATTTACTAAGGGGACTGGAAAATTGGTTAAGAACTTGAAAGCCCTTTAACCTAAAACAAACAGGAAGCCCTGTCGATATTTTCCTACTTACATGGGATTTTGACCAGTAGATAAACACTTCGGCCACCATGCGGAAAAGGTCCTCTGCTTCCGGGTTAGGCTCTTTTAGCCACTTTGCCCTAGATCACATAATAAATGAAGTGGTTTCTTAGTTATTCCTTCGAGTTCATTTTTTTTGTTTTTTAAATCACCCACTCAATGTTAAATTTGAAACCAAGTCAACTAAGGGCGAGCCTGTGCCCACAGAGCTCACAAGTGGCTTCAGAGTCCATTTGTTTAACATTTAAAACAGTTTAAACATTGTAACCGTCAAACTGCTAACTTTAACCTGCAAAAGGCAGCCTGCTCCAGAATGTGATTTCCCACTGTAATTTTGAGATGCTTGGTGAAAATCACCCTGTCTATAAACATTTGGTTATGTCACAATCATGGACAAACTAATCACGTAGTCAATGAAGAAACTCCACTGGGACATATGAACCCAGCAAGGACATGACTAAATCAGAGAAATTCATTGCTTTTGAACACTGTTACCTGTTGTAGTCCACAAATCTAATCAAGAGCGGGTAGAAGGCATAGAGATCTCTGGCCAGTGTGGTGAACTCATCCAGAATGAGAAGTTCTGCCTCGGACATATCCCCCCTGGCCTCGGCCTTCAGGTGGTCCTCCTCAGACACCACCATCGCTGCTTTTTTCTTGAGTTTCTCCATTAATGGCAAGAAATGAGTTTTCAGGAGCTGAGGTTTCACTTTATTTATAATGGGCTGGGAGAAAACTGTTTGAAGACAGACATTAATATTCTGCCCTGCATCAACATTCATTAAAATGAAGACAGATTATAATTACAATTGTAATTGCATGATTTACACACTCTACCCACCCCACCCCCGCCAGCACGTGGCTTCTTTCAGGATTCAGCCCATGCCTCAGCCATTTTTCCAGTCCTGAACCTAATTGCACAGTTGCTGTTCAAAAATGATTACTGAATTGAATTTGATGTGCTTTCTTGGTTTTTGTTTTTAATTGGCAGCTAATTTGGAATAGGAAAAAAAAAAAACAAAACAGAAACACGTTCATTCACTTCAGAAATCAATTATTCTCACAAAAGGAAGAAAAAAATCCCCAAATGGAAAAGGTTCCTCTGGCCCTTTCTTTACAAGGAATATGCACCACTGAATAATTATGACAGTACATCCAGTTGTATTACTTCTGCTTCCCCATCCTTGTCCCAATGGGAGACATACATTGCATGGGACACTGTTGCTTTCATTTACTAATAATAAATGTATAAAAGAGAAAACATCCTACCCAAATTAGTAAGACATCAGTGTATTACTTTGGAGTTTAAGTAAATGAATAATTTTCTTTTTCTTTCTCTCTTTCTTTCTGAATTTAATTCTTTAAAACCCCCTTTTTAAAAAAATTTTATTATGTTAATCACCATACATTACATCATTAGTTTTTGATGTAGTGTCCCATGATTCATTGTTTGCGTATAACACCCAGTGCTCCATTCAAATACGTGCCCTCTTTAATACCCATCACCGGGCTAACCCATCCCCCCACCCCCCTCCCCTCTTAGAACCCTCAGTTTGTTTCTCAGAGTCCATAGTCTCTCCTGGTTCATCTCCCTTCTTTTCATCCTTGAAATTGCTTCCTGGGGTGCCTGGGTGGCTCAGTCAGTGAAGAGTCTGCCTTTGGCTCAGGTCGAGATCTCGGGGTCCTGGAATGGAGCCCCTGTTGGGCTCCCTGCTCAGAAGCAGAGTCTGTTTCTCCCTCTCCCCATTTGTGCTCTCTCAAATAATAGATAAAATCTTTAAAAAAAAAAAAAGAAATCGCTTCCCATTATCCAATGTAAATAGTGCAATGATAAACAAATGTAAATTTTTGACTGCATGCTTTGATTTTCTTCTCCCACTCCTAAAAAGATGAATTGTTAAAAGGGGGTTGTTTCAAAATCCAGTTTTATTTTTCTCTCTGTCTACAGAATCATTAGTTTTCACCCGGCATTTACTGATTACTCTTACAGAGACTGTTCAATCAGGAAAATGTTTACTTGCTTAAAAGTTGTAATAACAACAAAAGTTGTAACGATATGGCAAGTTACCTGATGCCTGATTAAATCTACATTTTTTTAAAGAACAGCATGACAGAAACAATATTTTTAGTATTTTTGACAACACAAGAAAATATTGATAAAGACTAAGATAGGAAAGTTCTAGTCTTCTGTATTTCATTTTTTTAAAGTTTGTTTATTTAGGTAATCTCTACACCCAACGTGGGGCTCAAACTCATGACCCCAAGATCAAGAGGCGCATATTCTACTGAATGAGCCAGCCAGGCACCCCTAGTCTTCTGATTTCAAATCCTTTTGGAAATAAAATAAATTCAAGTAGCGCATTCCTTTCCAATTCTTACCTGCTAACCTCTTCATCCAGGCACCCTCATCAATTCCCAAGTTATTATATATGATTTTCAATATATTCCCCAGGAGTGTGTTCATGTGCTCAGAGTTCAGCGCGGTGCAGCACATTTCAGCCCTTTCCGGATTGTTTTCAGGTCCATGCTCCCACCAACGGGACATGTAGCTGCAAAGCATGGGCAGTATGACTTCCATCACATGTGGTATTTGTGTGTAGCGAATGCCGGACTCGGCTAATTCCACAATTTCTTCCATGAGTTTCTCCAAAGATGGTATATTTGGGCAAACATCTTCCACATTAGTTGGCAAATTGAGAGCTAAAGAAACACACATAAAAAATGAACCGTGTTCAGTGAAAGAACGGACTGACAATGACAGCCAGATTTCTAGAAGGCACAAGCAAGACTGGGCATGCTTTCGACTGGCTCCTCTCTCTTTACTCATGGCAGCTATCAAATTTTCTCTCGTTTTCCCAAGTTCCTATACTACCACCACTCCCTTAAGATCACAGAACGACCATTTCTTCTACTTCGGAGAAAACCAGAATATCCAATGTCTCTGCCTACAAGCCTTCTGTAGGGTCCATCCTCCCACATCCATTCCCCATTTTCAGTGCAAGGAGCTCTGAGGTCCCTGTTCACGGTTGGGCCTGTGTTCTCAAGGTGGAGCCTGCCCCACTGCAAGAGCCTTGCTTGGCCTCTTGAGCCCCTTGCTCTGTAGCATCTCCTTCCCGGTAGCCTGTAGTTATGCTTCCAATCTCCCCTGGATTAATTAGCTTTCCAGAAATGAAGGCCTCCGCCTACCACACTTAATGATTTCCCTGTTTCACACTTACTGAAACTTTTACCCCACTAACTGATATGGGGACTTTCCCATCACTGACGGAATTCCCTTTTCCTCACCTTCAGTGCATTCGGTCTTCCTGACTCCCTCCTGATTTCTGTCAGGCTCCTTTCCTGGCTGTTTGCTCCTTGATGAACTTTAAAATGTTGTGGGTTTTTTTTCAGGATTCACCCTGAATTCTCTTTTCTTTTTCACCTTCTATGTTCACCTGGGTAATTGTGGCCATTCCTATGGGCTTCTGCTATACGCTAGTAACTCTCAGAGCCAGATTTCTTAAAACTTTTGCGTGTAATACTGAATGTCTCAAAAGCAACTTAAAACACAATGGATCTAAATTTAAACTCGACCTTTCCTCTCCCGCCCACCCCATGAACATGTCTTGGCGAAGACAAGTCTCCCGGACTAGAAACGGAGAAGAAACTTCCAGGCTGTAATGCCCCCGTGTTTCCCACACAACAGGATGGGACCTCCAGGATCTCTCACAACCATGATACCCTCCATCCAAAGGGCCTTCCTCAATCTCCTCTCTCCTGAATTACCACAACCATTCTCTGAATTGGTGACTCACACCCATTCATCTTCCCAACTTCTGTCATGATGGATTTCTACAATGCTGACCTACTCATGTTTCTCCTCTTCTTAAAGCCGGTGGAAGGCTCCTCTTTGTGTTGGTATGGTGTCCAACTCTTTCCCTGACACAGAAAGCCTACTTTACTTGGTTTTCCATCCTTTCCTCCTCTCTGAACTTTTCTCCCTCAAGGGCTTCAAGTTTCTCCAAATGTACCACAGTTTCAGTGTTCCTAATTTCAAGATTCCTCTTGAATCAAATCAGTGAAGTCTTTCCTGGGGTCCTTAGCTAAAACTGCATTTTGGTGTCCTTTGTGTTCTTTATTCTGAATTCTACCCCATATGTCTCTCAGTCCTTCTCCTACTGGAACTAAGAATTCCCTGAAAGAATCCAGTCTTGCTAATGCTTGTGTCAAATCTCCCCCATCCACCGCAGTATACATCATAATTACTTGTCCAATGACTAAAACATGAATGAAAATGAATCATTCACTGCAATTTCTTTACTTTGTTATGCAGAGGATGCGTTACAGAAACAAAAGCAGGTAAATTATCTGCCCTGTGCATTTTCTTATCTGTAATGAATAACAAATCTGCCTCATTCTGGACTCATAGCAAAAGTATTCAACAATCAAAAATCCTAAATAAGACAACTTAATAAGGCGGGTTTACACAGATGATTAATAGCTCGAACTCAACCACGTTTTACTATTTACAAATATACTGTGGAATTTATGCACAGAAATATTGCTAAATCACATTCAACATATTTTTCCTTAACTTCCTGTTATATGAAATTAGAATTATAAAACAGGCAAATTAAATAATGATTACTCAAGCTTTTAAAAGATTCCTGACTTGGTAAAAGGCATTATAAAATCAGTATAACCAGCAGCTCCCCTAAAAACATGAGTTAGTTACAGAGAAATAATCTCATTAACAGAGAGGTATGCATTTGTGAACAGCAAACAGTTCTTGCCCAGGTTTTGAGAACTTTTTAGGGCTACTGGAGAGCAAATAAAATACATTATACTCTATCAGACTTTGAGGAATGCAAACAAAAGAGTGATACTAGAGGACATCTGTGTACCTTCAGGCCTTGAGAACTCTGGTTTGCTTTAAATGGCTCATTAGAGAAATAACTACTTTCTGCTACATTAACTATTTCTTATCCAAGTCAATTCAATCCTAGCAAATAATTCTAATAGGTTCTTATAGACGAATTCTTGAAATCGTAAGCAATGGCTCTAAAAGCTTTTTAACTGGGAGAGTGGGAAAAAATGAGCCTCAGCCTACCTACTAACCAACATGAGGTATACTATATTTATAGATGTCCAGTATACATACAGACATAAAAATCTTAAACATATGCAGGCTAAGGTCAGGTTCAAATTTAAGTCACTGATTGTGTCTCAGTGACTTAAAACATTAAAAAAATAAGTTTTTTTAAATGTTAATAATTGGACTACACTATTAGAAAAAATCCCATGGAATAAAACTGTCCCAATAAGATGGACGTATCTGGTGAACAAAAGAACCCGAAGGGTACAAATCCATAAACGTAACAAATAAGAACACCACACACTTGCTGACTACCTATAGGAGATAAGTGAATCAGAAATCAGATTGACCTACTTTTTTCCATTTCTGCCCATTATTTTGTCTTATTCTTACCAGTGTTAATTTGTCTGTGACTCATTAACTTAGAAGAAATTAAACAAATTTTCTTTTACAGACCCTATGGGAACAGTATGTAACATTCCAAAAAGATCCAAATAATAACATTTAAGAACCAATATCACTGGAGATAACAAATTGAAATGGCCCATTAAAAAAAATCACTGTAGGAAAATACAATAAATGCATTGAGTTTCAACTTCATATCTCAAATACTGAACATGCTTCTGTGTTACCTGCTCTTTCTCTTGAGGACTTAGTATTGTAGATAGAGTAAATGTTATGTTTGTCAAGATGAGTTTCCAAAAATGCTACAGGAAAGGCACCAGCAAAAGCCGCAAGACATTCTCCTAATGCAGAACGTTGCCTACAAGTGGAAAATATTTATGTTTTTTATGTCTTCCAAGTAAATGACTGAAGAAGTTATACTACAATTGACCAGTTTAGCCTACAAGAGGTATAATACTAGTGCTACTAATAAAATTAACTCCAAAATCCAATTTCTATATCGCAAAACATCATATGCTTTCAATAGCAAAGTCCCCGCCATTTAAAAGAAAAAAAAAAGCACAATTATTTGTTAGTTAAAAAGAAGACCAAATTCAAAGAAAACCCTGTCAAATCCCCCCGCCCCCCCCCCCCCACAAACACAAGTTTGGACATTTCTTTTGCTTTGCTTTCTTTCTTTACATCTTCCTTTTTTAAACATAATGAACTGATGAAGAATTCTTGCTAGGTGAATAAATGCATTGATAAACATTAAAAAAATAAAGTACTGACACCAATAGACTAACACAATTTACTATACAGAAGTAATTTCAGAGCAGCTAAGAAATATTAAGACATAATAAATGCCAAAAACTATTAATAACACTCAAAAATGATTTATCATTTTTAAGGGAGGGAAGAAGCTTAAGGAATCATTCTGTGATCAGTTGATTCAGGGCAGGGTCTGACCCAAAGCTCCCCCCTGCCACTGACAAAAATTCTCTCTCCCTCAGTTACCTATGGCATCCAAGGATTCACTGGCACATTATTAAATGTAGAACAATATGAGAGTTATTTCAGCATATTATGAACTCCTTAAATTATTGTATATAAATGTTTTATTTTCAAAGTCAACAAAATGTATCTAATTAAGAAAAGATTACATTATTCAGTTAGGTAGTTCTAAATTTCTAACTGAAAAATATGATTACTTAAAATTAACAATGCCTCATTGCCTAATATTTTAATTAAAAATGATTAGACATTTAGTCAGCTAGGAGAAAATATCCCTTCATAGAATGACATTCAATAACACAGAGTTTAATTCAAACACTGAGTAGCATTTCGTTGTTAAAAATAATTTAGGATATCAAGAAATTACAAAGGGTACAGGCTTTGATTCAGATAGACCTGAGTCCCAAACTTATTCCTAATATTTGTGTCACTACAGGAAAATTACTCACTCTTTCTATGTTTTGCTTTCCTCACCTAAAAATAGGGATGCAGAATTGCAAAAATTCTGGCACATATAATGAGTTCAATAAATGTTTGAAAATAATGGGAATATATTTACTCAAGAATTTAATAGCCTAAAATGTTTCCTGTATGACCCCAAAGTAATTTATTTCCTTACATCTGACTGGATAAGTCCTTTTATTTCATTAATAATTCATGTGACCTATTTAATAATTTACTTCAAATTTTCGATTCAATTAGTAATTCCCAGACCAACTCTGATCATTTGTGTTGGTATTCTGGAAATAGCAATTTTTTTAGATGAGTCTTATTAAAATATCTACATTTTTCTTTTTTTAATAATAAAGTCTTTTTAAAAGATTTTATTTATTTATTGAGAGAGAGAGAGAAAGAAAGAGAGAGTGTGAGAGCACAATTTGGTGGAGAGGTAGAGGGAGAGAGAGAATCTCAAGCAGACTCTGCTGAGCACAAAGCCCTTGTCCGGCCCTGAGATCATGACCTGAGCTGAAAATCAAGAGCCAGATGCTTAACTGACTGAGCCACCCAGGAGCCCCAATATCTACATTTTTCTCAGTTATGGTGTCACTTTTTCATTTTTTTCAAAATATCTTTTACTCATCTTTTTCATTTTTATAATCTCCCCCAATGACTTTATAATTGCAAACAACTAGAACCTAACAAAAGGAGCCCAAATTTTATCCAAAAAAAAAACACCAAAAAAACCCCACAAAACCCAGAGGTAAGAAAAGAAACAGCAACAGTACTGCTAAGGTAATGGGAGAGTTTGGACCGCCAGATATTAAAATGTATTACAAACTACTAACAATTCAGGCTACATGGTAATGATCTAATCATTTAAAAAATCAAATAATAGAACAGAATGGAGATTCTAGAAATATGATCTAGTAAATATATTACCTCAGAATATGATGAAGGTTTTATTTTAAATCAGCAGATCAAAGAAATATTTGATAAATCACTACTTGGGGAGGGAGCTGGGGGGACAAGTAAAATAGGTAATGAGAATTAAGAGGCACAAACATCTAGATATAAAATAAGTCACAGAGGGGCACCTGGGTGGCTTGGTGGGTTAAGCGTCCGACTCTTAATTTTGGCTCAGGTCGTGATCTCAGAGTTGTGGGATTGAGCCCCAGGCAGGGATTCGCGCTCAGTGGGGAGTCTGCTTGAGGATTCTCTCCCTCTGCCCCTAACTCCCCCCACCACCACTCATTGCGCTCACTCTCTCTAAAATAAATAAATCTTTAAAAAGAACAAAATAAAATACGTCACAGAGATGAAAAGTGCAGCATACGGAATAAAGTCAATAATACTGCAATAATGTTGCATGGTGATACATGTAACTACATTTATGATGGCGAACACAGAGTAACGTATAGAAAAGTCCAATCACTACGCTGTACACCTGAAACTAAGGTGACTTTGTATGCCAACTACATTTCAATTAAAAATCAATACTTTCCATGTGGTGGATGATTTTAAACATTTAATACGAATTCTACGTAACACTAAAGAGAAATATGAAATTCAGATTCGTTTCTAGTAAGTTCCCTTCTTCCTCCAGAGAGGATCACTTCACTTCACTCTCCTCGAACTTCTTACATTTTCTTTCTCAACCATCACTTGGCTGAGGCACACTTCATAGAGAAAACGGAAGCCATCCGACATAGACTGATCTATACCTGATTTATCTACTACCCACTTTCTGTTGAATGGAGGAGAGTTCGGAGCTTAAAAAATCATGTTCTCAAACATACAGTCTTGAGTATCCCATGTCATTCTCTTTATTGTATGCTTATTCACACATGATAACCTGGCAGTATTACATTTTCCACTTTATTTGTTGTGGGTTTTTTTTTTTTTTTTTCTGTTTCCCCATTAGGTATAAGCTCTTTGAGAATAGGCATCCATCTTGCTTACTGCTTATCACAGAACCTGGCATTTAGTATTTATTGAATGAGCAATGGATTAAAAAGCTAAATTTAAACTGAAAGAATGAAAAACCTAAGAGAATAAATATTTGAATGTCTAGCTGTTATGAGTACGGTATAACCTGTCTAAAAATATTAAGATAAGGGGGAATAAAAACCCATGAAATAATTGACAGGTCAAATAAAAATCAAAATTCCCATGTCATAAAACATTATCTGTACATACATTTATACATAATCACTACAAAGTTATGAAAACGCTAAAAGTCACAAAGATGGTAGAAATAATAGGCAAGAGGGTAATAGTTTTAATAAATAAAATTCATTAATCACCAACACATTAAGAGAAAAATGTATAACAGATATAAAAGGCAATTTAAAAAATAAAGAAATAAAAATGGCAAAGAAAACACACACACAAAAAATGGCTAGGAACCAGGAACTAGGGAAATGCATTTGAAAAGAAAAATGGAATTCCATTTTTAACTACTATATTTTTAAATAGAAAAAAGAATAATCAGAAATGAAGAAAATGTAAGGAAATAAGGATCCTCTTGTAAAACTTAACAATGTCAACTGAAACAATTTTCTGAAAAGACAGTGAGATGTGTATCATAATCCTCTAGTCTATGTCTAATATATGTCTCTTTAACGTACATTTCTAAATTCTAAGAATACAGCTAAAATAAATAAAAATAAAAAATGCAGAAAACTATGAACATAGATTTAGTATTTATAGAAATGAAAAAACAGCCTACAAATAAAAAATAAAGTAACATTTCTATCAATTATAAAACTTCCTTAGTATAAAATATTTTGAAGCCAGAAAAATCATATGAAAATAGAGATTAACTGAAAATGTAGATAAGGGGTGCCTGGGTGGCGCAGTCAGTTAAGCGTCCAACTCTTGATTTCAGCTCAGGTCACTATCTCAGGTTCATGGGATTAAGCCCCGCATCAGGCTCCACACTCAGCACGGAATCTGCTTAAGATTCTCTCCCCTTTTCCCTATGCCTCTCCCCACTCCCCTCAAGCGCTCTTTCTCTCCAAAATAAATAAATCTATTCAAAGAAAAAAATATGCAGGTAAACAATATGCAGCGTGAATCCAATTATCCTTTTACATTGATTTACTGTCCTATTCTATCCACTTGCTACCCTATTTTAATTATTGATACTTTATAAGTTTTAATATTTGGTAGGCCAATGAGTATCCTTCCATTACTTTTTTCATCTCAAAATTTTATTGGCTAGTCTCATGAGTTATTCTTTCAAATGAAATTTCAAATTATTTTGTCAAGTTCAATAAAAAGCAAATTTCTACTTCAAATTTTATTGTAATTAACTATAGATTAATTTGGGGAGAATTTACCTCTTTTCAATATTATTCCATCAGAATATACCTTCATTTATTTATTTAATCAGTCTTCTCTCTGAATGTCATTTTCTTTAGCCTTTGAAAAAAACTGCCTTCTTTTTCTCTTCTCTTTTTCACAGAAATCTTATACTGTCATTACCAGTGACCCCTTATTTTAAATGCAGTAGGGAGTCTTTATCTTGACCTGTCCATATCACCTGCTAATCTCCTCCTCTTGAATGTAAGAACATGCAAAAATAAAGCTCATCCTAATAACTGCCAATATTTATGCTTATTTTCCTTTTCAGATATCTAATGAGAAACTGTTCTAGTAAACTCCTTCATAAAACTCATAAACACTCTCTTTAATCTTTACATTAAATATGATCTTTACCATTATTGCTTTACCTTTTTTTCTACATAATTTGACTCTTATTATATCAATTCAAATTTAACTTAAAGATTGTTCAATTACTCCCAAGGAATTCAATATGTTATGTGGTTGTTTAGTTTATAACTAAGGAAAAACTGATAAAGCAAAGACTTGAAATAGTTATAACACTTGAAACAGCTATTAATACAAAGTTAAACTTTTAACAGCTTACCTTTCCACATAAATACTTTTGCTGGTTCCCAAAGCATATAAGCTAGTCAGAATTCTATAACACGACACCTGTACATCTTCCACTAAGGAAAAACAGAAACAAGAACAAAAACACTTGTTATTTATATGTTGTCCTAAGAAAGTTTAGGCTGAAACCAAAATTCCATACTGAGGGCATACATTTTTTTTTTTTTTTTACATTTTTTACATTTAAAAAAATATTTTTTTACATTTTTTTTTTTACATTTAAAAAAAAAGAAAAATTAGAACAAATAGGTAAAATGAAATATAAAACTATTTCTCAAATACAATTCTTTTCGTTAAGGAGCTGAAATGTACTATAATTTATTTAGAACATTCTCAGGAGCATTTTTTTTTTATAATTTTTCTCTAGATAGAAGAAAAAAGGATTTCTTCGAGAATACAATTAAACACAAGACCATCTGGGAGGACAGATTTTTGTCTCCTGTTCTGAAGGTACATAAAGATTGGGTCTTTTATTTTAACACCTAAGTGAACAGTAATGACAATGCTGGAGGAGGCAGTGAGTTAATTTCTGACCTGACATTCAAGGCATAAGTAAGTCAATCCTAAAGCGAAGCCAGAAAATAAAATAAAACCTTATAGATGATCTATGATCCAATAAGACAGGTTTAAGAGGCAAAAAAAAAAAAAAAAAAAAATCTAAGAACCCTAGATTTCTAATTCTAATTCTTCTACCATTTCCTGGAGAATCTACCATGATAGGAATGGAGAAATCATTCTCCAAAAAGATTACATCCAGACCTGTTTCCATGTCTACACTACAATGTAAGCAATGTTCCTATAATGGTTCAAGGAAATGTTTGGCGAGTAGCAGTTGTGTTACCCACTGAGTAATGCAGTGGTTTTCACCCAGAGCGCTGCTTCACCTGGGAGACCTACAAGGTTGAGGGTCTGAGAGGTGTGTCTGCAGTCAAGACCCACTTGACTGTTTAACAAGGACATACATCTTCTTTCATGTTCATATCAGCAGGAAACTGGGACAGGTCTGATATTATTTGTATTTCCACATTGGGTTGAGCAATCTGTGGATTTTTTTTTTTAAAGGTTTTATTTATTTATTTGACAGAGAGAGACACAGCGAGAGAGGGAACACAAGCAGAGGGAGTGGGGGAGGGAGAAGTAGGCCTCCCGCGGAGCAGGGAGCCCGATGCGGGACTCCATCCTAGGACCCTGGGATCGTGACCTGAGCCAAAAGCAGACGCTTAACGACTGAGCCACCCAGGTGCCCCAAGTGAATATTTTTAATAATTATGGAATTCCAGGCAAAACCAGCTGATTAAATCCCCCACGAAAATAGGCTGAAACCTATAAACAAAAAGTATGTGAGCCACCCTAGTAGACCAATGATTTAGACACAGACTTTGTCTCTGTAGTTTCATATTTGTTGGTACAAACAGCTTGTACAAACAATCAGCACTGACTCAGATATAATTCAAAAACATTTTAACGTTGCATGTCCCATGCTCAAACTGTACAGGAAAAATTCCATGGAAAGAGAGAACACAGAAATAGTAAAATTTGGAGAACCTGCACTTCAACAAGATGGCAGTGAGTGCCCACAACCACCGCCTTACTGGTCCCTTCTGTAAAGCCATGTGACTCAGGGATCTATCTCTTTAAGAATGGTTTCTATAACTCAAATGTCAACCTAATGTTGTGGGGGAAAAAAAAAAAGCGCAGTTTAATGAGTAGGCAGTGTTTGAGTAACCAGAGCTTTTATAATTTCTCATTGTACTATTAGATAATGAAACTCTAAGTAATAGATTTACATACAGATCAGATCTTCTCCGAACTGATGCTGGCCAATATGCTCAAATAATGATGACAGCATCGGCAACAGAGCCACTGTGGTGTAATTGATAATCTGAGTGACACCTCTAGGTTGGTTTCGGGTGTGGGTGAACTGGCCCTGCTTGAGATTCTCCATGGTCTTCTCCAGGTCCTCCGCGGCGTTGTCCAGGAAAGCTCGGAGTGCGCTTTTAACACTCTCTAGGCCAGTCTTCATTACGGTCCTAGGAAGGAAAGAAGGGAGAACATACACCTTGCGAAAGAAGCGAGTGGGAATACAAATAAAACATGCTTCTACTCTCTATTTATCCATTACAGCCACTCAGTCAACTAAATCTTTTTAATTCACTCCCAATTTTTTCAGTGTACTTGAACTTACAAGCAGTATCACTCTGTAAATGCATCACCTTTCCGAAATGCCTTCAGAGTCAACTTACTTAGGACCCCAATCAAAAAGGCAGTGCTAATGCTATTTTCTACCAGTATTTTCAAATTTTGAGAGTATTTGTTTTATACTCTGACAAAACACAGCTTTTGAGCCAGTTGAGTTAATCCCAAATCCAACACAACCAGAATGTTTCCTGAGGCACTGTATGGGAAAGAAACATTTAATCCCAGCTCAAGCCAGTCATCAAATGATACGGATGTTTTGTGCTTTAAGTGTAGCAATCAGCTAAATGAGCCTCCAAAGGCTGAACTTTGTACAGAAGTGACCCTCTAATACCACCAAGTCTAGTAGGAAATGAAGGTGTATAATAGTATCTACTTTTTTCATTTATTATACAAAATGCCTCACATAAAATTTTACACGTGAAAATAAATAAAGAGCATCATGGCACATTCTCTGTAGGAGACATTTAGGAACTTTTATTTAGATTTATCCTGGATAATAAATGAAATACACATATGGCTTAAAGGCTGAATCAACTCTGTGAGATACACTGATTTTGTATTTAGGCAACCTATTGGATTTCCAGTCATGTTGCCAGGAGCGCAGTACACACACTTGGGAATTGGTCTACTTCCACACTTAGTATGCAATCTTTAGCTTCACTTTACTCATCTGTAAAATAAGAATAAAACCCCGTTCCTATAAAGCTAAATGGTATCACAGATGCGGAGCACAATAGTACCACACCCAGAAGCTACTAAGACTTCTCAAGTTGGAGCTTACCATTTCTACTTCACGTGATACATTCCCAATTCAACCCTCCGTTACATTCCTAGCTGCTACAGAAATTACTTGAAATGTGAATAACAATTTATACAAGATCATAAAAATAATAAAATGCCATTGTATCCATCATTTACAAAATATTTTTTCACCCACACTTAAGTCTTTATTACAATTCCAAAGAATAAAATCAAGAGACAAGGTGAGTCTTCATATTCTTGTATAGCATTCCTACAGTTATGTAGACAAAAATGTATCCACTTACCTGGCATCCAAAGTCTGACCCAAAATATGAAGGCAGTTGACAATTGATGTGGCATCATTTCCTAAAGAGGGAAAAGAAGGCTGTGTAAATTGCCCTGAGGATTTCTCACTGTTCTTTTCTAGTAAGATTTGTGTACCAAAAATTAGTCAGTGGTACAATTCCATAATAATGCGATTAAAACGATTTTCTGATAATCAAGTTTGAAATCATGCAGTTTTTCTGCTCAAAAGTGGTTATGCAAATGTAAGGAGAAAAGCAATAAAGCATGTCTCATCAAATAGCTGACATACTCGAGAAGCATTCAAAGCGTTGTGCCAGGCTGAGGTGTTTTAACTGAATTCTTCAAATATATTCGCCTCCCCATACTGGCTCATCTTCTTTCTAAGTCATATTGTGTGTCAACTTTTAAAGTGAACTCATATGTTTAAGAAAGGAGGTGGGCTAAAAGTCTAATAAATTTAACTCCCTTTTAACTACCCAAGTGTCTCTACTTTCTTATTCCATCCAACTGCATTAAGATGAATTAATGTGCCTGAATGTTTTTGGTCTTTGGTAAAAAAGAACTACCAAACTGTCCTGCAAATAAGCATCAGTGGCTGAAGAAGTTAAATCCTCTTCTTACGAGATGATTGAAATGGGGATGACTTTTCTTGAAAGTCAGATGAAATTCACCCATTTTGATTGGCATGTTTTATCAGAAAGTACAGAAATATGAATTATGCAATTACTATGTCCATTCTACTCTGTGATAAAGATACATGTAAGCAAATAAACAAAATGATGAATCCAAAGTTACAAAGTAATTTGACCACTCACAATATAGTGTGTTAGTGTTACTTCCTCATTTTATACTTTCCTATTTATAATATGCAAAGTCATTTCCTGGGCCCAGAGATTAATGACTCCTATTTGAATGTAAGTTTTTGTAACTTTTGAGTATGTCATACTCTTTGTGCAAAAAAGAGTCTAAGATGAATTAAATATACATGAAAAATAACAACTACCTTGGAACCTAGATAAGCCAGTTTAGTGATACGATACAAATAAAAAAAAAATAAGGTATTCGTTGCTAGACTCTGAGTTCTTAAATAAAATGTTCCATTCTTCTTGTGCTTTGATTCTCAGAATTTCTGGTAATAATGAAGACAAAATCAGCAGAAACGCAGAATTTGTTACATCCTTGTCTACTGATTAGTGGCAGTGTTAGAGCTTCCACTTTGGTCCGTAGAAGTATTACTCATTTAATGATTCATTCACTCAATCAATACTTGTCAAATACTAGGCATTCTCAAAGTTCCAGTAATAAGTAAAAGAAAGTTCTCATGGTACTTGCATTTTAATGGGGGACACAAGGAATAAAATTTTAAGAAAAAAATCAATAGGAAACATAATATCAGGCTACACCAAAATAAGTATTTTATATTTGTAGATTATATTAATTATATATAATTAAATAATTTAGAGTATATGTTATATAATTAATATTTATATATATCAGGGGCTAGGGATTAGAGCAACTGGACAGAGTAATAGGGTGAGTGGTCACCAAGCCCTTTCGAAGAAGGTGGCACCTGAGCAGAGATTTGAATGAAGGAATGAATCATGCATAGATCTGGGAGAAGGCACCCAGGCAGAGGGACCAGCATGCGCAAAGGGTCTGAGGCAGAAAGTGGAGCTGGTGTTCCAGGCAAGGAAGTGGAGGTGGCTAATGCATGATCAAGATTCAGGGGAAAGAAGGACCCTATGAGGTAGAGAGGAAGGGAGTGGCCAGGTTCTAGAGCCTTGCAACCAGCGCAAGAACTTTGATTTTTTTTTTTTTTTTTTCAAGTGCAATAGGGAGACATTCTTAAGGTTTTGAACAGGATGGGATCTGATTTATATTTTAAAAGAATTAATTCACCATGTGCAAAACTCTGGAAGGGCAAAAGTAAAGTCGGTTAGGAATCTACTAGAGTCGTCTAGAATCAGAGAATTGATGGCAGTGAATTTGGATTAGGATATCCGCAGTGAAGAATTTATTTTAAAGATATGCTTATGGCCTGAACATGAGATGAGACGGGAAGGAGTTAAAGATAACTCCAAGACTGTTTGGGTGAGCACTTGGTATGAGCAACTGGGTGAATGGTGGTAAGATTTCCTGATGCGGAAAGAGCCCAAGAAAGGAGCCAAAAGAGAGAGAAGAGGGGCAGTGTGGGGCGGGGGGAGGTAGCACGCTCTGCTTTGGACAGGTTGGGTATGATGGGCCTGCTGATCTCAGGTAGAGAGGCAGAATAGGCAGTTGGTACACAAATCTGGGATGCAGGGAACAGATCTGACCTGGAGCTATACATTTGGGCACCATAAGCATACAGATATTTTCAAAAATTGTGGGCCTAAATGAAATAAGCCAGCATGTGCATCAACACAGAAGAAAAAGGGTCTCAGGGCCTCCAATGTTTGGAAGTGGGAAAGATAAGGAGAATGCAGCACAGAAAAGGAGAAAGACAAAGGCCCAGGAGGAAGATGGGATACACAGCAATGTGCAACTACTATTTAGCACCAAGTCAGAGAGGCTGACACTTCACTCTCATCCTAAAACTCACAGTTCTTTCTCCCTTTCCCTTACAGTCTGCTGGCTCCTCGTATAGATGATCTTGTTTGTACTTTGTCCTAAGCCTGACCATGCCCTTTTCCAAAGGAGCGGTTGGGGCATTTTAAACCTCCATTCGTAAGAACTCGTGAGGTGGGACTTTTGTTCCCTGCTGTAGGCCAGCCCCTAGGACAGTGTCTGGCCTACAGCAGGCATTCAACTGAATCTTGTGGGTTGTGAAGAGGAGGAAACTGTACCAGTGGCCAGAAAAGTTCTGTGAGTCAGATTAAAATGCATATGGTGAATGTGAAAGTTCTGTGATTGTAAAGTCACAAGCCATAAGCCCCGTGAAGCGGGGTGCCCCATAGGAGATGCAGTATAACTTTGAACGGCAACATCTCAGTGTGAAAAGTGGTGGAGAAAGGATCCTAACAGATCGAGGAAAAGTATTAATTGAATCTTCAACATTTTGTGCTGTATACCAAGCAAAAGCATCTGTTCTATCAGCACAGGTAAAAGCCTAACTAATGGTTAGTCTTGAAGAGATTAAAGCTTGCAGTAGGAGTTTTAAATAAAATAAGAATTGCCCACATCCTGCCCTTCTTCAGGCTGTCCAGATCACCATCACCAGAAATGTCAATCACGCTATCAGTAAAAACAGGAAAGACAAGTGAGCGTGTAGTACAATGGTAAAATTTTAAAGTGATGGTTGTATTTTCAAATATTTAACTACGTGTAATTGCTTCACTGCTCAGACTAGAATAAAAACCAAAAGTTTGATACTTTTCAACTCACGCTCTTTTAAGGTCCAAACTACTTCCTTTGGCTTCAAACATACCTGCATCACCTCTAAACACCTAGGGAAACACCTCTGGATTGCATATTTGTCTTTAAGATTGTGTGTTTGCATCAGTGTGTAAGCATAAAAGGTACATAATTAAAATCATAACTTATACCTGAGTCTAATAGCGACAGACGGCAAGCATCCAGTTTTTAAAATCATTGTACCAACTCTCATACAATAACTCTCTAAATAAAAATAACGAAGTTAAAGATGTTAGAGTCAAAATATTCTTTGTATTTTACTCCCAAATTGTTTTGTGGTTTTTAATATATGGTTTCTGTATCTCAGGAGCTTTTAGTGTTATCCACAATGTGACATATGATGTCCTGCTTCTGTTTTGCCATCTGATGTACGGAGTATTATCAGAATGGACTTTCCCTCCACTGGGAAAGCAGTAACCACCATTCTAAGTTTCATTCTTCTACCTCACTTTTCTTGCATGACAATACCTCACTGCATTCTCTCCTTTGAAGAAATGATTAATCTTGGCAGAATCCTCATTAATAATGTGGAATAAAATTATGCTAGAGATACAAACTTCTCTCAAATTAGGAGGGGATAGAGAGAAACTGAAAAGTGCCAATGACTTTATTCCTGCTGAAATCTGCAGTCCTGAACAGAATAAAATTACTGAAACTTTCACTTGGTGAGAAGTTTCAGTTAAACTGAAGACATATTTTACGTAATTACATATTCTATTCATTTACTCCAAAGTCAGGACATTCTCTCATAGAAATACATACAGGGGAAAGAAACATCTCTATTGCTCTAATACTGTTTTCTGATATGATCCTCATTATAGGTTTTTAACCCTGGTATTTCTGACCTAATGTATCTCTCTATAAAAAATAGGTTATTTTTTACATAACATATAAAACAAGCTAAATCCAGGAAATTCTTGTCTTTGCCACGTACAGGGTCATCAAACCACAGAACTGTTATGTTAGGGAAAGACCTTAATGGTCCTCAAGCGATGACAACAATAATCAGCAAAAGTAGCAGACTGTGCATAACTGAACCATTAGATACCCAGCATAATGACAGGTTCAGTTCTTAGACATGCACAGTCCTCAGAGACTCTGAGTACTTTAATTTTCCTTTCATTATGTGTCCTAGGAAACAAAAGTAAGCACGATCTGAACCTTCTTAAGGATAATACGTACATGGACTAATTTTCTAATATCTCCTGATATGAGATAGTCCTCATTTTAAACACCTCAATGGGTTTTGGGAGTGGGCAGATAACAGATGGATCAACATAAACTTAACCCACTAATTTTTTAATCAGGGAGAGATACCAACTGATAGAATCCACTATATTAATAACTTCACTCTTGAAACTCTTCTAAATATAACATTAGGATTTAGGCAGCAGTTTAAATCAGGCATCCCCACCTGGAGGGAGAAAACCCAACATTTTAACAAGAACTACTGCTTCATTTAAATACATGAGAATCCTTATCTTGTTCAATAGCCCTGTGGCTAATACTGGAGTGGAGTTAATGATATGCCACATAGGGCTCTAGGGTCACTGAGGTCAAACCAGAAGAAATTTTGGAGTGCTATGCTCATCATGTTACTGAGGGCTTGCTGGAGTCCAGGCCTTCCTAGAAGTCTCTCGGCCAAATTTGGAAACTCTCCAGTAACTCTGGACAATTTGCTCTCTCGTTAATATGTTAAAAATTCACCAGAAAATGGGAAAGTAGAAAAGGCCTCCAAATGACAAGTGTTTGGTGACAGCCTTCTCAAATCGTTCCTGTAGCTGAAAGGATCACTGTTGGTTGGGTTTAATGATCATGTTTGAAGAGTCATTACTTAACGTGTTATTTCCTGTTCAGTGTAAGTGCCCTAAGTGTTTTCTCGTACAGTTTAAGGCATTAAAAAAAAAAAAAAAATTGTTTCTTATAAATTGTGGGAGAACTGGGTACTACATTTTTCTTAATCTCATAAGAAAAAAAAAAGTAAAATTTCAGTTATTCATGAATGTAAGAAAGTTTAAAATCAAGAGCTCTTACTGCATCGTTCTTAGTGTCTACTCTTCTCTATCAGACTGTAGGCTTCCTGAAGGCAGGACCTAGTTCGTTCACTCATTCAACCATCAGATACTGATAAATATGTACTATGTGCCAGACCTCAGATACAACAATAAGCCCTCAGGGAGCGGAGAGGTTTGTGTGAGTGAGACATGTGAATCTGGTGACATCATCACTGAGATGAAGGAAGGGTATCGGGAGCTGTGAGAATGTTGTAATAGGAGGGGGAGGGAGTAAAGGGAGATTGGGGGAGGTTTTCCTGACAGAGTAGGTAATATTTAGGTTGAAGTCTGAAGGATGAGCGGTTTACTCCATTATGGGTGTAGAGGACCAGAGAGGTGACTGCTATGTCTGGAGACCCCATTCCAGTCAGGAATTATAGCATGTGCAAAGACCCTGCGCAGAAAGGAATACAACACTTTGAAGAAGCAGAAAGAGGGCCACTTAGGTAGAACCATCGAGAGTGAGAAAGTGCCAGGAAATGCGGATGCAATAGTACACCGGGGACACTCTGTGAAACACTGTTGTGGCCAGATTCAGATTTTTTATTTTCAAGCAAAGGGAAGCCACTGAATGTGCAGGAGTGTGACAGGAGAGACTGGGTTTGGGGAAGATTGAACTGTTGGGGAGCATGGTTTGGAAGAGCAAGAGGGGATTCAGACAGAATGGTCAGTTTGCTCTTGGAGGAGGACTGGTGACAGATGCCTGGATTGGCCTGGTTGCAGTGCACAGGTGTAGAAATCTTCATTTTCCTATCCCCACAGCCCGAAAGCATGCCTCCCACACAGCAGAACACAGGCAATGGTTATTGAATGGATGCATCAAATGAATGTCATTAAAGCATTAGATTTATTTTCATATCTAAAAATAGAGCCCTTAAGAAGCCCTGACATGCATACATCTGTGGTACCATCTCTGTCCCTGTTGGAGGCTTAGTTACGGATTCTGCTTCCTGTAAAACTGACTGAAAGGCTTAAATGGGCTGTAATAGGAGGGCTTATGTATTTTCTAACTGCCTTGACATTAGTAATCAGAATTTCCACTTAGTAAAAGTGGGATAAAATGATGGGATTAAAAGCAATATTCCATTAATCAATAATGGGTCCTTGAAAATGGCCAATGGGATCTTTACTGCTTCTCAACTTGCCTGGGTCTTATCTACGCCCTAACCAATTTTCTAAAATACTAGAGTACACCAACTTACAATCACTGACAAGGATTTCAGAATTCAAACAGAAAGCCTATCTATATATTATGAAGACACTAATTTATTTATTATTTTTTTCCATAAAGCACTTTAACGGATACACCAGAACTACTGTTCTGTGGGGAAAAGGGCTTGTTCCCCTTTTTAAAAAACTTACCTTTTTCAAATATAAAATGAAATGGTTTCAACACCTCAAAAAGAATACATGAAGCATAAAAACATGACTGATCTCTTTAATTCTTAGTGTGCCTCAATGTTTAGAACATATCTTAAAGTAGGTAAAAGACATACACAAATAGATGTCAAAATTGGGGGAATCTTCAATATATCAGATAAGTTTCCACTACAGATAAGGTCTGGAGGTACAACGACAACTTGGTAGCCAGCCTGGAATAAACAGTCCATTACTCATCAAACCCTGACCTCACCACAAGTATTCTGTCTGTTGGTTTACATTAACGTTCCCCCTTGTGTCTCCAATCTCACCTTCCTGATATGTTGAAGGCTAATGTGTTATCTTTCTACATCTTTATCTTTGCTCATTGTTCATAAGACACAAAGCCCAAGTATTTCTTTGCTAACCTCCATTTCAAACTATCTTAATTTACCCTTAGCTTAAGTCATAAAAAGTTTTTTGAACTAAGTCAGTACAGGAAAAACACTTTGATCATCAGTTTATTCATTTATTCCATCAGAATATGGAAAAATGGTATCATGTAAAAGAAGGGAGAAGGGAAAAAAATAAGAGATTAATAGGACTATAAAGGACCACTGTACATATATATATCATTAGGTCTCTCTCTTTAGGGAAATCCACAATGGCAGAACTGATACATCAAAAATAAATACCCGGCATACCACTTCCATTGCATTCTGGAAATGGGAAGATTATAAAGCCTTCACTGTACAGGTACTTTAAATAGCCAAGTCCCCTAGTCTGGTTCATTTGTAGTTTGATTTATCTAAATAAAAACTGTGCAGATAAGACTAGGAATCCCTTAGATTTGAAAGCTGGACAGTTAAAGTTTCCACAGCACTTGAGCATTCATTACCCTACATTAGATCAGTTATGTGCAACTGATCTCTAAGATCAGGAGTCATTTTAACCTACTTTAAAAATGAAAATAAAAAAGAAAAACAAGAGTTCAGAGAAGTCAAGTCCTTTATCTAAATCATTCAGCTGGTCTGGTTGCAAATACAGCACTTAAATCTAGGTTTAAATCTAGGTTTTTCGATTTGAAGCCCACTATTTTCCCAGGACATCCTATTAGTGTCTAGAGTCAGGTTATAACTGTCAAGTGTAGAGATGACATGGATAAGACTTAAAATTCCAATAACTTGATCAGTCTGTATTAGAAAATGTTTGATTAATGAGGGCCTCTTGAAGTTTGTATTACTTTACAGGCAAATGCCAAGCAAAATTTGAAACAATGAAAACAAGAGAGGCTAGAATAATATAAAGAAGACACACAAATACACTTTTGAGGCAAAGACACATAGTAGCTCTCCAGTAAATTCCTGTTAAAAATAAAAGTAATAGTATTTAAAGGCTAAGGGGTTTAAGATACAGTGCCTAAATGGGGTATCAGCATCATAATAGGGATGGAATGGATGTTAAAGTCAAGGTATGACAAGTTTTATTGTGCATTTATCTTCAATTACTGGACCCTTAAAAAAACCAGGAGATTAAAGAATAGGCAAAATTAACCCACGGTAATGGAAGTCTACATATAATTTCTTTGCAGAAGATAATAAATTGGAAAATGGCACAAGGGAGGCTTCTGAGATGCTGGAAATGTTCTATGTCTTGATCCATATATATATGGAAAATTTCAACAAACTATATCATTAAGCTATCTTCAAGATTTGTGTACTTTGTTCTATATATGGAATACCTCAAAAAAATTTTAAAGAAAATTATAGTGAACTATAACATAGAAAACCAAGAATTTACCATATGCAAGAAGTTAGAAATAGCACACAAGAAAGTACTATTATGCTCATTAGTAAGAATGCAAACACTGCACTTGAGAAAAGGGGTCCCTGTCAGAATGATATATAATAAGACAAACGGAGGACACTTGAATCCACTGTTATTACAAGAAAGTTGAAGAGTATATAATTCTGTCTCCACAATGTTCACAGAAATTTTTCTATGTTGAAGAGAAGTCAAACAAAGGTCAGTAAACTAGAAATTATCTTGAAGATAATCTGCGCATTGATTTGGGATAACTGAAACATTAATGCAAAAACTCAGGCAATTTAAATGAAATAGAACTTTCAATTACTAAATTTAAGAGCACCAAATATTGGATCTAATAAACTTAGCAACCAAACAGGGGTTTAAGGAATTATATCCAGAAACTATCATTTCTCAAAAAATAGACTGTTTTAAAGGACTTAAATGTGTGTGTGTGTGTGTGTTTGTGTGTGTGTGAAGATATATACACACACATACCTATTCCTCCGTTCATTCATTGTGGCTTTTAAAGAAATGACATAATCCTTAGCTTTTCCTGTAAATGGAATTGAACTTGCAACATGTGTATCAGTACACTCAATATTTTATGACCGATATTACCCCAACACTGTCTCATCACCTAGAGTGCAAAGGGCTGAAGTTTGCTTTTGTGGTTTATAAAAGCAGAGACAGGAAATAAAAATACAAATTCTGCCAGTTTCTCTCGGGTCCTACAGCCCCACACCAAGGAGGACCTGTGGAAAGTGTCCAAAAGCAGGTGCTCGGATGGGTGGACTTCAGTTATGTGAATAGAATACCCAGACACAAACAAAAATGGGCTCGAAAAGTCCCTTTTGCCAAGTGAAGTCCTTGCCTCACTGTCTCTATTTATGAAGCTCCAATGTCTGGAATGCAATCAACATGCAGATCTGTAGTCAAGAGCATTACCAAAAAAAAAAAAAAAAATTAAAATAAGTGCAGTTAAAATTTTTTGATTTATGACAGCTCATTCTGCAATCTATTAGAAATAGACAAATTCGAGGGCCCAGTTCTGCTTCACCCCTCTGAAATAAAAATATGGCAGAAGCTGCCACTTGCATCCATTTTGCTCTTTCATAATAAACCTTTTGATTTTCCCAAATGTGCTTTGGACCAGCATGAAAAAGTTACAGTCTTCAATTTCACCACAGATAATGCTACTTACAAACAACCTCGAGGACCTTATCTTGGCCTATGACGACCATGCATGCAGCCATGCAAACATGCATTCATGCAACATAGCAGCACACAACACAGTGCAAAACTGGCAAAGAAAACCAAGTGACGGCCATGCTCGTATTCATTTCAAGGGTCTCCTTACCAAATAGTGAAATCCTATGCCTGACAAGAACTCCAAGTTTGCAGAATAGGCTGAAGACAAAAGAAAAACAAAAGAGAAAGGGGGAAAAGGGGGGAGGAAAAGTAGAAAAGACAGGGAGAAATTAAAATAAAATTAAAAAAAAAAGAAGAAAAAAAGAAAAATAAACAGCTGATATATGAGCAGGAAAAAGCAACATGATGTCACGCAGAAAGAATCAATTCTCTGAGCAGAATGTGGAGTAAAGGTATTAAAGAAAGAATCTCTGAGTGCGTATCTTTAACAAACATGGTTAAAAAAGCACATATTATAAGTAAAGAAACCAAAAAAAACTTGAAAGCAAAGCTAATTAATATAAAAGCCATCTATCTGAACTCCACAAGAATATAACTACTCAAATACCACAAGGAACACACTGAAATTTTATCTGCCCAAATGTAACCACTGGAATTCTAGAATATTCGTTATTGTTGTCATGGACATTATTTAAAACCAGAAGTATGGCACATTGGGCATAAAAGGTTACTTGAAGTTTCAGTATGTTTATCATTTGAACTTTCCTTTTATCCAACTGTGACCACACCCCTTACAAAGCATCCAGTGAATCTGAACACAGTGAGGGAGAGACAGAATTTGAACAACTGATAAACATTACAGATGGGAAAACTTCAAGGGACCTCAATGCTAAGGCTTGAGTTGAGCTGGTTTCTTATCTCCTCTAGGTCTCTGTGTCCTCCCTGGGGATCAGCAGTGAGAGACTGCAAAGAAGGGTGGCCTGCATGCAGCATGATAGCGCTGGTATGCGCTAACTCGCACATCAGACCCCAGAACCCTGGGCAAGACTTGCTACTGACCTGGCTGGTCACCAGGCCACAGTCTAGTAGGCTCCTTAGAAGTATTTTTGGGAATATTCTTCACTCACTTCCCTGCTACACTCCCTTCTACCCACCCCTCAGGATTCAGCATGGGACAAGTCTACTCCAACAAACCTTTGCTAATACCCAGGGCTCCTTCTCCCCTGCCAGTCCAAGCTGGAAGGGGAACTCTTTGGCACATCTCCACCATGACACCTATCCTTCCATATTCCAACTGATACTAGTGTCCCATCTACCCACTCTCTCCTGAGCTCTGGGGAGAGCACAGGATCTGCATAACCCGAGCTTACCAAAGCTCTAGCCTTGACGATCCATTCATACAGTGCTACCCACACCCAGCTTGACTGTTCCAATGACAGAAACAGCTATATTCTGACTGTCCCATCCTGTCTTGCAAAGTTCTCCCATGAACAGCAGTGTGCAGACGTACACTCGTCAGGATATACACTATGCCATGGGAAAAAAAAAAAATGGAGTCACGTGCTTCATGGCAGGATGGGAGCAAGGAGACAGGGAATCACATTGGTGATACTGACCTTCTTAACATGAAGTTTTGGCTACCATTTCTCATTTCAGTAACTATGCCAATAAGGTAAGAATGAAAATTAATTATATAGGGCATTGTATAGCTTTTCCAAGAGAACATTCATCGACAAATGTCTAAGTGAATTTGAGGTCTTGAGAAATCTCCTAGCAGTTCTAAAAGTTTTGAAAACAATGATCTGTTCAAGTAGATATTAGAATTTAAAATAAGACATCAGCCTCCTGAGCTGCATTATTCATCATCTTTGTGTATACTGTAAGGAAAAAAAAAGACAATAAACCTAAAGCAACTTTTTCCAGGTGCCCTCATCCACTGAGCCTTATGCATGCTAACTCAACAAAGGTCTGTCCCCATCTGAAGAGAGTGATAACTTCTTAGAGTTGTACACATTTTGGATCTCTACATGTATACCAACCTATTTTAAGTGATCTCTTTAGCACTTCCTGAGACTCTAGGATCAGCATGAAACATATGGAGATAATGTTGAATTTAGGACACTAGGATCATGTTTTAAACCAATTCATCCAGACCTAGGACATTTTGCTGTGATGGAAAACAGAACTGCTCTGTATCACATTCTGTTGGAAATTGAATGTCTGAGAAAAATGACTTCTTATAGTAACAACTGCTTCTTAACTTTACTTGTTCCTAATCAGTGGCCAATGTGCTACCAGAGAGAAATAGAGATATGTAGAAAACCAAGTCCACCTAAAAGACAAATCATATTTTTTTCCTCTCCTGTGCCATCCACTTTCAGATTGTAGTTTCTATACTGACTATAAGGTTTCATTACCGTAAGCTTTGGCATATAGTTTTCTCCAAAAATATTTTCCATAATGTTGTTATCCCCTTTCTGTATATCCCATCATTACCAACATTCTTAAGAATTTATAATGCATCTACACCTCCTTAGCTTTGATGCCTTGCTTTGTCATTTTGCTTTTCACTTCATTGCTCTACTGAAAAGCTCCCTAGATAGTCTCAATACCTGCCAATCAGCAAATCTAATAACACCTTTTCAACCTCCATCCTGAAGAGCTCTCTGCGGTACGTGGCATCATCGACTATTTCAATCTGGGAAACTCGGAATTCTGTTTTACAGCAATGCATTTCCCCTTTTTCTCTAATTAATCATTCTCAGTGTTCTTTAAGAACCCACTTCTGAAAACCCTTCAGATGGAATAATTCGCCAAGTTTATTCAGACCTTTTTGCTTCTCTCTCCATTCCCCCTTCATCTGCTTTCAGAACTTGGAGCACCACAGGGGTACAATCTCTGAACATGTCATTTCTTGCTCTGGTCTCTCCACCAATACCAAACACTCATTTCCAACCTTTGGCTGGACATCTCAAGCCGAATGACCTGCTACTACTTCCTTATATACTTCAATGATTTCCTAACCAAATTTAACGTCTTCTTCTCAAAACCAGTTCTGTCATTTCTTTTTGCTGTCACCACCAATATTGTTCCAACCACTCATCATCGAAACTCCAGCACCATGTTGACCTCCTTCTTCCTATCTTCCATAGGACTCATTGCCCTGTCCTGTGATTTTTCTCTCATCCATGCTTCCCATATCCAGCCCCACTGTGCATGTGTATCTTCTCTATATTCCCGGACCTTTATGTACGTTTCCATTACTCATCACAACTTACTAAGTGGTTAGCTCTACATGTAAGCGGGTACTCAGCTGCACTTTGAAGTGCACTGGAGTTAGGAACCGCATTGTTTTATGTGCTTGTTCATCCTCAAACCCAGGACAGCACCTTGCACATGGCAGCCATTCAAAAAGACGCGCTGAATGAATCAGTGGGTAGAACCACCTATTTGAGGAAGCAGGTCTGTCTCAACAGCCTGCACTGCTGTCACAGCCTCCTAGCAAGCTGATTCTTCTCCATCCTGCTTTTGCTGCCAGACTGCCCTGTATCTCAATGGCTTCCTAGGGCTAATGAATTAAGTAAAAAAGACTAACTGTAAACATTAAAAAGAAAAAAGGAAGATGATGCCTTATTCTGGCAGTTAATGTCAATTAGAGTATTCCATAAGGAATCTACATAACCCACATTGCCCCTAAATCACTACATTCTACACTCTCTATGCTATTATCTACATGTAGAAAATAGCCCCCCTTCTGAATCTATGACCTACATGTTCTCTAAGATCAATTGTGAATTATCATGGCTTTCCCTTATCTCTAGCCTATCCATACCCATCCAGTGTGGCCTCACTTTACTTGGAATCCCACAGCACTGCATGGCTTTCTTCTAGAATTATATTTCTACTCACATACCCAGCTATTGCCAGACACACTCCCAGAGTGCAGAGGCCACACCTCACCCCTTTCCACACACATGATCATAGAGTAAATGCTCAATACGTGAGGTCTAGTGCCAAGAAGTATCTAAACATCCAATGTAAACAACCCGTTCTTAAATGTGCAAGTTAACTTAGACCCACAGAACTATTGCTACACACAACTGTTAAATACAAATTAAAATGATCACTTCAGTGTTCAACCTGTGTATGAAGGCATGACTGCTTATCCACAGTAGCAGGGCCAGTGTTTTTTGTTGGGTTTTATCCTATTTTTTTTTTTTTTACCAATTTTATTCACTGAAGTAATATTTAACTGAAGTGGTAAGAAATCACACATTTATAAATCTCAGTGATTCCATTTTAACATGGCAAACAAAAATTTTAGTCGGCTTTTGTTAGTTTGATGGTGATTTCGGTTGTTTTAAAACACATTTTTATGATTATAAAAGGTTTTTCATTTTAAAAACTTTAAAAATATACAAAAGTAGTAAGAAAAAATATCTACTATACTTCCCTCAATGAAAACAATTATTAAAATCAAGTTTCTTCCCTACCAGTATTTTTCTACATATACAAATATGGGTTTTTTAAAAAAATCTAGATGCATACTATTTAAATATATATTTTACTTTTTAAATAATCATTGTCCTAGGTTATTACATATTTGCATGCATACTTTTAGTGACTGGACAGCATTTTGCATGTGCCATAATTTATTATTACCTTAATTCATTTTTTCATTCCAAAATTTTTCTGAGGTTAAATTCTATGTTTGGTGCACAGGTGCTGTGATGAAATTAATCTACTCCTATTAGTGTGTGTCTCAGTCCTGTATATTGTTATTTTAGACGGATTTCTCTTTTGGAAACGGTAAAGGGAAAAGTAAAATTTGCCAACCCTCTTTCCAGGAGGTGAAGAAAAACTGCAGATGACATTATGGAAAACATTCTGGTGCAGTGTTAATAAAAAGGGGGTACCTCAGGCCCCCAAACCACATTAACTGAGGCTGGCACAGAATAACAATGCTCTTCTGATTTATTCTGTGAGGGAGAGTCGGCAAAGGAAAATTAAGTTACTTCTGAGGTCAGGGAACAGTTCTAAGAATGAAACCTAATGAAGATAAAACATGATACAGGAGAGGGGAAAGAACAGAGTTTGCATACTTGTATTTTTTCCTACATTCGCTGACTGCATTGTCTCTTAGTTTACGTAATTGAGTGACAGCTACATCAACAACAACTCTGGGAACAAAGCCATTGTTATAAAAGGCTGGGGAGTGGGGTGGGGTGGGGTGTGAGGAGACTTTGCAGTTAGGGCTGCAGGGTGTTTAAAGGTAACTTGATGCCCTGGCATTTTCTAGCTGCTGAGACCCTCCCAGTCCCCTGGGGATGGTGAGCCTGTGAAATGCAGAGGGATGGGCCTCTCTCTACTGGCGAAAGAAGACCACGCCAAAGGGAGAAGGGGAAGGGGATTCACATCTTGGAAAGTAGCCCCTCACTCCTCTTTTTCCGGTAACAAAGTTGGTGGAAACAAAGTATGCCACTGGAAGAATTCTCTGTTTCCTTAACTATCATTGGTTTTACCAACTTCGCAGGAAGATCGTTATTTGAGGAAGTTTGCGGCCATTTTTAACCCTGTTGCAATCTTATACCACATGACATCACAGATCATTAAAGTCAAGTCCAAGGAAAGCTTGTATCTTGCTTTGTGTAGGTTACTCACTTTTCTATAAATTTTATTTTTCAGACACAATCTAAGAGCTTGGTGTCGATTCCTGTGCGATTTGGTAATACAGAAATAGATTTGCTGAGTAATCGAATCTCACGCGTACTAAATTTTGGCAGAATTCTACAAACTCAGACTTGAAATACCCAGCAGAATCACAAATCAATCTATGAGGACTACTTAGGTTCAAAGAGAAATGAGAAAGCATGGCTAAGATACCAGCCTGAGTGGTGTGAGGGCAAATCTTCAGAAAGTACATACTTTTAGGTCATTTTCTTCCACGATTGGTCATTATTTTCAAACAAACATCGTAAAAGATAATTTCTGTAAATGGGATTTTACAATCCAGAAAAATGCCTGTATTTTTCAAGATTTTGGCAAAAATAATAGATCCGGAGAAATTTTAAAGGAAGGAATGTGAAAAGCACCATTTATCACAAATACTAATCCGGAGGTGCCTCTACTTGTGGATTCTGTGCTGGTTGCCTTATTCCTTCCATTCACCATTATATTTAGCAGCAAAAGAGAAGAAAACTCAACATTTAGAACACATGTATTAACTTGCAGAGAGCATCCTCCTCACAGTGTTTGGATTCCAAAGGGCCAGGGGTCAGGAAGCCAGGGGAGGCGGGCGGGGGCGGGGGGGCATTCTGCATGCTCCCATTTCAAGGTCCCCAGCAGCTCTTTCTCCAATGCAAATACACTTCACTCCACAACAGTCTTTATTTTATGTAGCTGTTTACCTAGTCACCATTTCCTTCTCCTTGTTTGATGCATGTCCTCCAGAACAGAGAGGTCTGCTTGCTGCAGATAAGAAGTATAAACGATGGTTTTTGAAATACTGATCAATTAAAGGAAGAACAACCTGAAAGAAAGGAAAAAGAGAACAGATCTACACAGTGGGCTGAGGCCCTGGAGCAGCCAGAGTTCTATCCACACCCAGCAGTTCGCCCAATATCCGTAGCCATGCTAGTCGGCAGGATTTTAGAGCACACCTCTCTTAAATCTCACCCTATCTCCGGTCCCCGTGTGTGTGTGCATATGCACATGTGCATACATGAGACAGAACGTGATTATGGGGAATACACCAAATTTTCAACAGTTTGGAATTACTTTCAATATCTTTTTAAAATGAAATATTCTTAGTATTTTCATCTAATGTGGTTCAGTGCCCGATCGGTTCAAAAATAATCAACAACTACCATTTATGGAGTCTCTACTAAGTGTGAAGATCACAACTGACATACTGGCATTTCATTTTTTCTAGCCACTTCTCTGTATGGCAAGTGTCATCACCCGTGTTTTATAGGTAGTCAACTGAGGTGCAGAAAGTGAGTGACTTACTCAAAGTCACGTTGCCCACTTAACCTACCTCCACAGTGTTCTTACCTGGCCTCTCCCCAGGCCCACTTGCCATTCCTGGATGCTAATGCTGCTGGTCTTTGGCAAATTCCCCCTCTTCACCCTGTATGCTCACACCACAAGGCTTTGCATATGCCATTCCCTATCCCTGAAATGCTCTTCCCAAACTCCATAATCCATTCACTCTACTCCTGCAGAGCTCAGCCCAGTGACACTCCCTCAGATAATCCTTCACTGACCTCCTCAACTAGATAAAACCCCCATATTCGCTGTTCTTATAGCATCATTTGCAAAAAACAAAAAACTTTGATTCTGAATTAGTCTCTCTCCATAGAAGTCTATAAGGTATACACAATAGACATTTCTGGGTTTGTTCCCATTATTGCCCTCTCCTAGCCTCTATGACCACTCTTTGCTCTGTTTTGTTTACTACTGGATCACCAGCACGTAGGACTTTGTGGGACCTACTAGATCAAGACTGGTTAAAAAAAATAAATGAAAAAAGTAATAATAACTGGATTACCAGTATTTAGACTCAAGTCTGTCTAACTACATTTTTTTCTTACAACGTGGTATAGCATATTTATATAATAGCAAAATATAAATGTTTTGTAATCTTCCTAGAAAGTTGTGACATTGCTTGAACTTAGTGACTGGCACATAATAGCTACTCAATAAATATGTGAATGAATGAATCATAGAAGAAATTAAACCACATGAAGCATCTGCAAACAAAATCACTACCGGTGCTGAGTACATGGGGCGATACAAGAATGTATCTTAAATGTATGATTAGAGGCCATGAATACAGCATTTGTAATAATTGGCTATTAGGGGGATTACAACCCAGTGGAATAGAGTAACTAGCAATATGCAGCTCAAGACAAACTTGAGATGGTTGATACAGATTTTGAGCAGTATATTGAGTGATAAGAAAAGACAAGAGAAATCTCCCTTACAGAAAGGGCACAGTGCTGAAAACATATAATAGAAGCCAAATATCAATTGAAATAATGTGCCATTTTGCAAATGATCTACAGTAACCACCAAATGCAAGTACTTTGAAAGTAAATTGACAGAAAACATTAAGTCTTCTGGTTAATTGTAGCGTACTATAAACAGGAAAACGTCCCAAGGGCATTCTGTGTCCATGAGAGTAATCCCTGGGATGTAGTCTAACAGCTGACAGAGACTAGGCACGTAGTATATGCTGTGTAAGTGAATGAAACCAATGTGGAGAATCTGCAACACTCTGTCTCCTTCCCTTACTAGCTGAAAGAAAGTCATGAATGTGCCAGGCAAAAAGCAGATTGCTGATAAATTCTTATTAAATGGAATGAATAATAGAAATGGATATAGTTGATATATAAACAGTTTATCCTCTCTGATCCTCAGCTTCCTCATCTGTAAAACGAGGACAGAGGTCCCACCACAAAGATTATACAGTAAAGCTTCTAATAATATAAAACTTTTAAATTTTATAATTTTAAATGAAAAATGCCTTTCCTCCTTATAAAAAAAATGCTCATAATTTTTTTAAATCATAACCACTGTTGCATATTAAGAAGTAGATATTTTTCTTCTATGTCATTTGATAAAAGCCCCAAAAAGGGGAGCTTTGAATTAGACTCCATATAGCTGGAAGTGATTTGAGGATTAGGGCAGGAAGAACAGGGAGTTGAAGTATGACCAAGTATCCTGGCAACAAATTTATCCCACATGATTCAAGCAGTTATTTCTGTGCCAGAGAATATTTACTTGCAGAATTCACATTTGTAGACCAGCACGCCCTGGAAAGAGGCAAAGATCTATAGAGTATATTTGGTAAACAAACATACTGAAGCAAAAACAAAATGGGACTGTATACTGTACTTTAGCGAAGAACTTGATTTCCTGTTCGTAAGGGAAATGTTCTCCTTTGCTTCTGCTGCCACCATCTGTTGATGGGAAGAGTGGTTTAGGAACATGTCTGACTTCAAACATTACAAGATATTCACCCAAAATGCAACAATTAAAACACACTGCTCAATGTGTTATCCCGGTAAACTGAACACAGAAAGGCATCCAAAATATCAAGGCTAACTTCATTCAGCAGGATAATAATTTTTAAAAAGGATTTAAAAAAAAATACCCAAATCAAAATAAAAAATTTATTGAGGACAGCCCATACGTGGGGTTAAGAGCACACACACGTGGGGTAGCTTTATGATCTTCTTGACATGTAGGGGACAAATGCAATAGAATAAAGTAAAAATCCCACGTCTTCTTCCAGTAAGAAAGAAGCTCACTGGAGTGAGCACAGCCACTATAAACTAAGGAAACAAAATTGGTGACATTTTAACCCTGGCCTCTAATAAAGATTGTTACCTCTTGCTCTGACTGAGAGTTACAATATTACTATACCCAACTAAAAAGCTGCAGGAAGCCAGCTTGGGATGGGAGGGAGGATCACCACCATAGTATTAGATTGGAAAATTAACATGCTGCTCAGGAATAAGGAAGTTCACTTATGTCACAAGATAATTTCCATAAGCAAAGCAAAGACACCCAAGTTTTCCCCAGGGTTTAGAAAATGATTTCTAGGTTAAGAACTGATTGACCTCATGCATTTAGCTTGGAAGTGGCCTTCTGCATCTCCTTCATGCATACAGAAGGGGCTTCCTGCATATAGAAGAGGTAACAACAACTATAATAACTGAGATGATATGCAGAACACACCAGAGAGCAAAAAAATTCAGAACTGGATATAAAGTTTTGGTAAAATTTATAAGCAGAGCTTCCCTATTTTATTAAGAATCAAACTGATTTTTGCTTGGAAAAGTTCTTTTGTAAGTAGAAATAAAAGCAATTTGAGATACATTTCATTAAATCTGAGACATGAGTTTGGGATAACTTTTAGGAAATTTAGGTAATATTTTGTAATATCAAATACCAAACAATGCTCTTCCCATGAATAAGTAAAAGAAAATTATGCCTTTTTTAGACTCACAGATTTCATTTTTTGTATTGCTTTTACATCCAATCTCTCTCAAGAATATTACGTAAAATGGCTGCATCCATTTAAGGGACTTTCTCATATAAACTATGTCAAGACAGAGTTTTGCACATAGCTAAAAATGCTAACATTTCAAGGAATTAAATAGGAAATATCTTTCCTTTTTACACCATTATACATTTTAATGAAAATGCTTATGTGCAAAGTCCTGATGGAGAGAATATGATCTAGATGTAATACAAAAATCAGAAAAAGGCATATGTGTATTCTTACTATGGCCATTAGCCTCAGATGTGCTGCAAGGGCAGTAAATTTAAAGATAAAAGAAGGCATGATAGAAGTTTCACTTGCAGGGACAATGAAAAATGAAAATCAAAATAAATGTAAACAATCCCAACTCTGCTCCTCTAACAGAGTTCTTGGTGACAGCCATCTGAAAAAGGAACATGTGAAAAAAACCTAATTCCTTGGGCTCTACACTGACCTAGCCTTACTTTCTCCCCAACATTGGGTTTAGAAGACCCTCTACCCTGTGGAAAGAAAGAAATATCCTAAGCAGGTGAATTTGCAGCCATGTTCTCACCATTCCCTCTGCACAAACACTGGTTTATTCAGAAACTTGAATACAATGTGGATAAAACCCAAACACATTTGTCCGTCAAATTTCTGTTTCTGTTATCCATGCAGGGTTAAAAAAAAAAAACTGTTTTTATTAATACTCTGATTTTGCTTTCCTTCTCTCTTGACGTAAAGAAGACCAAATTTGAGTTGCTACTCATATCAGATACTTTTAAATATGCTTGAGAAATTTCAGTATTTAGCTCTATGCACAAAGGCTTCAAAAATTCACCATGGCCTCATTTTTTTAAAACAAATTTCATTAATTGAGACTAATTTGCTACTTTTCAGGGTAACTCATAAACCGTATTTTTTTAAAAAGTCATTGTATGAGCTACAGAGAGATTACGTATTATAAATTAGTTTGCACAGTTGGCTTTTGTGAAAAGGTAGTTAAGGAGAAAGCCAAAGTACAGCACTTGGCTACAGATGAAGAGCAGGCTGAGAAAGAAGGAGGCTCTTTAAGAGAACAATACTCAACTGGAAAATCTTTCATCACATTTAGGGTACAGGAGACCAGGAACAAGAAAATACCAAAGGGCTCGAATTTCTACGAACTTTAATCTGACATGCCAAAAACTAAGTCCTAAATCCTAAGAAAACAGTTGCAAAAAGAGCCCCTGGTCAGGATGGGTTTGTGGAGGATATATTTATTACTAAGGGATCTAGGACTATGGGCCCTGAGAATGAGGATTAAAAAACAAAAATTAAAACAGGAAAAAAAAAGCATGAAAAAGAAAATAAAAAGATAATTGCCAGAACACACTTGTTTTTCCAAAGGGGCTATCTTAATCCTTAATCCTTCTATCTTAATACCAACCAGGGGCTGGAACATGATCTGACATGAAGCTCAGTACTTAACAACTCACATTTTAAGTCAATAGTGCTGAGGACAATCATGAAATAAGATATGAGAAGAGGCTGTCTTGAAAATCTGTTCTGAATCTAAGATTTAAAACAAGGAATTCTTGAGGCACCTGGGTGGCTCAGTCAGTTAAGCATCTGCCTTCGGCTCAGGTCATGATCCCAGGGTCCTGGGATCGAGTCCCACATCGGGCTCCCTGCTCAGCTGGGAGTCTGCTTCTCCCTCTCCCTCTGCCCCTCCTTCCGCTCATGTTCCCCCTCTCTCTCAAACAAATAAATAAAATCTTTAAAAAGATAAAAAAAATAAAACAAGGAATTCTCTTCATACTTTGGTAGCATGGGGTCACATGGGGAGGAGGTCTTCCGTTTTACTTTAACAGGATAACAAAGTGTTCCTCATCGCAGATACTCTAGTATAAATGTATATCCCTACAAAGGCTAAACTCAAGGCCTTCACACTGCTTAGAAAGTTTGGGGATCCACAGTTTCAGTTTTTATCAAGAGCAGGGCCATTAATTTCATAAGGAAAGATTTAACTGTATCTTAAATTCTGATGTCCATATATGTCTTTCAAAAATAAAAAATCAATGACAATAAACATTATAAGGAGAAAAGAATGGTATGTTTGATTTTTTTTTTTTAAAGGTTTCTAAATTTACCCATCCCTCAGAACGTGTCTGCCTACTGACTGTTAGATTCTATTTAGTAATAGGATGGGTAGACGGTGTTTATACCGCCAGGGAACAGACCAAAAACAGCCTGGCAGTCTGTGCTGTTCTAGACCCTGATCTTGTCAACATGAAGAATAACAAACACTGGACTGTTAGTAATAGGACGATGGTACCTACCAAACTCCAGGATATACTGATGGGCTTCATCCACGTAGCGAATGAGTTGCTGAAGGAAGCTATAGGCAAATCGTTTCTCAATGGACGGTGTGTCCAATTCCAGGTCCTTGAATCCCCTAGAGCAGCAAAAATGAAATATGGAAATCAGTTCCTACAAAGACTATTGGAAGGTACAATTTTGCTTAAAAAGTATATATGGTATATATAAAAATGGAAGGTGATCTAATATCCTTGGAGCTAAAGGCAAAAGTGAGATTTAATTTATAAGGAATATTTTGTATCTGATACAAAACTCTAGAGAGTAACTCTATTATTATGCAAAAAAAGTCACCTTTAGAGAAAGAGAGGGTCATTTTCGCCAAAAATTTGTGCCTAAAAGATGGATGAGATTTAACCTAAGTGGTGAAAGGAACCAATCAGGTGACAAACAGCCAAGGGCGTTAATGTTTCTGATGTGTGTATTTTGAAGATACTATAGCTCTAAGGTTTAAATGGATCACTGAATCATTTTCAGCATTAAATCTGACAGGGATATTTAAACATTCAGTCTTCTTAACAAGAACGTGTAATGGTCGGTGTGCTTTTACCTGGATACAGCATAGCCATTGATCTGCAAGAATTTGAGGATGTCCTGTGCTTTTTCCCTATCCTTGGCTTTCTCTTTGGCTGTCAGTGTATCATAGGGTACCAGCAGGGGATGGTTTCCACCTCCTGAGAGCATGCCGAGACAAGAATACAGCACTGCAATTAGAAAATAATCTGAAATGTGATAGAGTGGCATGTGTAACAGGACCACATTACAGAACTTCTAGTATCCTTCTATTATACACGGAGTATATATAAGTCATATAAGGCTCTTGCCTCTCCAGTGCCTTTAATGTTCTAATTAACTTAGGAAACCCATTCAAAGAAAGACTGTGCATATGCCTTCTAAGAGGCAATTAAAATACGGATGCGCAGGTATTTGTGGTGTCAAGTTCTGATGACATCTGCAAGCACATGAGAAGGGAGGAGAAGCCACATTCCCTCTCCATCCAAACGAATTCTGGATGTGGAGTGTGTAAATACACCCCAAAACATGCACAGCTTGAGCTAGTGAAATTATAAGGCACATTTCAAGGGATAAGCTTCATTTTCTACCCCCGAGAGAGAGAGAAGGAAAAAAATGTCTTAACTATGGAATTTTTATTTTTATTTTTTTTAAAGATTTTATTTATTTGAGAGAGCGAGAATGAAAGACAGAGAGAGCACATGAGAGGGGGGGAGCAGAGGGAGAAGCAGACTCCCTGCTGAGCAGGGAGCCTGACGCAGGACTCGATCCCAGGACTCCAGGATCATGACCTGAGCCGAAGGCAGTCGCTTAACCAACTGAGCCACCCAGGCGCCCCAAATATGGAATTTTTAGTATGCTTCCCAGATCAAACAGTACTTTAGAGTCACATATTCCACATAAATCCTATACTTACACTGCTAAGTTAAAAGCGAATCTCTCTTAAATGTCTAATAAGACTAGCATACATACTTGACTGATTAAAAATTTTGGCAAGCATCTAGGTTTCCAGTTTACCTATTTTAGCGAAAAATACAAAAGAGCATCCTTTTAGATTTAGAAAATATTGAACGTTTGAAAAAACGAATAATGAAAAATATCTTCATAAAATTACAGATTTTGTAAAAATTTCTGTAAAATTTATAAAAGTTTCAGAACATGCGCTGGTAATTACAGATGTAAAGATCTGATGAGCGGTGTGCCCCAGATGTAAAGTTTATAAAACACGTATGGGAATATATTTTCAACAGGATGCTGAAATTCCTGGAAACCAAGCTGCTAAATGGGAATTCCAGAAAAAATACTTAAAAATAAATATTTGATTTGAATTGTGGGGACAACATAGAGCCTATTAGATCAGTGTCCAGTATGATGTCGCCAGGAGCCACTAAAACAATCACAAATAATGAATTTGCCTGACGTGTGAAATAAGCAATCAAAAAGGCAAAGGAGAAAATGCCACATTTTCCTGGAATTTGCTTGGACTGAGAGTTCCATCTACAGAAATGCAATCGTGCACTGAGCTTTCTCACCATTAGGTGACACTATACTGTCATAAATGCAAAGGATAGTCTGCCGCTACCAAGCCAACAAACACTAAACACATGAAGGATCCGTCAGTTATTTTATAGTCTGGTATTAATAGTATCGAGTATAACGCAATTGTTAGAAGACAATAGAAACCAGCACTCTGCAAAGAGCAAGAAGGATAAAGAATATATTATTAAGCACACTGAGAACAGATTTGACTTCTACCATAATCAAAGATGTAACGGGATGTTTTATGAAAAAAAATTGTAAATCAAACATCTAATTTAATCATCCTGCAATCAACTCCTATTTTGAACTCCACTATTGCATTTAGTCCTTTATTCCTAGAAAATTATATTAATTTGGCAACCACAGTGATTTGGGAGTCAGATACCAATACCAGATAATCAAGGAAGGAGAGAGAGGGTGAGAGAAAATAAAAAGCCCAGGATAGATGGAAACCAAAGTATGCAGCTCCTGAACAGATTCTTTTAGATGTCTAGGTGTGTGACTGTAAATTGTAAATGATTGTAAAGGTAAATGACTTTGTAAATGACTTTCTGTTTCTATCTGTCTCCTTGTTCCTGACTTCCTGTACTTCTCTCCTGCTGTTCCTTCCTCCATCCCTCCCTTCCTCACTTTCACACACACACACACACACACACACACAGACACTGCAGGCACCAAGACGTAGGGACCGTGACTAGCACCTGAGGACACAGGTTGGTGTCAAAGTCCCCAGGGGAGAGAACAAATTGGTGAAAAGACACAAGTCATTTTTTTCCTAAAGCTGTCCACAGCCTCTAGCTTATCTTCTTCCTAAGACTCATCTCTCCGACTTTTGTTAGTCTCAGCAACCAAAAGCCAAGATTCAGTGCTGTATATTCCAACACCTTTCCTCCTGGTCTGCTGTTTTGGTCTTCAACCACTCACTTTCTCCTTCAAAAGGGGAAGGTTATGTGGATTAAGAAGATTAAAGGTTTTGAGGACTAATATCACCACCTCACCGTTTGGCCTGACACACCCATGCTTGTCTCCTAACCACGCAGTCTGAATCTGGACCAATACAAGCTGTCCACAGAGGTCTGGACGTCTCACAGGCAGCATGCCTTCAAGAAAACACTGGCTGTGGGACACCTAATGGCTGGCTCAGAAACTGACAAAGCCATAGTGACTGAAACCTACTTGGAAAAAAAGAGAATAGATTTTTTTCATGTCATCAGCTCATGTGAAAAATAGGGATTTTGTTTACTAGTCACGTGGACGATGCTCCTTCAAGAATTCCACTAAGCAAAACTCTATGCCACTATGACTCAGCTAGCCATCCATCCATCCATCCATCCATTTAACAATTGTTCATGGAATGATTCTAGAAAAACAGGCCTAGCCCTGAGTCAAATTTTGCAGTAGGCAATTGTGGTGTAAGAAATCCTCTCTGTTCCCAAGATGTCCATCGACAGATGAATGGATAAAGAAGATGTGGTATATATACACAATGGAATATTATGCAGCCATCAAAAGGAATGAGATTTTGCCATTTGCAATGACGTGGATGGAACTGGAGGGTGTTATGCTCAGTGAAATAAGTCAATCAGAGAAAGACATGTATCATATGACCTCACTGATATGAGGAATTCATAATCTTAGGAAACAAACTGAGTGTTGCTGGAGTGGTGGGGGGTGGGAGGGATGGGGTGGCTGGGTGATAGACATTGAGGAAGGTATGTGCTATGGTGAGCGCTGTGAATTGTGCAAGACTGTTGAATCACAGATCTGTACCTCTGAAACAAATAATGCAATATATGTTAAGAAAAAAAAAAGAAGAAGATAGCAGGAGGGGAAGAATGAAGGGGGGTAAATCGGAGCGGGAGACGAACCATGAGAGACGATGGACTCTGAGAAACGGACTGGGGGTTCTAGAGGGGAGGGGGGTGGGGGGATGGGTTAGCCTGGTGATGGGTATTAAGGAGGGCATATTCTGCGTGGAGCACTGGGTGTTATGCACAAACAATGAATCATGGAACACTACATCAAAAACTAATGATGTAATGTATGGTGATTAACATAACAATAAAAAATTAAAAAAAAAAGAAATCCTCTCTGTTCATTTCCATGACCGACTCTAATTTGTGCTACTCTGCTTCCTAGTGTTTGGTACATGGTACCATCCTACAATATCACAGCTATACTTTTCACCCTGAAATACCCCAGACCTTCAAAACTATCTCCCATATATTTTTACCTATGCCAACAAATAAGAAATAGAGTTTCTTGGTGCCTAGAACTGCACAGTAAATATTACAAAAGTAACAGAAGTTATGGTCCTGATCTTGAGACAGTTATATTCTCGGGGGGGGGGGGCGGATAGAAGTCCATATAGGAAGTAATCAGAGGTGTGCACGTGCATGCACACACAAAATCATGTTTATAGACCAATACTGAATAAATAACAATGAACGAGATCATCGGTGTAGGAGGCACTAAACTGAAGAAATGATTTATGCAAATAAGTTAAAAAAAAGATTTGAGAAATTACTAAGAATATTTAGTCATTTTAGTATGTAAGAAAAACAGCAGAAAAGAAAAGCAAAAGCATGTAAGAGACAAGAACATGACTGGACTGACCAGAAGTAGAAAGGGATGATGTAAGAAAAATATTCAAGTTAGGGATAGAAGTCAGTGAGCAAGGTCTAAGTAATTCACAGAATACCTTGAATGTTAGGACGAGAAACCAATATCTACAAGCTAAAATGTGTAAGAGAGAGCCATCAGCATTCTGAGACATGAAGAAATGTACACTTGCCGTCAGGTAATTATGGAATTTCCACCTGAAACTGTTACAGGCGTATTTGAACTGTTCTAAGAAAACAAATGCATAATAAGTTCTCATTCTAAAAAGACTGTTTTATCCATTTCAGAGATTCACAGAGTCGCACTCTGATTGTTTTTTAATCAGGATTTTTAGAAAACATTACCTTTGGATTCCAGTTCCAGTTTCTTTTTCTTTGCCCAAATATTATGGTAGTTTTCAGCCATCATTTCTGCCATAGCCTTAAATGAACGAAATATTTAGCAAATAAGTTATAATTTAAGGAGTAGAAATAGAGGACTTTGCTTGCCAATATGTAATATCATAACATACTTTAAATTAATAAATCATAGCGTGTCAGTGCTAAAATACCTCTGAAAGATAACTGAACACAACTCTTAGTTGGAATCTAAATCCCAGATAATTCTACCAGCCTGTGAAACCACGCAGTAGTAAATAGCAGAGGTGATTTGATGGGAATGATTCTTGTTATTTGTAACGTTCAAGGACACAGGTTTTATTAATTCAATAATGAAACTTCAAATTAGCTGTGAACTTTAACAAAAAATCTATTTATTTACAAGTTCTTATTGTAATCTCCAAAGCTTTAAAAGACAATCTAAACCTTATTAAACAATGAATGCAAAGAACTAGAGGGACATTCTAGATTCCATGTCTGTCCCAAACTTGGGGAGAGACCAGACACCTCAGACAAACCACATTAAACTTTCTGTGGACTTTTGCTTTTTTTTTATTTTATTTATTTGAGAGAGAGAGAGAATGTGTGTGTGCAGGGGGAGGGGCAGAGGGAAAGAATCTCAAGCAGACTCCCACTTGAGTGGGGAGACCAACACAGGGCTCGATCTCACAACCATGAGACCATGACCCGAGCTAAATTCAGAAGTCAGACACTTAACAGACTGAGCCACCCAGGTGCCTTTCTGTGGCCTTTTGCTTTTTGATAAGATTGCCTCTCAGATTCTTTTTCCCTTTTGATTTTCAAGTTAACTCTCTCATTTTAAGATATCCATCCATACAGGAGCATCGGGCAAGCCAAACAATGTAAGATAATTAACATGACCTACGACATAGGGTTTGCCTTTACGTATTTATTTCTCTTGGAATAATACTAACAATACCAATATTGTTGTTTGATCATTATATCAACCTGTCAACTTCTGATCCAAGACTCAAATCAGCCATTTCAAAGTATGTTCCTTAGGGACAAAGGAGAACAGATACACCTATGGATGGAACAGGCAGAATGCCACCAGTTTAAAATGACTTAAAATACACATTCTTTAATGAGTAACTGAGGTTACCCTTAAGCAGAGCATTACTAATTCCTTATTTACTCTCTTTTCACACACAACTACTTCATTATAGTAGGATTTTTTTAATAGACATTATCTTTAAGGAAAAGAAATTATCTAGAGGAAACATCCTAGAAAAAGTTGTATCAACTTTAAAAGCAATTAAGAAGTTAAGGTCCATAATCTATAAATTCGATAGACCCTTTATATGATCACCACATTCAAATAATTCATGAGGAAAAATATGGGAAGGAAAGTGTTACAGTATGCTTTTTAAAAAATGAACTTTGCAGGATACTTTTTAAAAAAATATTTTATTTATTTATTTCATAGCACACAAGCGGGCAGAACAGCAGACGGAGAGGGAGAGAGAGAAGCTGACTCCCCGCTGAGCAGGGAGCCCGATGCGGGACTCGATCCCAGGACCCCAGGATCATGACCTGAGCCAAAGGCAGACGCTTCACCAACTGAGCCACCCAGGCGCCCCTGCAGGATACTTTTAAAAGTCAATAATACTTACGTGCAGGTCTCTGGACAGTGTGACATTGCTCATGTCAATGGCTCGGGGGCTATAACCATGCGCAGCATCTACAGAAACCTAAACGATTTATGTGAAAAAAATGGAGTCTAATTAAAAAACCCAGTGGAGACTTAAGACAAACGTCAGAAATGTGGGACATTGGGACAAATAAACTTCCATGTGTAATGTTTCGTCAGCTGAAACTGGCAAGTATCTGTACAAACTTAGTTCACAAACATATCTAGCAAATTAAATCATGTTTGGGTGTCTGATCATTTCCATTGATGACTGAATAATACATCCCAACATCTCAGGGACTGCCAATCCCAAAAGCTAATGATCAGAATTCAACAAATTGTGCAAAGAATCCAAGATTCTGAAACAATTACCTTCGTCAAAGGATCCCTGTATTCTTCAGTTTCTCACAGATTCGAATTGGCTGCAATAAAATTTACTCTTCCTCATGCAAACAGTAATTAATCAAAGAGGGCAATATCTACAAATGTCTCAATGGGCCAAATGTTAAGACAAAATACAACCAACTCTTTAATTTTAAAAGTAGTCAGTAGTCAACGATTAACAAAGTTATCCCCCAAAACAAGGAAACTTAATTTCTGAATTTTGGCAATTTCTGAATTTTGGCATTTTTTAAAAATGAAACATATCTTTTCATCAACTCTAAGACTTCTCATACTGTCTTGTGTTCTTTTTTTTTTTAAGATTTATTTATTTGAGACGTGGGTTGGGGGAAGGGCAGAGGGAGAGGGGGAAGCAGACTCCCCACTGAGCAGGGAGCCCGATGCGGGGCTCGATCCCAGGACCCTGGGGTCATGACCTGAGCAGAAGGCAGACGCTTAACCAATTGAGCCACCCAGGCACCCTACCCCCACTTCCCCCCATCTCAAGGTCTTTAACTTTGATCATACTGGCAAAGCCCAAGTAAAACAATATTTTCATAGATTCCAGCAACTGGGGATCATCTTTGGGAGCCATATTCTGCCTGACACAACATCTATAATCAAATTATTGTTCTGTCCTTGTCATGTCCGAGGGCTGCTGTGTTCCCTACCTTACCTAACATAACCACCCACCTGGCAGGCCGGCCCGGATCCATGGCTATCGCCTCTGATTACTCCTCCTCATCCACAATCCTCTATCAGACAGTCACAAAATTCTGTCTTTTCTACTTCAAAAATATCTCCAGGACATATCCACTTCCCTCCATTCCCATTATCTTTGCTCTAATTCAGATATTTACTACTTCTGTTGTGTTTCACGGGATGTCTACAGTATCTCCCAGGGAATCGGCCTTTCTGTCTTCAATCTCCCCCTTCTTTAATTCATTCCCCATTCTGTCATCAGAACTGTATTTCCAAAATGTTTGTTATTCTCCAAATTTTTCCGCTATACAGGAAAAATCTGCGGACATAGCCTGAGCGATCCTTGTCTCAGTATTCCCTGTAGCACCAAGCCATACTTCATCAACCCCACAATGATAAAATGATTACTAATTTCACAGATACAATGGCAAATGTATGTCTTAAAACTGGTAAAAACCAGGATTAGACATGAGCAGTGGATTCACCAGTGTGGTTCTTACCTGACTTGTCTGAGAAATTCGACGAGTGCGGTTATAGAGCGCCATGCTGTCTCCCTCCCGTGTTCTCTCAATCCTCCAACCCCACGCCAACATGGTTTTCAAAGACTCTTTGATTGGCCAGCGATAAATTTCTTTTTCCTAGCGACAAAAAGAAAGAGGAAAAAAAGGGCGTGGGTGTGATGAATCCGAATGAAGCTAAAAAATCTGAAATAGACTGCCTCTACTTATAAAGAAAAAAAGATTGGCATTGTTTATTTAAAAATGAAAAAGTAAAGTAAAATTTCTGAAAAGCAGAATGTGAGCTGAGACTTAGTTTGACTAAGACCGCTAAAGAGGGATCTCAGCGTGGAGGTTAATTTCCTTTAGTTTCCCTACTTCTGATACTTTAGATAGAAACTAAAAAGGAGAAACAGTGCCAGATCATATGATACGCATGTGAAGGCTTTTCCATCATCTGAATAAACAGACAAGAGTAACTCTTTCTCCATAAGCACCAAGCTACAAAGTCCTTTTCACCCCGTTTGTCAAGATACTGATTGTTCCTCCTAATAAGTAAAATACATGAAAACTTATAAATAACAATCATTGTAAATATTACTTCATTATCCCTCATCAAGAAACTCTTAAGCATGATAAGAATATTTTCTAAAGTCCTTAAAAATATTGGGGAGGAATAAAAATTAAAAAAAGGGACAGAAAAATATTGAGAGAATAACCTCATAATTTACATAAATTACATAATAAAAATTCAAAATAAATTAAACTACATATCCAAAAAAAAAAAAAACCCTCACCTTTTCAGATAATAGTTTATATGGCTTCATTAATGGTTGAACTTTAGATGAGTCTGAATATATTTCTCCATAAATCCATCCATTTGCCAACTTAAAAAAAATCATCAAAATTATTTATACAGATTAGTTTTTTTTTTAAGGATTTTATTTATTTACTTGACACACAGAGAGAGATAGCAAGAGAGAGAGAGAGGGAGAGAGCACAAGCAGGGGGAGCGGCAGGCAGAGGAAGAAGCAGGCTTCCCGCATGAGCAGGAAGCCCGATGTGGGGCTCGATCCCAGGACCCCGGGATCATGACCTGAGCTGAAGGCAGCGGTTTAACCAACTGAGCCACCCAGGCGCCCCTATACAGATTAGTTTTTGAGAGTGTAGGTGTGCATGTGTTTAAGTGTATTTGGTAAAATAAATCTAAAATAAACTAAGACATTAAGGTTTGATTTCCACCCAGCATAAGTCAATATAAAGATTTCCATCCTAACCAGTATTATTTTTGAGTAAACACTGAGAGCAATTCTTCTCATCCAAAGATTAAACACACCCAGTCTTCCTTAAACAGACCCAGGTCTGTGACTCTGTCACAAGCACTCCCCCCAGGAGCAAATTACGGGGTGCATGGCCCCCATCATGTTGATTCTGCCACATCTTGGGACCCTCCACCTGAGATGCTCTTTTTATTATTTTTTAAAATGTTTTTTTGAAATGCTCATTTTAAACAGGAAAACTGGATTATTCTGCTTTATATGGAAGCTTCTCTGAATAATGCTACCTGTTTTGTCTGCTCCAGTATTCAATGATCTCTCAACACGTTTGTTCCATGTTATTTTGCCCACATACATATTCTGTATCCATCACCGTTTCCCTATCTCCTCTCATATCTGCCTATGGAATCTGAGTAACTGGACTGGAAGTGCTCAGGACAGCCTACCTGGACATTTCCTCTCCATCACCACCAGCTCAGTACCCAACATAAAAGAGAAGTCTTTACATAAAAGAGAACTTAACTCATACTGACTCACCTCGTAAGTAAACGAGTGAACCAAGTGAAGGAGCCACATATTTATCAAACCAAAAAGAGGGTTTCTTAGGAGAAGGAGACGGATTGGTCAAGGCAAGAACTGAAATTGAATAGAAAGTCTAGCAGGATGATACGGAGCTGCTGTACAAACTCCTCAGAACCTGTGATGTTTCACCTTCACTCCTCCAACAGTGCATGCTTCTCTTAGATTCCTGCATCCTCAGCTCAATTTCTCTGACAAACCTTCACAGTTATCATCTCTCAAATTTAACCAGCCTCAACATAGTGTGACTACTCAGCCACAAGCTTTCTTTTAGAGAATTTCATGGTAGGTAGGACATGTGTTACTTATCTCATTTGCTTACACTATTTTTTTTTTTTTTTGACAACAGACATGTCATCTTGCCATGTGATTTATCCTTAGTGACCTACAGATCCTCTGACACACAACAGAGGAGTAGAAGATGTAAACACTCAATTCGAATCAATAATTTTCAAGGTTTTATCTAATATAAAATTATATATAAAGTCAAAGTTTCTTTAAAAGATTTCTGATGCAGAGTCACCTTTCCAGATAATAGTTTCTATGGTTTCACTAATGGCTGAACTTTAGATGAGTCGGAATATGTTTCTCCACAAATCCATCCATTTGCCATGATTATTACTTGTACTTATGATTTTTACTTTGTACTCCCATAAACAATGTGTTTAGAAACAATATTTATGACTTAATACAATTTTTATTCCTAAAACTGTGCTTAAGAACAAATACTTTTTTTTTAAGATTTTATTTATTTATTTGAGTGGGGGAAGGGGCAGAGGGAGAGAATTCTCAAGCAGACTCCCCACTGAGCACAGAGACAGACGTGGGGCTTGATCTCACAACCCTGAGATCCTGACCTGAGCTGAAACCAAGAGTCTGTTGCTTAACTAAGTGAGCCACCCAGGCGCCCCTTTATGAACAAATATCGTTATTCATGTGTATATTACACATGTGTTAATGGCAGAACTAACTAAATACTGTATCAACAAATCATAATTAAATGTTCTTTCTTAATCTAGACACAGCTTTCACTTTAAAGTAGAAAACTGTCATGGTCAGAAATATTTGAGCAGTGACTCGTCATTAGGCACACTCAGTACTGAGTTAGAATGTGATACTCTGACTTTTACCTTGTCCATTGACCATTTGTCATGAGAATGTTCCGCATATTTGTTAATGAAGTATTCCAACTTCTCAGGAATTGTAATACTATGAGAAAAATAAAGGAAAAAAAGCTTGATTTTTATAGGATTTACAGGAAATCATACCAATAATTTACTCACAGCTTATGACTGCATAAATCCCACTCGATGCACAACTGTTAAAAAATTATCTTAACAAGGTATTACTTTTCCAGAGTGTAGGAACAAAGTAAAACGTAAGCCGTAATGTTCTATCTGCTTATCTTATATTAATCCATACATTATTATGGCTCCACATAAGTTATATATGATAAAAATTATATATAATAAAAATAATTAAATTATATTCAAAGATAAGGACAATAGATTACGCCAAAAAAAATTTAAAACCTGAATCAAGATACGGTTTGACTCAATGAGCTTAAAGACATACTTCTCTTCTATATTCATTCTTTGAAGTTATTCTCCCTTTTTGACTTAAGTCTCGTCTACAACAACTGTAAGTGGGTAAAAGATGGCTGAAATCTGGTTACATTTTTTAAATGTACTAATATTTTAAATTAATGTCCCACAACTGGTGATGTGTTAATGATTTTAAACTTCATGGTCTACATATAACATTCTAACTGTTGTTAATATGGATTATAGTGAAAAGTAACCTACTCATGCTCTGTGATCTTAATAACACTTATTTTTGATTCCTTTCATATTTAATTAATATTTGATCTCTTGAACAGATGTTGAGTGCATGCAAGTGATAACCCAGTCTAATGGTAAATATGGGACTTGGAAATATTAAATATATTGATGAATGGACAATTAAATATACAAACACACATATATATTTCCATTCATTCACACACATAACTTATTAACACAATTAACATTGAGAACTGAACTCTAAATAAAACCTAGCATAATGAGATGGTTTACTGTTCTTTTTCAACAATGTTATTAGTCAGTGATTGAACTACAGGACACAGACATACTTAAGAAACGATATATAAAAATCACAAAGATGTAGAAATGATTGATATCACTAAGTAAACCTAACCTGGTAAGAATTCCCCGAAGGGGCAAGCCTTGGTAAATGACTACACGTGCCCAACAGTTGTTAATTAATTAGATTTAATTAATCAACACCAAGACCATGACGTGTTTGGATATTATTTTAAAATCCTGGATTATATTGTATGTTAGCAAACCACACACTTACCCCATGTAGGAACTGAGCATGTGATATTCTGATTTACTTACATTGGAAGAGATACAAAGGATCAATCACATAAGCCAAATACTGGGGGGTAGAGTCTTTTCTCACAGGACTGTCATCAAATACCAAACATGCAAATGTAAGGCATTATCCAACTAATGGCATACCACTCGGGTTGAAATTTTGATCTGTTATGAAGCTCAACCAGCCGGGGGCCACCCAAAAGCCTAAAAGTTGAACTCCCAAGCAAATTCAGACGCTGTGAATGGTAGCTACCAAGTAACTACCTTGCTAACCACTGATCTTGCGGAGTCACCATGGAATCGATAAGATAATGTAGCATGAAGAGTCAGCTCTCCTCCCCAATGGGAAACCATGGTCCTACTCAAAGACAGTAACAACAAAAATGCTGAGACTCCCAAACACCTGAAGTACTGAGACATCCCACTTGCAAAATGATTTAGGCAACTAAGTACGAGTAAGAAGTTTTATAATGTTAAGTAACATTTTATCTGTGGCTAAGGTTGTCACACTGCATTCTAACTATATGCTCAGTTTTCCACCAATATTCTCATTTGATATTCCCTGGAATCTCATGCTTTGCTTTATGATGCTGAACATCGGCTACTACCCCTAGGCTTCACTGAGATGTACATGGTGGAGTGACTTCCCGCAGCTCAGAGGACCAGCTTTGCCCTGTGTGCTGGTATCACCCCCAGTCAAAGACAATACACAGAGGTTGGCTGCAATTATTAATAAACATTTAGGGTAAATTTTCAACTAAAAATATAGCTGATATGCTTTCTGGATTCTCGTTATTGTAGATATTACCATGTGGTTACATACAGAGAATCTTGGTTGAGTATCCTAGAAGGTAGATCTTGTCTACTTCTGATATTTGTATAATCATTATTGTTACCACCATCATTTCGTCAAGTAAAGGGACCCCTATCAAAAGGATACCAATTCAAAGGGGGCATGGATTAGAGAAAGTTCACTTTAGTACCTTATTCAATTTCAGACTTCACACATCATTTACAATAAAAATCTGCTGCAATAGAAAGAGTCCATACTTTGAGGTATCAACAGGTTGTGGGTTAAAGTTCCCTTCAGAATCCATTGATGACTGTTTTTCCATCATACTGACATAATTTGACTCCATGTAGTCTGGAGGCAAAGCTCCCGCAACTGCACTCAGGCAAGGCAGTGCCAGTTTGAAAAGTTCTTGTTCATATTTCTGAGAAGAAATGGAGGACCAGAAAAGAAAAAAAAAAAAACAAAACCAACAAACAAACAAAAACACCAAAACACAAAAAACCTGTATTACTATTGAGCAAAATTTGTCAAAATGTTTGCTGTGGCTGGCAAGATGTTTTAAGAGAAAATCAGAATGACCCTAGGCTAACTCAACTCCCTCACAGATTCTTTCTCTAGCAAATGGAACATAACATTTCACGGCCTGAAATCCCACCAAACAGGAGAGAGGCTGAAGTCAGATTTACTGCAGTTGCCACTTAAGAAGAAAATCTTTGCTTCTTCAAGAGTTTTTCTCCAATATTTTATGAAATAAACCTGAATATTCTAAATGTGTAACATGTCTTTACAACACAATTTCAATCAATAGCATAATTATAGAAGATTGCTACACCATATTATAAAGACTATACTTGAAACACACATAAAGGGACATTCCAGAGAGTAAGAAATTTTAACAGATCTGTATCACATTACAAAGGTATGAAAAATAGAATTCTAAACTAAGAAAGAAATTCTATAGGGAATATGCACAATCAAAATTTCTGGGAAGTGTTATTTGTATATTAATTACATAAGTGATTAAATTTGTATTTATGGATTTTTTTAAAAAAAATATTATTTAAAAATTATCTCACTTTAAGTGTTCAGTTTTAAATTAATGTTGTAAATCCTTCTAAAACGGCCTCCTACGTATTATTTTAAAAGGACCCTCAGTTTACCAAAGGCAATTCAGTGACAAAAAGCATCAAGATGTAGCTTCCAACTGTAATCTTGAGTGAACTTCACTCTATTACACAGCAAACTTCTCGATATCCTGCTCCAGTCGTTTAATAATGTCTATCCGGGAGTTCAAGCTGATTTTGATTAATCATTTAAGCAGAAGCATACAAAGCACCCTGTTCTGATTCTCCCTGAAGAACTAGCCCCACCCCCAGCCTTGTGAAAATATATAAACTGTTCTTTATAAATATACCAACTCTTACAGAATATTGCATATAGAAAGCAACACGGAGTGGAGTGACTTAAGTCTCCATAGCAGGAAAGTGGGAAAAGCCAGTAAGGCCACTGGGATATTATAATTTTACAAGATTGCGTATTTTTATATTTGATTGTATTTCTTCATGGTTTTTAAGATCCAGGTGACTAGGGAGGGTTTGAGTCCAGGTAAGTCCAAATCATCAGAAACTCAACCATGTGCATGATTTCCTGAAATGCTTAGCCATTTTAAGTTCTGAAGGTGTTACGATCACAAGGAATGTGTTACCATAATGATTACCAAAATTAAATATAAATTGCATTCTCAACATTTGTTGGACATTAAAAAAGGAAAAAGAACTATCTAAGTCTTAACAAGTAAAGATAATATTCCACTAGGAATATTTATAGCTTTTAAATTATTGCATCACACAAAGTCCATAAAATCTTAAATCACCTTTTGAGATAGGGCGTCAAAAATGCCCCAAAACAACTTTCTTGATAAATGAAGCTCTTCTTCGGAGGCAGCTCCAAAGTTCCCCCACCCTCCGGGCAGGCAGTAATATTTCCAGCATCTTTCATAATGATTTGTCAGCAGCTATGTGAGAAAACAATTATAAAAGCAATGAGTGAAAGATACCTTTTATATTTTTCCCCTTTCTTCCCATTTGACATTCAAATGCCACGTAATAAGGTCAACTGAAACAGAACTGCTCAATCCCATATGAATTCTTCTGGAGAACACTATTTACCTTTTATACCATGCCTCTTTGAAATATAACACTGAGCACAGTATGAGGACCCAATGCCCAATTTAACACATAAGTGCGCCTTGAACAGCATTCTTTACGAGGTTGGTTATTGACGTATCCCTGAGTCCTGTATTAGTTGCTATCATTTACTCAGTTTTATGAATCGCGATCCTCTGGATATGCACATCTGCACTTAATGAAAGGACTAATGTCAGGGTGACCCAGAGGCACAAGGAAGTATCTCTAGGATACAGCACCTGAAATGTACATTCTAAGGGAAATCTACCTCTGAATATTTTTGCTTCCTTTTTGCCAATCCTTAATCACCACACTTTAGGCTTTGCTTCAGAACTTAACATCTCTAAGTAAACTTCCCAAACTACTCCATTTCAGTAATTTCTTTACCTATCTTTCTTTGGTGGTTATGGATGCTAAATTTCTTATCTTGCCAAGTGTCTGTGTTCATCTTCAGTTTTCCTCTGTGTACATTTTGTTTGTTTAGGACTAAACTGTAAGCTTAAAGACAAGGATAGAATCTTCTAATTCTTCTGTAGTTCTTGAGTAATTCATTTTTGATCTTTAAACTAACAAATATTCACAACTACTTGCTGAATTAATAAAATTATCTTATGAATCAACTATAAATTTTTGGACTCTCTTTTCTGTAACTGAGGGAAATAGATCAAAAAGGATTGATGTTATTAAAATAAACTACATCTCTTACTAGAGAAATACTTACACACACACAATTTAGAAATCTCAAATGATGAAATGTTAAGATCTAATGTGTTTGGATTAACTTGGAAATATCTACAACCTAAAAGAGTTTATCACATAAAGTAATACCATCTCTTTTTTCAGGTAACTTCCAGCTCATTTGTATGAAGAAAATTTTGTATGGGAAGAGCTCTTCTAGAGGATAAAAACTGTAAAAATGGGATTTTCAGCAAGGATATCATTTACTCTGCATCATTCATTAATCTAAATTCATTAAACCAAAATGAATTTTCAGGGAGAAAGACTGTATTTACTAAATATCTAGGGAAGCTTAGAGTAACAGCAGCTCAAAAAACTGACTCATTTATATCTCAAACTTCTTTTTTCCAGCACTGGGTGGCCATGAGGAAAAATGAGGTTTACCAGATGACAGCGCAGAGAGGCTACCCATAAAAGAGTCCATTACATGCCTATGACCTCCACGCACAGACCATGCTATTAGATGTATTGGGACACACCGAATATTCTAATCCTAAAACTGGATTGCAAAATTAGATGACAGAAAAATATTCTCAAGTCAGTAAGACAGTATGAGACCTGTTCATTCATGTACAGAATAATGAAGCCAGACAGAGAAACTGTCAGTGATTCTTCCATACCCGGTGACAAACTGTAACTGCAGAGACAGAGAGGTTATCTTTGAACCCTAAGACATAACATTTGGAAATTGCCATGTGATTACCGACTTAGAAAGTGGGTGTTTTTGAAAGCCTGCTCTTTATCCCCAAAGGTTGCTAATATTTCAGGCCACACCTATTACATGTTTTCTACCCTAAAGAATACCTTGGCTCATGTTTTCTTTGTTCCCCATTTTTCCCATTGATTTCCATTGCCATTCACCTACAGGAAATCAATTCTAGAACTCCTATGATCTTTTAGGACTTATTGTATTGTGATGTACACATTTCTCAAATTTATATGCCCACTTCCAAGAATTGGGAGAAATTTTCCAGCATTGAAAATCAAGCCTGGTGTTTCTAGAACTGTACATACTGTAAGAGGAGAAAAGTCAGAGGACCCAGTAATCACCTAACTACAGACATTTCCTCTACTTACCTTAAGAGGCATCTTTGCATGTTCATTTAATAATGGCACGTCAAATACTAATCTTCGGAGTAAGTGCTGCATCATAGAAGGTCTCAACTGGCTGGTGGGACAAAGTTCATTTTAATAATGAAGGGCGATGTCTCTAAACTAAGGAAATAATTCATGAGACTAACTTCTATAAGCCAAGAACCTGTACCTACATCTCTCTTCAGATGGGGTTAATGAGGTGCCCCCAATCCAAAGATTAGCCCACCACTACACAACTGTATACAAGGCTACATTTCCAACTCCTCTCTATCCCCCAGATCTGAAGCCCACTCCTTATTTGCTACCGATGTTCCTCTTCTCTCTTCACTTCCAACCACCCACCACCATAGGCCCTACTGTTTCCTGAGACCCTTGACTCCAGCAATTACAGTAAGTGCTTCTTCCCTCACTCCATTGGCCAGGAAGGGTCTTCCGTGACTGAATTAGAAGCAAACACAAGAGGGTGGGCTGAAACAGGAGGGAGGGGGAAAAGGCTGAGGCAGAAATCTGGCCAGGGGAGGACGGGAAAGAAAACTCACACACATCTATTGTGTCAGGTCATCCTGAATGCTTCACCTCCTTTAAGAAGTAGATAAACTCTGTGAGATAGTGACTTTGGTCTCATTTTACAGAATGTTAGCGTCAGGGGAGTTAGAGCCATAACCCTCTCATTTTTCATCTCCGTCAGTCCCATCTGGCTTCTAAACCCACGTAGTTGGCTGTGAGTGAAAACATTTCTTCACCAGTGCACCGCTAGACCACACGCCTTCGCCTGTTCTTGCAATCAGAAGGAAGCCATCACCCCACCCAGGGATGTGAGAAACTGTCACATTAGCCGTCAGAACCCCAACAGGAGAAGGTATGTTCTGGCTTTCAGAGTAAGACCTATAGGAACACTTCTACCTATAGGAAGTGGTTTTCCAGCATGAAGGACATAGCCTTCATGATGGCCACATTAAGTCTTTAATATTATACTGCATCATCTTTTATATTTAATAAGTCTCTTTTTTTCCTTTCTCTTCTGGAAGAGGAGTTAAAATCATCGCACATAGTCAAAATGGGAGAATCTTCTAATCTCCCACAAAAGTGACCAGGGACTCCTCTCGCACAGTTCCCCTGCCCACCAACATCCAGAAAACTGGTCCAGCACTCTATCCAATGGCCAAATACCCTAGAGAGCCCTGGAAGAAGACTCCTGAACTTGACCAGGAGCAAGGGTGCTCTGATTCCAACCTCGGGTACAGGGCACTACCTAAAATGAATTCGCTTTTCGGTACAGAAATTTCTTCCAAAATTCCTAACCATCTGTCAAGGGCCCTATCGTAAATTCTCTCTCTCAAAGCAGCAGCAGCTTGATTCGGAGTTAGTTTCCCACTTACCCACAAATAGAGAGTAAACAAACTTCTATGGAATCCCGCTGAGCTTTGGTAAGAGAGCAGCCCTTAGAGAGTCTGTACACAGTGTGAAGTAAGGAGTCAATGAGAGAAGCGTGGTGCTCTGTGCCCGCAAAAAGAGGGGCACATCTCGTTAACAAAGGCAGCACGGCTGTGCAAAGGTACCGATTGAGGGCCAAGGCCATGTCTGTAGCACTCAGAGCAGCCTAGAAAGGAATTGTGAGAGTAGAAAGTCATTTGCATTTGGCGGTAGACAACTCTCAAAGGGATGAACGTGCGGACATGGGATTTCATTCTCTAGAAAATGACAAGTACATGAACAATGGAGATGGACTCCTTGGGTGTGTCTTTAAATGTGGCTCGTATGATTTTTTACCACTGGAAACAATCAACTTTCAAGTGCTCATAAACAGATAAAGAGGAAGTGATATCTCTAGTCCTAGCTCCCTCATCAAGAAGCCCAAGAGGCTCACATTCTATAATAAGATATCAAGGGGAGGATGGATGTGTGATGAAGACACTAATGATAGTTAGGAATGTGAGTTATTTATATTTATATTTTAGCTCATGTCCAGCAGAATCAATAGCCAAAGGCTGATTGTCTTATTACAGTATCAGCTCTCCTGTTTAGGTTCAGAATTTCATGTGAACACACCCAACAAAGGAAAAAGAAACTTCAGTTTATTTTTATGATTCTCCTCTCCTGACTTTCCTGAAAGAGCTACTGTCAACTCAAGATCTGATTTCCTCTGGAATCAGAAAGATCCATTTAATTGAGAATAAAAGGAGGTATTATTATAACTACTGAAATAACATTTAGAGCTTCAGCTTATTCTACAATGCTCCGGACAGTAGAATATTTACACTAGTAATGACAGATTCTTGATGTGGGCCACTGGATGTACAGGAGAGATTTCAGCCTTATCTGTGCTTTAAAAATAAAGACACCAGGATGACAGTGTAATTGGCCCAACTCAACAATGTCCATTAAACATTCTTAATACTGTAATTGCTTTCATTGAGAAGCATAATTCTTTAGGCCAATCTGGAGGTTAGAAGGAGCCACTGTCACTTCCCAAACTCGGGTTATATACACTTATTGTCTTCCGTAGTACCTGATCAGAATTCTTATCATACTCCTGAGGTGGTAAGTTTTCTCCACTATTCAGTGAATTCCTTAAGACAAAGTCTATTTCACTTTCTGTTTACCCACTGCGCCTCCCTAAAAATATAATGGATACTCAATAAACATTTAGTGACAATGAATAAATGAATGAATATATCTATGGAGAATATCGCAAGCCAGCGAATGAAGAGTCAAAAGTTGAGGATGTCAACTGTTCAAATCATTACCGTATCTAAAGAAGCTGCAGCCCGGAGATCTGGCAGAAAGCCAACCTCAAGAAGGTGGAGGAGGAAATCTTGAACCTCAATCCCATAGACCCTGTCAAGGAATAAAACCATGGCTGCCTTGTGATCTGGGCAAAACCCCGCAGACATGTCAGGCTCCACCACATTCCCATCTAAAAGACAGAAGGTGACATGTCGTTGTTAATGGATAGATTGCAAATGGATAGATTGCTTCTCTCCAGCCTCCTCAAGTTTTAAGTTACCAGTTGAATGGATTTTTGTCCTTCTACTACCCACAAACAAGTGCTGGGAATTGGCTGAGGAATTATGACAGTGCAATTTAAATTCAACGTCATTCAAAATGTGATCTGGGAATCTATTTATTAATCGCGTGTATGATCGAAGACATAGTATTCGGCTAGATAATGAGAAGGAAACAAAAAGCCACCCAAAATCTACATCATAAAACTAGCAGTAAATGCCATAAAAAGTTAAACCGTGACGTTTTTCCTGTTTTCAAAAATGAGAGCCTCTTTTAAACACTAATAAAACTCATGTATCCCTATGTGATAATCACGGTTCATTTACACATTTATGGCTTAGACAACTGCAAAATGATGAAACAACTCTGTGAATTGGTTTGACTTTCAAAGGAAATATGTTTCCTTAAACATAATAGCATTTAACAACATTTAAAACATATTTGAGAGTCATATTATTTTTCTCTATTAATAGTCAATATTTGATGCCTAGATAGATGAGTGAGTCTCTTACTAGAATTCCATAGATTCACAGGTTGGGAACCACTGATGTGAGGAATTTGGGGATTATGTACCAATTGAAAATATTGGCAGATTTCGTTCCTGTTTGACCATGTGATAATTATGCCAAATAACACTGCTCAAATGACACACTGTAAAATTCTACAAATAATATCACAGAATCTTTAATATTGATGCAGGACCCAGGGAAAGAGGATACATGACCACAATCATCCTGAAAAAATAAAGTCACAACTTTTTTGTTTTCCTTCGTAACTAAGGAATGGATTTCTTATCTGAATCATGAAAATAAACAAGAAACAATATTTTAAGGGTAATTATATTAAAGGCTAATATGAAATAGCTTCCATTCCTTATTAAATTATAATACTCAATATACTACTTTTCTTCCTATAATTAAAATAATGGGAATAATAGCTCTTGTTTCTGTTGTTATCAGGCACCCTGCTAGGAAGGTTACAGACACGATCTCGTACAGTCTTCAAAAGCACACCGTGAGGTTGGTATTCTTAGCTACGTTTAACAGATGACAACCGACCTTCAGGGAAGTTAAGTAACGTTCCCAGGGTTGTATACCTAGTAATTGGCAAAGTTAGATTTAAACCAAGGAAAATTGGATTTAAAACCCAACCAAAGCTGATCTAGTCCTTAACGTTAAATCAGTGTGCTACATTCTTAATCAAAAATCTGTACAAAATTCCAGTTTAATATCTCCTAAAAATCACATTATTAGGGAATTTAAGTTTAAAAGATTCTATGATTTTAATATGCAGTTGTGCCGAAGGAAGTGGTAAGTCACCCATTGATCCAAAAATAAGATTTCTGTTTTAAACATTCATCCACACAGACATCTGTTTTCAGGCATGCTAACAGCTCCATATACCTGGGACTCAAGACTCATCGATTTGCTAGAGCTACTGTTTTATCTTCACTCTCTCCTGAACACACTGGAGACTATAAAGTTGAGGAGCTGCCTCCTGTCAGACTTCTGGCTTTTGAACTGGAAGGAGGCGGACCAGGTGCACTGGCCTTTCCCTGTGGTACCTGCAAAAATATTCATCTGCCTGCAATTAGGGCCTCGGACAGTCTGTCCAAACCTGCCAGGGCCAAGCGCTGCAGGAACAGAACATCGACTTTTGAAACTGTGTGCTTGCCCTCAGGTTTCTGAACCGCTCCTGCTTGCATTATTACTCTGGGGCACGCTGTAGTTCTAAAATAGGTAGGATAAAAGATTTTGAGAAAGGCCTCAGCTATCACTAAGGGAGGAAGAGGCAAACTTCACATACTAAATATAGAACATACAACAACAATTATCAGTGATAATCGGTGATGTTTAAAGAACCAGCTGATGTGTCCCTGGAACATATAAAAACAAAACAAAAAAACAACTACCGATTGAAGTTTTAAAGTTGAATTAAATGCATGTCGCGGCAAAATAAAAACATGCAATTTTCTGTCTGTACTTTCCATAAAAGGAAAGTGGTAAAAGAAACATGTAGAAATTTAACAATAACCAATGGATTGGGTTTTAAAAGTTCACCTTCATCATGATTTTGATAGTTCACCCACCCACACAAAATCCTTTAAATCCCAAGGTAGACAATACAGTGCACATTTACAAAGAAAAGCATCACAAAATAATACGATTATAGCACAACTAAGTGGAAGAAGAAAGAGACCAACCTGAAAAATATTAAAGGCTGGTAAAGGCAGGTAAGTAGAGCAAAATTAGGAGACATACAGAGACTTTGGGGAAATTCTGAACGGGTTATCTGCTTCTCTTTTTTTTTTTTTTTAAAGAATGTACTTTGCTGCTTTAGGATGAAATGTTTTGGTATTTTTTTAAAGATTTTATTTATTTATTTGACAGAGAGAGAGATAGCAAGAGCAGGAACACAAGCAGGGGGAGCGATAGAGGGAGAAGTAGGCTTCCCGCCAAGCAGGAAGCCCCATGTGGGGCTCGATCCCAGGACCCGGGGATCATGACCTGAGCCAAAGGCAGACGCTTAACGACTGAGCCACCCAGGCGCCCCGGGTTATCTGCTTCTCTTATCACCCATGCTCTTGGTTGTTATTACTAATTTTACCTTAAAACGTAACGCTTCTCTATTCCCTAATCTGTGTATCACTGGTATTCTTCTTATCTTTTTCCTGACTGTTGTCAATTTTGTGGCTCAGAATGTGGGGAAAAGAAAAGACATCTTATTTAAGTAAATGAACACTAAAGAAGATCTTGGATGTACACAAAAAAAGAAGAAATTGCCTCAAGTGGAGAAGCCAACAAGCCATGGGACAATTTTTCAGTTGCAGCTTTCCCTCCCGTCAGAATGAATGTTCGACTCTTGTGGTTGCTTATGTCACCTGGAAGGAAGGTTTGGGTTTGTGAGCTGGGTGCATATGAAACGTTGCTTTCTCATAATCAGAAGGCTGGCAAGGAGGGGAAGCCGACTTCAGTTACGCGGTGGTCCCTTCATTCCAGACTTCAGGTAATAACCGTTAATCCTCTGTGGGGCATAACTGATGCAAGAAAATGATCATAACATGCATGTTCTACCTAACTGCATGTTCTTCTAAAATTAGAAGTTTAGGGAAAAATGATATGTGCAACAATACCCAATAAAATATTGAAAAGTGAACACAACTGAAGCTGGAAAATTAACACTAAAGTGTTAATTTGGAATCTAACTATCCCTTGGGTGTCTTCAATAACTCTCAAATCTTTGTTTCTGTGGGAGGCAGAGTGTGAACCACCACCAGGGGACTGGGCCTCAGGCCTATGCCATGTGGCCATTTCTGCAGTAGCTTGGGGCGCTGCAGGGGAGCGGTGTGAGTGTCATTCGAGGCCCTCCAGGCACCCCCACAGTGGAGCATCTGCACCTCACTCAGTGCTGTCTGAGCCCTCTCTCTTCCCCAACCCAAGCTGGGCTGCAGGGTGACGGGCCACCGCTGCTGGCATTTACATAGAGAGCAGGTTATAACTTTATTCTCCATGCTTTTGAATTAATTTTAAAAATTATTCGGGGTGCCTGGGTGGCTCAGTCGGTTAAGCATCCATCGGACTCTTGGTTTCCGCTCAGGTCATGATCTCAGTGTCGTGAGACAGAGCCCGAGGTCAGATTCCAGAGTCAGTGAGGAGTCTGCTTGAGATTCTCTCTCTCCCTCTCCCCACTCACACTCTCCCCTCCTCTCTAAAATAAATAAATAAAATCTTTAAAAGCAAACAAACAAAAAACTAATCGCAAGCAGTTGCTAAACCAAAATGACATAATGCAAAAGGACAATAAACATTTGATGAAAATGGTAAAAATTTTTATTTTGAAAATTTTCTCTTTAGCCTTTTTTTTTTTTTTTAGATTTTATTTATTTATTTGACAGAGAGAGAGATAGCGAGAGTAGGAACACAAGCAGGGGGAGTGGGAGAGGGAGAAGCAGGCTTCCTGCGGAGCAGGGAGCCCGATGCGGGGTTCGGTCCCAGGACCCTGGGACCATGCCCTGAGCCGAAGGCAGATGCTTAACTGAGCCACCCAGGCGCCCCTCTCCTTAGTCTTGAGAAGAGCGCTTCTTTCAACACACTGGGAATCTTTTAATCTCTAAGTCAAAAGCTATAATTTGGGGGGGGAGGAAGCGTCATAAGAAAATGGTAATGAAAAATATCCCAAAGGGCAAATAAAAGAATTGCAGTCAAGAAAGAGAAGAATGAGGACCAAAAATAGTAGGAAAGAAATTAGGTGAGACAGGTGAGGTATGTATTTCCTCTTTTCAGGGAAATGGTCAGAAATGTCATATAAAAAATGATTAAAATTTCATTGAAAACAACTATTTAAAAACAAGGAGAACAGAAAATACTTTATAAAAAAGCAGTATCTTTTTTCATTTAGATATAAATGTTTGTAAACATATGTGCAGAAGAATATGGGAATAGAGCATTTCTTAACTCAATCAAAATAATGTAGTTTATAGTTCTCTTCTTAAAGAAACTTAAGTCCTGTAACTATGCTGTAGGACAGGGTAGGGTGCAGGGGGGCGGGGGGGGGGTGGAATGCAGATGCTGATATTATTATTTAAAACTCCTGTCCTGGGTGTTATACTAAAACAATGAATCATGGATCACTACATCAAAAGTAATGATGTATTGTATGGTGACTAACATAACATAATAAAATAAAATTTAAAAAATAAAAAAATAAAAAATAAAACTCCTGTCCTCCAATGCCCCGCTGAATTACAAAGAATGGAAGTTGGCTTACCTTTGGCTATCGTGGGCATCTGAAAAGCAATGCTGATTACTCCCACCAAATCTCCCAGTGGAATTAAGGATCTCAAAATGGACCGGATTCTGATGGCTTCCCCCTTACCAGCATGAATCAACTAGGGAAGAAAAATAAAGGAACATTAGAAAATCTTTGTGAAATCAATGTTATAATTCCATCCAGAAAATCTCAAGTATGGGAATCCAAGTCTAAAATACTTTTCTGTTCATGATACCTATAAAGTCAGACCTCTCGCAGAAATGGTTGTTTCAGGCTTACATTTCAGACAGATATTTACTTGCCCCAGTTTTACTGACATCAGCATATGCCGATTTATGTATTACAAAGAAAAAAAATTATCTTTAGACCCAGAATATATAGTAATAGTTATGACTGATTTAGCCTCTTTCTTGCTTGGGGTTGAAAATGTAATTGTATATCCATCTCTATTCCACACAGATTTCTCCCAAGGAAGGGTGTATAATGTGTGTGTGTGTGGGGGGAGGATGGTGAATAGGAACCATAACAGGTTTTTCAGACTGTCACTGGCTAACCAAGCACCTGTGAAGATCGTAAATCTGACCCTTCAAGAATCTCAGCCAGGCTCTGGAGCAGACGGCAGGCTTCCAGAACCTGGGTGGGCATCTGCTTCCTTCCCCATGAGGTGAGAAACACAAGGATAATTTCTCATACACAAGAGGTCCTCAACCAATAGTTACAGAAGATGAGTAAACACAGAAGTGCACGGTTAGTCCCTTATTGAATCACTTGGTTTTTTTCCTCCCACTGATAGAATAAAAAACTATTTATCAGCTAATTTCTTGGTTCTTTTGATCTTTCACTTAAATGGAAAAAGAATGAATGCTGTAAGCATAAACTTTTTTGTCTGCAATCACCTCCAGCATACAAATTTTTGATAATCTACTCCCATTTCCCAGGATGAAAATCTCATTAGTGGCAAGTTAAGCTTTTATAAAAATCAGGCTCTAGGTTTGCTAACATTCTGACATTTCTCCATGCTGTGATTCCTCCCTGTTCACAATGAAAGGTTATATCAGGAAGACATGAAGGTTTTATCCTACAGCTGAGAAAGGGACACCCCTCCCCCCAAAAAAGAAAAGAAACACAACACAAAAACAAACACACAAAACCTCCATAGATGCTAAGGGTGCTCTGGGAGCAAAGGACCCTTTGCTTCACGCTCAGACCCGTTTAGAAGCGTATTTGCTTTCTACCCCAGCACCACTCACTGTGTTTCAATCTCTGTGTCGTTTCCCATTTCCAGCTCACGAGGCCGATTTTAGGAGCCCTAACTAGCATTTTTAAAATGAATATAATAGAATGAAACAGATCAGGATAAAATAAAGTAAAAATTATCCAAATGCATTACAGAGTAAAAGGAAGTACCGTTCCATGAAACTTAATTTCTTCTTGATTGAAACGTTGTGGAAAATGCCAACCCATCGATTCTGAAGAGCTGCTTCAGAATCGTAACTGCCCCCACCCCCACTGCCCCTCAACCAATGACACGAAATGGTGTACTCCAAGAAAATGACTCTTGACAGAAAGGGTTGCTCCCTGCATGCACTAAATGAGGAGAGGAAATTTATAGGAAAAAATGTTTTCTTCTTAAAGTGCTGAGTTTTAGAGATACACGAGCAACGTGGCTATTCTATTAATGACTTGTCCTGAAATCTCATTACTAATTTTTACAACCAAGACATTTCCAACTACATAAACACTTGCTCAGCAATTAGGCTGCAGCTCTTATTTTTAATGAAGCGTGGAGATTATTGGTTTTGGATGCTGTTATCATCTTCGCCAGCTATGGATTTCTTCACATAGATGGATAAGCCAGGACGGCCGCTCTCAGGCGGCAAAGCACTTACATGCATTTCAGGAGCACAGCGTCCTAAGAGGTCGATCAAAGCTGCATAAAAGGTCATGATGGCATTCCCCATGTGGATAGTGTCATCCTCCTGCTCTTCTGTGTCACTTTCATGGATTTTTTTCAAAAGAAACAGAGAGCAAAGCAAACAGGATAATACAGTGACATTTCAGATTTATTGCATAGTTCTTGGAGGAAAGGGATCCCTAAGATAGTTCATTCTGCCTCTTCTGGCAGACACATTCTGTGTGTGATTAATTTGCCCCTTGATGTTTTTAAAGGAAAATGACCTTAAAGACCAGACACCAAAAACACATTTGTGGGAAATTTGAGAATAAGAGTCCTTCAAAAGGGAAAAAAGAGGAATTGCCAATTTGATGGATTCTGCTTATTTCTAGGGGCAGACAAGCTTTGTTTTAACAAAGAAAATAACTAATGAAAAGACTTGGTAAGTTTAGACTACTTTTGTAAATAGCGTATATTTTAGAGAAAGGGTGACAAAGATCTGTCCTATAAGATAACACAGGTAAGGCACTCAGGACAGTGCTTTGCCCCGATTAAGTACTTCAGAAATGTGATATCATTTACTTACCTATGTCTTTACCATCTCCTCTACCTCACCCATCCACTCCCAAAAAATCCAACATGTCTCCCTCCCCACCTCTGTGAGAAAACATAAAGGTTCCATTATCTTGCTGATAAGAGACAAATTTAGATGGCCTTGGAAGATCCCATCATTTTTCCTCCCTTGGTAGTCTGCAGGGTGACAGCGAGGCCTTGTTGAAAACATCATCCCGGCATGCAACACTGCTCCCAGGGCCCTCGTGTGCACACCCACCACCACTGTGGTCCCAGACCAGAGACCCCTGATGTATTTTCCATTACTTAGAGAAACTGAGGGCCCCCTAGTCCCTCTATGGCTAATTGACAAACATGTAAGAAGGCCTTGGAGGACCTCCCAGTCTGAAACCATCTTGGTCTTGGCGTGGTCAGAACATGTAAGTGCAGTCTATGTATGGAAGAATGACGGTTTGCAGAACTGCTCTGCTTGGAAATTTGCCTCCTATATTCTGTCTTTACCAGCGGTATTAATAGGACATTCACCTCCACAGATAAAAAGTGAGAAGTGACACGCCTGGATTGACTTATGTCTACTGTTGGAATCAAGTATTAGTAATGTATACCATGGAAATGTAAGGTAGTTACTGCCTGCCCTATCTGCCATAATACCTTAACCAAGCATTTTACTACTCAGAATGACAATATCCCCTTTTCTGGACTTTAACACCATACTAGTTTAGTTAAGCCCCCCATTCCCTAAGGTCTTACTTTCTTACTATTATCTTGAAAATTCATTCCAGCTAGCTCTCCACTAAACCCTACTACAATTTCAGAGGCTCACCTGCCATCATTTGTAATAACTCACTTTGCCATAGCCTCCTGGAAAAATTGCCATAGCCTCCTGGAAAAATTCACTAAATACATCTCCTCCTACAACCTAAACTTCTCCCTGCTAATTCCACCCAATCTTCCTTAGTTTTCTCTTTTTCATTCAACCTACTCCCACAGCAAATTCCATCCATTCTTCCAGGCCTAATTCATTTTATTTTCAAGGGCAGAAATCATGAGCACCAGAAAATTATATTGCAATTGACAGAATGCAAATCATGTTTTGTAAAATTTCAAGTCAAGGAATATGATTTACTCTTAAATAAGAGTGTGTATATTAGACCTACAGTGTTTTACTGGACCCGCTAGTTGGTGAGGGACCATCTCGAGAAGGATCCTCGGCTATTTTTATGGCTTCTTCCATGGCCGCGAGCAGACCATTCCCACCTTCCCCTCTCAAAGCAGGACCGAAACACTCGGGCCTCCGGATAAGCAACCTCACCACGACGTTAGCGTTCTCTTCCACGCTCTCCCCTAAAATCAAACGAGGAACAAGAGTAAATAAACACTGGTTATGGGGACGTTCTGAGCAAATAAATGTTATACTAATTCATTTATATTTAAAGAAAAATAACTAAAACCAAAGAACATAGTCACTAATAAAGCTAAAATTCAATTCAAATCACTAGTTTTATGTACACAAGACACAGTAAGTTTCTTCTTTTGTACTTAAATTTTCAAAGTAAAGAAAAGCATTATAGAGGCATAAAGTATTCATTTTTGTTAATTCTTTATAGGAAATGAAGCCATAAGCTCACCTATTATTAGAACCCAATTATAAAAGTCTGTAAGAATTTGTAACTGCCTAATATTTTTAATTTAATAATAAAGGCAAAGCACTGCTATTGAAATATTAGAAATTAAATTATTACTGTGGAAAAAAAGTACTGATTATAAAATATTCAATTTCTTTACTAATATTTACTTCCTTCATGAAAATGCTGGAATATACCATTTTTGATGTATCTATTTTTATGCAGTTTTAATCATGACCAAAAAAGACCCCAAGCAATCAGTCCTACCATTACAGAAGACAGCAAATCTGAGAAAGTCAAGGTATCTTTCCCCTTCAACTGGATTCCAACCAATGTCCGGATAACCCTTAGACACCAGCATCTGGCAGCTCTGCAGTCCACAACCAGCCAAATATCGAACTACCTACAAAAAAAATGATAAGCAAAAGTGTTATCCTGTGGGTAAGGAGTCATTAGATGCTAACACTACACATGACAAGTGATATCCTCAAAGGTTGGTTTAAAATGCATGTGGTTTTGCAAGTTCTTTTCAATCCCATGACAATCCACATGAACTCCCTGCACTAAAAGCTTAGAGTTAAGAAATATTTACAAATCATAACAAAGTGCTATCGTAATAAAAATATTTATGAATCAACTCTGTGAAAGAAAAATATTGCTAAGTTTCATATTATTTAATTTGAAACTTTTATCTATAAATGTCATGATATCTGGGGTGCCTGTCTGGCTCCGTCGGGAAATCAGACGGCTCTTGATCTCAAGGTCATGAGATCAAACCCCATATTGGGTGTAGAGCTTACATAAAAACAAAAACAAGGGCGCCTGGGTGGCTCAGTTGGTTAAGCGACTGCCTTCGGCTCAGGTCATAATCCTGGAGTCCTGGGATCGAGTCCCGCATCGGGCTTCCTGCTCAGCAGAGAGTCTGCTTCTCCCTCTGACCCTCCCCCCTCTCATGCTCTCTCTCTATCTCATTCTCTCTCTCAAATAAATAAGATCTTTAAAACAAAAACAAAACACACATATAAACATCACTGGTATTTGATAAAATTTGAAAATGTCAAAAGACCTCTGACCCAGTGTAAACCCGGATTCCATCTGAGGTATTGAAAGACCCATCTGAGATACAGTGATATTCCATTTGGAATTTACTTCCAAAATTACATTATCAAATTAATGTGGGGGGGATATATTTGAGAAAACACCCAGAGAAATAGAAAAAACTAAGCTTAGGTTCAAATATCCTTGGATTCAAATCCATCCTGCATTACTTACTGGATCATTCTGTGCCATGATTTCATGGTCTATAAAATTTGGGATAGTATTAAGTACCTTTCAGTATCATTGAATTTAACACAAAGTTTTCTGCTTATCTTTGCCTTTTAAATTATTGTTTTATATGAATGCTGATCCTTTACAGTATTTCATAACTGATCCAGTTTTAAAAGAAATCCCTAAGTTATTATCAATGGTAGTAGATTGTCAGACAAACAACTTATCAATCAAGTTACACCTAGCTCAAGCTAAAGCAGGTTTAAAAAGAAATAAGTATAGGGGCGCCTGGGTGGCTCAGTCGTTAAGCGTCTGCCTTCGGCTCAGGTCATGATCCCGGGGTCCTGGGATCGAGCCCCGCATCGGGCTCCCTGCTCAGCGGGAAGCCTGCTTCTCCCTCTTCCACTCCCCCTGCTTGTGTTCCCTCTCTTGCTCTCTCTCTCTCTCTCTCTGTCAAATAAATAAATAAAATCTTTAAAAAAAAAAAAGAAAGAAGTACAGCTAAAAATATTTTGTGCCAACTTTATCTAAGTATAATTTAGGTACAATAAATGCATCTATTTAAAGTATAAATTCAAGGTGCCTGGGTGGCTCAGTCTTAGGTTAAAGCATCTGACTCTTGATTTCGGCTGAGGTCGTGATCCCAGGGTCATGAGACTGAGTCCCACAAGGGCTCTGCGCTGAGTGTGGAGCCTGCTTAAGATTTTCTCTCTCTCCCTCTCCCTCTGCCCCTCCTCCCCACCCTGCTTGTGCATGCACATGCACACTCTCTCTCTAAAAAGGAAATAAAAAATTAAAATATAAATTTAGTGAGCTTTGAGAGATTTATACTTCCATAAAAACACACCCCAGTCAAGATGCACAACATTTCCATCACTCCTCAGGCCCCATCCATCCTCCCTGCATGCAAAGGCCTTAACAATCTTCTTTGTAACACTACAAATTAGCTTGTGTATTCTAGAACATTTATATATGCAATCATCCAGTATGTATCCTTTTATGCCTGGCTTCTTTCACTCAGAATACTGCTTTTGAGATTCATTTACACTGTAGCACATGCCAGTACTTCTATCCTTCTTACTGCATAGTAACAGCATTCCACAGCACATGGAAATAGTCCACATTTCCTTATCCATTCATCAGCTCATGGACATTTGAACTGTCCCCAGTTTTTGGCTAAGATGAGTAACGTTGTTACCAAGATTCATGTACACACATTCCTATTTCAATTAAGTATCTACAAGTAGGAAGGCTAGGTGTATATATATGTCTATGACAGATATATGTTTTATTAAGAAACTTATTTGTTAAGTTAGGGGTGCCTGGGTGGCTCAGCTGGTTAAGTGTCTGACTCTTAATCTTGGCTCAGGTCATGATCCCAGGGTTGTGAGATCAAGCCCTGCCTGCATCAGGTTCTGCACTGAGCATGGAGTCTGCTTAAGATTCTCTCTCTCCTCTCCCTCTGCCCCTCCCCTACCACGCTCTCTCTCTCGGGGGGGCAGGGGCGGGGGCGGGGGGATTTAAGTTAAATTTGTTAAGAAAGTGCCAACCTGCTTTGCAAAATGACTCTACCATTTTTCATCTCAACGGCAATAGATGAAAGTTTCCGTTGCTCCACACCCTCCAAAATGTTTGGTATTGTCAACTTTTTAAATGTCAGCCATATTTCAGTGTGTAGGTTAAAAGATTTTAAAATATATATGAGAGAAAATGCTCCCAAGGGTTAGTCGAAGATGCAAAGCTTTGTGATTCAATCCTGGCAAGTCAGAAGTGTTTGGGAAAGAGTTCACTTTTTCATGCCTTCACCAGCTGTGCAATGATGACTTATCCAATGCCAGTGTTGTTCTTGAAGACTGGAACAAAGTAGTGAACGACAGAGAAAAAACATGCCCTCAACTCATTGGCCTTATGTTATGATAGGGAGCGGATTTTTTAAAATACTCAAATGTATATTTCATATAAATAACATGGAAATGTGTATTTCTGTATATAATATACAAATATATTTTTCCAACTGTTGTAAAATAAAGCAGCAAAGAAGACAAGACAGGAAACAGAAGAGGTTTCAATTTTAAACGGCAGGGACATGAAGAGCTAACAAAAAGGTGACTTCGATCAATGACGAGAAGGACGTCAGGAAAAGAGCCGTGAAGACATCTGGCAGAAGAATCCTGCAGATGGAGCGAAGAGCAAGCACGAAGTCCCTGAGGCAGGAGCGTACCTGGCAAGTTCCCACAAGAGCAAGGGGACCAGTGTGGTTGGAGCAAATAGAAAAGATCAGGAGAATGGCAGGCAGTAAGAGGGATATGTGAAATCAGATGGGTTAGAAGCCATTACGATGCCTTTAGCTTTTACTTGAAGTGAGATGGTAAGTATCAGGAAGAGTTGTGGACACAGGATTAATCCGCTTTTTTTAAGAGGCTCATTCTGGCTGCCAAGTAGGGGAGCCAGGAAGGATCAGGAAGACCACTTAGAAAGCAATCACAATGACGATGCAGGGGAAATTTATCTATGTTCCAGCAAATATGCATGCAGCCTCAAGCGCTCAGAGCACAGGGTCTTAGTATGTCAGTGAGGCCTTGCATTGGAATATATGTCTACATGATACAAAATGTACTTTGAAATGTTAAAACCACCTCTGAAAAAATTGAAACTGTATGACTAAAGCAAAAGTAACAACAAATACCATGGAAGGACAGAAACCCACAGGACAGAAACTTCCCTTTCCAGAAGAAAATGTACGTGATCGGAGGAAACACTAACACAAGGGGCAAGGATGTTGCTTACCTTTTCCAAATCTGGCTCACGCAGAGCTAAGGCCAGTTCATTATTATCCATCACCGAGGCGGCTGCCACATCCAGTGGTGTTGAACCTCTCATAGCTGGTGAGGCTGTTAATTCAAACGAAGTTGAAACAAAACCTGGATTGTGCTACAACTACAGATTCCATATAAAAACACTGTCCCTTAAAATTTCATTTCCAAACACAACACATACTGCATTGATCTAAAATTACTTTGCATTAAAGTTTAAAATTTAACATAGTATGTATATTGTAAAATCTTAAGGATTAAATAAAAGCCATAATTTGCTTACCAAGACCAACACTGCTGTTCTCCAATAAATAGCTGAGATGATCAAACATAGCTTTTTGATTCTGCCTACTTATACGACAGAAGTAACAAAGGAAACGGCAACAGTTGGCCACCATCTTGGGAAAAGTGATTTCCTACATAAAGAGATTTAGTTAGCTGTGAGAGCAAATGGTCTTCAGAAAATTGAGTTCAGAAGTTGAGGTCCAATCACATTGTGAATCCATGTGGGCCCATGTCCGCCAAGTTTCAGATTCTAAAGACTTCAACTCACCTACTCCTCGAGCCACTGAAAATCAAAGCCGACACTAATTTAGACACCTCATTACCATCAAGGGGGTGATCTGGAACTGATCCACAGCCCTAAATCTATAGGTGGCATAAACCTGATTTAGCAATCAGGCAGACTTGGTTGTGATTCCTGACTCACACTATGAACTGTGCTTCCTTGGGAGACTATTTAGTCTCATTGAATCGATTCTGTAAAAGTGGAATAAAATGGATAATAATACTTAATTTAGGAAAGAGAGGAAAAGTTCAATGAGACCTTTTATGAAAAATACCCTATTTCCTCCTTGAAACCACATTAGGGCATTCCTATCATAAGTGTTGTTGTTTTTTAAGATTCTAGGAGTCACACCTTCCCTGATTTGGACATGACTCATCTGCTCTGATGGACACCCTGACCAGAAGGCCTGCATGCTAGACCCCATCAAATACATCTCCCTTAAGCGCCTAATCTTGTTCTAGTATATCCCGGATGATCCCTGGAGTCTCTCCTTAACAGAATATCTTAAAAATATCTTTATGAGTCTGTCTAACTGGTGAACTGAACATGAGAAATATGAACGGTTCCCTATTTTGAAAAATACATCTTAAAATTTCAAAAAATAGTGAAATATATTTTGTAAATCATAAAATTATACTGATTCACATGAAATTGTTATATTACTCTATTCACTAGGTTTTGAAGGTTTGAAAGTTTGAAAAGTTTCACTTCATCTTAACTTTGAATCACTTAAAAAAATTCACTTTATAGTCTTAAAACAAATACTCCAGGACATCATCTTCAAATTTTGGCCTGGATCAGGAATTTAGCAGAACCAACTGCCATCTAAATTAAGGGGAACGTCTGGGTCTGAAGAACATGTTTGTGTTTTGGACTTTCAATCTGATGGGCTTTAATTTATAATTAAAAATTTTAAAAATAGTAAAGTATTAACATTTAAAGTTTCTAACTAACCACTAAATAGGAAAAGTTTAGGAGGCCGCAAATTACACAGCATAAGAGAGAAATTGTTATCAATATCAAAGGAAAAAATAACTAGTAGCATAGCCAATTCTCAATCTATAAGGTTTGCTTTTTGTTCTGTTTTGTTTTTGCAAAAGGTCTTCTTTAAAAAACAGTCCTCCTAAGAGGATTTAAGAAACCCTCATTAAGAATATGCAGTGTATGTACTCTAGGAGTTATATTCATTGGCATCTTAATAATCAAGGATTATCCTTTACCTTGGACTGTCCACCTCCAAGGACGTTCACCATGACCTCCATCACTGTCTCGTGCATCCCAAGTGCCCTCATGAGATTAGGGTGCTGGTAAAACACTTTATTATTCATGATATCCCTAGAAAGGACAATATAGATTTGGGGGGTGAGAAGCACAGAGGGCAGAGAAAATTTTAAATAAAAATTTATGTGAGATCCTGATAACAATTCTGGAAATAATTACTGGCATGAACAGAAAAGTAAGCTCAATCATGATGAAAGTTAATAAAAGCAAAAGTTAATAAGCACAACTAATTGAGTTTTCCTCAAAAAATACTGACAGCCTCTCGAAAATAGTATACAAGTTATCTACTCTTTTCAGATACAAGAAATGTACTAAATATGTAAATATTCATCTATATGAAATATATTTTTGGACACTTATCATTCCTAATTTTATGTATATCCAAACATCTGTTCATTCTTCTTTAGCACAGAAATATGAATCACTGTTATACCATGTTCTATGAAAATTCCTATATAAATTATTGATATACAAGTATCTACTTTTCATGTAGGATACTTTTAGTACTACCTTCAGTATTTGTATGTTTAATAACAGTAGTGTTATTTCTTACTACATTTGTGTTATCTTTCCAGAGATCTGCTTATAAAGGATTTATATTCTCAAAGAGAAACTGAATACATATCAAGTCCAGGTACAAGTAATACAACAAATTAAAGTTGACATTTGATTTGAAAAACCAGCAGCAGCTGATACCCAAAATGTTTCATATTATCATGATTTCATTATATGTTATTATGCTATGTATGTAAAGGTATTCCTAAGAATATTAATGCTCCATAGTCATTAAAAATAAAGAACTCTGCTGATTTTTATTTGAACATAAATTAAATCAATACAGGAGGTTTTTTTTTTCCTACAAAACACTTCCTGTCACAGCTCTAACAAGAAAATTTTAGAACGCACAGCCTACAAGAAAACAAGCTTTCCCTGCAGATCTCATCTCCTTAGTTGACTCACCTCTTCATTTGGTCATATGCTACTTTTAGTTACTCCACGTATATCAAGACAGTGAAACAGAATTCCTGTATAATGATTCTCTTTTTTTTAGTTTTAGTTTTTCGCTTTTGAGTTTAGTTTTGCCTTAACGACAAGAGTTTATAGATAGCACAACTCAAAAAAAATGACATGGGGGCCGAGGACTAAAATAGGTCTGATCTATTTTGTGCAAGAACAAATGGAGTAAAGAAAGGCCTCCTTTTCCCTCACATAAGACGGCAACATATTTAGTAGGAGAACCTTCAATTTTCAAACCACAGTTGTAATCACAGGATTTGTTCTTTCGTTATTTCAAATCCTTTTGTATGACCCAACTTTGGACAATATTGTATTGAAAAAGTCTTGTTTGCCTTTCATTCTAGGTAAATTAAGTGGATTTATAATTCTACCACTTGGTAGGCAGGTTGTCATTTATAAAATGTGTCCTTTGAGAAATATTTCTAATACCACAAAAACATAACTTTTTATTTCATTTTATAATCATTGTGAGTTTTATCACTACTGAGTGATTTATGTGTTAACAGCACATACTACTGTTATATGTTCATTTGAGAAGAAAGTGCCCTGTATTTCCTGGAAGGCTTCCTTTCTCATGTGGTTAATGAAGATCACTCATGTGAAGAAGCCCTTTTCAGTTAGACTGAAGTATTAATATCCAAAAAAAAAAAAAAAAAATTCACGCTGATACAATTATAAAGACCACCAAATTTGCTTTTGTTTTTTTAAGCTTTTCTGTTTTGTTCCGTTAGTATATTTATTTTTAGTGTGCAATAATAACAATTTTGGAATATAACCTTCAGGCTTATTAATGACTGCAAACACTTGATAGGTCTAAGGGCAATACATAGTAGTGTGTTCTGAATGTACATAAATAATACTACACAAACTGAGTCTTTCTATACTATTATTTTTTACCCACAGGATAATTTTTTAGATCAAAGAAAACAGTGGTTATTCTATTCCATTAGTTTTTTGAAGAACCAACTCTAGGTTTCTTAAAACTTTTTACTGTTTCTTTACATCCTTTTTTATCCATGTCAATAGTTACTTTCATTCTCTCTTCTTTATCTAATATTTATGTAACTAGATAAGCTTTTTTGGCAGAATATCTGTATTCTATCTCACTTTTCAACATCCTACATTCGATTTCTACATCCTTATGTTTCAGTATCTTTTTCTTGCAGACATCAGAAAGCTTAATTTAAGCTTCTATTGTTCTTCTATTTTTATAATCCCAAACTACGCAAGCTCGTGAATGATTCCCAGATTTATGCATATATGCGCCAATAATGCACTCACTGAAACTTTTGCTTCCCATTCTTTCTCTCTGAATTCCATTATCTTTTCTTTAATGTGCAACCTTTAGAAGGTCTTTGAATGGACCGTAAGTAAATATTCTGAAATATCTTTGTTTTGCCATCACTCTTAAAATATGGGATATAAATCCTCATCTCCAAATCTCCATGAAGCACAAGGTCATGGTGTGGCATTCTCAGTTGAGTAACACATTCTAAATTGATGGTTATTTTCCATCAGAATTTGTGAGTGTGGTATTCCATTGAGTAATGATCTCTAGTTTTGCCGTTGAGAATTCCATATACTGTCGGCGGTTTTTTTGTAAGTATTCTGGCTTTTCTTTCAACTTGCTTTGAAAATAAGTCTATTCATCACTGGTTTTATGGCAGTTTCACTAGCCTATGCAGGTGAAGATGTGGAACTACCTGTGCTTTGGGATAATCTGTGAATTCATGCTCTTCATCAATTCTGAAAATCTAAAGCCAATAGCTCTTGAAATATTCCCATTCCATAAATCATCTATTCTGTCTTTTCCAGAAATCCTGTTTACCGTAACCTGGACCTTCTTATACTCTCCCTTAGGTCTCGTAACTGCTCTTTCCAATTTCCTTATCTTTACCTCTCAGGGCTACAGTACTAAGTAATTTTCTCAGATCTATGATCCAACTTACTAATTTTCTCTTCAGCTTATCCAATTTAACTAATTTACTGTTTTTAAATGTCATTTATTATATTTTTCATTTCTAGAAACTCTATTTGGATCTTTTTCAGATCTTTGTGGACTTCTCTCCACATCTTATTTTTGGAGAATTGACTTATTCCTTTGTATTCCTAACCATTTTAAATATAGTCACTTATGTTCTCTTTCTGGCATTGTACTATCTGAAGTTCTTGAAACAGGTGTTCTGACCCCACTACTATTGTATTTGTAGACCCTTGCTTATGGAGGATTTTTCCATAGGAGCTTTGTAATTTTGATTGTAAGCTAACCATTGGTAGTATTTAGTTTTTTCCTGCAAGGTTTCACGGTGACTTAAATTGAGAAAGTATACCTCCAGGGCCAACTGTTACATTCTCGGTTTGGGAATCCTTAGACCACACATGAGATATAAACGTTAATCCCCAAATTCACACAGGAAGCACACCTATGGTATTGAACTATCAGAAGAACTGCGTTGTTTTCCCCATTCTTTTTTCAAGGCCCAGTGGATATAGACAAAATACCTTATTATTTCCTGCTGGTGTTTTTCTCTTCATGGATTTTAATGTGTTTTTTATTAAACTGTATTTTTTACATATGATTGCACATTACTGAAAAATTAATCTTAAAAACCTCTAAAATATGTGCTGCATATCATAGCCACCTTAGCATCTAGTTGTAAAATTAGTCACATTTTGCTGTTGAGCAACTTTTCTATTTAGCTTAAAAACATGTCTAGAAAAGCAACAATCTCATTTAATAATCATATACAGAAATACCTCACAAATATGGCAGATTTGGATCCAGCTCACAGTAATAAAGCAAATATTGCAGTAAAGCAAATCAAATAAATTTTTTTGGTTTTCCAGTACATACAAAAGTTATGTTTACAATACACTATAGGTTATTAAGAGTGTAATAGTATTATGTTTTAAAAATCAATGTAAAAGAAGAAGATAGCAGAAGGGGAAGAATGAAGGGGGTGAAATCGGAGGGGGAGATGAACCATGAGACACGATGGACTCTGAAAAACTGAGGGTTCTAGAGGGGAGGGGGGTGGGGGCATGGGTTAGCCTGGTGATGGGTATTAAAGAGGGCACGTTCTGCATGGAGCAATGGGTGTTATATGCAAACAATGAATCATAGAACACTACATCAAAAACTAATGATGTAATGTATGGTGATTAACATAACAATAAAAAATTTTAAAAAATCAAAAATACTTTACTACTAAAAATGCTACCATCTCCTGAAATTTCAATGAGTTGTAATCATTGATCACAGGTCACCATAACAATTATGATATAATAAAAAGTTGGAAATACTGTAAGAATTGCCATCATGTGACACAGAGACACAAAGTGAGCAAACGCCATTAAAAAAATGGTGCCAACAGACTTGCTCAATGCAAGGTAGTCACAAACCTCCAATTTGTAAAAACACACTATCTGCGAAGGGCAATAAAGCAAGGCACAATAAAATGAGGCATGCCTGTAATTGAAATAGTGGATTTGTATTAATATACCTACTGTGCAACTACTGGGATAAACAAGGAGAAAGAAGACATTTATAAGACAAAGGTTGTAATAGTTAAATAAATTACCCTAATCCACGAATCATAAGCTTCTCTTCTTCTTTGCCCATTCTTACACTCAGCAGAGAACGAATCTGACCAAGAGATGCCAGCAGGTTGATGGTATCCTCCACGGAGACACCATTTATAGTGTAGGTCTTTGGCAGAGCCCGGACCAGACCCCCAATGCCATCATACTGTCGATGCAGCAACACAAACATGGCCCTCACCAATTCGGGGTCTTCAATGACAGACTCTTGCGCCCATCGGACCATGGTCTCAGAAATCAACTGCTGAAGAGTGGCTGCAAAGTCATTATGGATGTTTTTTTTAAAAGGAAAATAATAAGAGAAGACAAATTTGTTGGGCATTTCAACTGTGCCTCTCATAGTCCCAAACTAATATCTATATTTGTACCAGAATTGAAAAGGCTAGGGATATTCTTCGAGGAAAATAAACTTCACTTTGACATTTTATATATATGTCAGTAAAAATGAGTTATGAACATGCAAGGATAAAAATACACAAGCTTTTCCTTAAAAACTCCTCTTATTAAGGAATTTAAGCAGTTCAGAACAACACCTACTTTTTCAAAACTACTGTTGGCAGTCCATAGGGCAATCAATAGGAGTTGTCCTAATACTTTTACTTCCATTTTCTTTGTTCCATTATTTTCCTCCCAGATCTGACATCATATATCCTTATAAAGTCAGTCATGGGCATCCAAGGAATTAACTATTTTTCTCTCTCCTCATTTGAGCCATTTGCAAAAGTGACCTCACATAATTATATTTTTACTATAATTTGGATCCTTAATTGTCACTTGAAATGTTTTGATTGTGAAGCTATATTAAAGTGAAAAACTATCCTATAAATAGGAGACTATGTGCAATGTGACATGCAGTGTAGTACACATAAAAGCAACAGAATTTCCAAACCTCCTGAAATAAACAGCAAAATTATGAAAGCTAAGTAGGGTTGAAGTGATAAAGACACAAGTAATGAAGTACTAATTCCTAATCCTGGCAGATTTTCAAAAGAAGCTGTTTTACCTGCTTTAATCTGTACATTATTTAAGGACGAACAAAAACTACCAATTTTAACTGAATCCAAAATGCAGATGAAATGCCAGTATACCTCCACATGCCTCAAAAACACATTGACATTTTTAATAGGTCAAAATCATAAACGTGATCACGAAAAGTGGTTCATAAGAAACCTTGGACTCTCATTTTGAAGAAGACTTGATTCAAATAAATTTGGTTGTGATACTAAAGAATAAATTTAGAGTTCATTGTATGGATGAAAGGTTCCCATTGTAAGTTAGCACCAAAAAAAAAAAAAAAAAAAAAAAAAACCTAAAATTTTTCATGGGTTCATTTTTCTTCTTTCAGTAAAAACTGTTCCTAAACCAGTGCTACAGCATAGAATGAATGGGGACTGGGATGTGAGGTAATAAGTAAGATGGATCTCACCAACCTACTACTTGAAACCCTTCTGGATGAGTGTTGTGTCTGAGACTCATTGCCCCGGTGTGCTTATTTTCAGAGTATCAGCTGTTACTCTTAAGTAGGATAAAAATGAACCAGAAATGCTTAACAGTTTAGAAAATATCTCAGAACCAAAATATAGTTACAGATACTACTTAAACTTTAAGAAAAGTTTAACTTGGTACAAGAATATTTGAAAGTCAATAGCGTAATAGATAGGAAAGCTAAATTACTCCCTTTGTACTTTCTCTTGACAGTGTCTGATCAAATACCTAAATTTGTAGTCCTCTAGGGAGCCCACCCACCCTTATAAATACTGCTAACTCTCAATCTTTTCCTACAAACAAGGTTTGATGTTGCTGTCTACTTCTGTCAGCCACAGGCATCTACTTAAGAATCTGATCCTTGGAAGCTTCCAACTCAGTTTTCTCACTGGCTCATCTAGTCTGATGTTACTTCGAAGGATGAATAAATGTCAGCAGAGTCGCTTTGCCAGTGCCCTTCCATACTGCTTACAGGATTTCTTGGAGTCACTCTCAACGGGTTTTTCAGCTTGTTTCTTCTTCAGGTATGTCACCTTTTCTACCAGGGACAGCAGGCGGCCCCTAATTGTTAAGTCACTGTTTCCATCCAAAGACCCATCTTCATCCAGCTCAATTCCTAGCAAGAGAAAAGCAAAGAGAAAGAAGAAAAGAAAAATGCATTTGAAAAACATATATTTAGGAGAAATAATGCTCTGGTTTTGCAACTTTTTCCATTCATAGCTTAAAGCAACCCTGCCATGTCCAAAACATTTGACAGCGTTTGAATTAAGCACTCCTGCTCACTAGCACGTGGGTAAAATCCACTCACTGGCCTCTTGTCTTCCTTTCTCTTTTTCTCCTGTTCCGATGGGCCCAGGGCTATTAGTAGCCAAGACAAAATACAAAACTGAGCAGACAGCAAAAAGATGATCTTAGGAGTCAAGATCAATTCTGGTATTTGGTCTGATCCTTAGGCTGACCCTGAGGCATGTCTGACTTTAGGGGCTATCTGCCTAGACCTACAGTTTTAACCTGCAAGAAACCTCCTAGGCTTTCAGCCTCATTTGCCTCTAATAATCACAGTGGCATTTTAATAAATTGAGAGGAGAGCAGGCATAATTAGGTATCCTAATTCAGGGAACGCTTTATGTCTGAAGCAATAATACTACCATTTTAGAGTGCCCCTTTATTTATAGCAGATAATACAACTTTCTGGCACTCGTTTAGTGGCTCATCATTCATAAGCTGAATTAATATGCAAGGTGATGCTTATATTCTCTTCATTAAAATAAAATAAAAACAATGCAACTGGTGTTACACATCACTTAAGAAATGGCAAATTCATTTTCCTTCACTGGAACACTTTGTCCATATCATGGCTTAAAGGGAAAAGAATCACAGATTCAGAACATCAAATAAATTCCATTTTAAAAGTTCTTAGAGTAAAAGGAGAGTAAAGCTCCCTTAATAGATTTGGGCTACTGACATAAACTTAATGAAGGATTTCCTTAGGCATTAATTAATTTCAAAAGATACATGCTGCATTTCCTAGGGCAATACTAAAAAGTGCCCCACAACTGGTTTAAATACAACTATTTGTGATCAATTGTCTTTAGACTAAATCAATCTAACACTCATCTCTCTCCCAAAGCATCTGGTTACATGTCTCCATTCCCCCTTTCTATTCTCTGCCACTGAGGAGAAGAGAGAAAAGAAATAAAATTTTGGTTATCTCCTACTTGGTCTTAAAGTCTTTCAGATATCTCTACCTGTCATGACTTTCCACATAGGGTCAGTTAAACATTTTTGCAATAATAAATATTCTTACATGAGCTCCTACCAGGCATCATGTATATTTATGAACCTATTTACATATATATTAACTTTTGTATCAGTATATGTGTATGAAAAATATACATTTGACAACTAAACAATATTATGAAAACAGTTCAAAACAAAAAAAGAAGTTTGACAAGGAAATAGTAACCATTAAAATGAACAAACAGAAATCCTAGAGTTGAAAAATACAATAACTGAACAATGCAACTGAGAGTTTCAAAGATAGACTTAACCATGCAGAAGAAAGAATAAACAACTTGAAGAATAGGTCAATGAAAATCATGCACTCTGAAGAAAGCCTGTAAGATTTAGGGGACACAATGGAAAGATTCCCACAATATTCAGGATATGGGGATTCCAGAAGGTGAGAAGAAAGAAAAAGGGACAGAAAGTATATTTAAAGTAATAATGGCTGAAAACTTCCCAAATCTGGGGAGAGAAATGGACATACAGATCGATGAGGCCCCAAAGACCCAAAATGTACTGAACTTGAATAGGGCTACACTGAGACACATTATAATTAAATTGTCAAAAGGCAAAGGCAAAGAAGGAATTTTGAAAAGGAGCAAGAGAAAAGAGAGAAGTTACATAAAAGGGAACACCCATAAGACTACTGGCAGATTTCTCATCAGAAACTTTTCAAGACAGGCAAGAATGGGATCACATATTCAAAATATTGAAAGAAAGTAACTACTCACCAAGAATTCTACACCCAGTCAAGCTGTCCTTCAGAAAAGGGAGGGGGGATAGAGGCTTTCCCCAACAAACAAAAGCTGAGGAAGTTCATTACTACCAGATCTGTCTTACAAGGAATGCTAGAGGAAATTCTTTGAATGGAAGTCAAAGAACAAAAATTAACATTGCAAAAACACAAAAAGGTAGTATAAATCTCACTGGTAATGATAAACATATAATCAACATTAGATTCTGCGATATGGTAATAGTGTTGCATAACTCACAACTCTAGTTTAAATTTTTTTTTAATGAATTAAAATAGGTTGTTATAACTTGTAGATATTGCATGTAAACCTTACGGTAACCACAAGGGAAAACCTTGTAGTAATTATACAAAAGAACACAATAAAGAAGTCAAAGCATACTCATAACAAATATATCAACATATACATACACGAAATACAGAAGGATATGAAACAAGGAAAAACAGATCTACAAAATAAAAAAAAAATTGACAAAACAGCAATAGTAAGTCCTTACCTATCAATTACTTTAAGTAAAAATGGATAGAATTCTCCAACCAAAAGACATAGAATGGTTGAATGAAAAAACAAGATCTAACCATATGCTGCCCCTAAGAGATTCACATTAACCTTAAAGACACACAAAGACTAAGCAAAGGGATGAAAAATGACATTTCAAGCAAGTGGTAATCAAACAAAACAGGGGAAGCTATACTTACATCAGACAAAAGAGACTTTAAACATGGCAAAAAGAGACAAAGAAGGTCATTATATAATGATAAAGGGGTCAATATATCAAGAAGATATAATAATAATAAATATTTTTACACCCAATACCAGAGTACCTAAACATATAAAGCAAAAACTAAAAAAACTAAAAGGGGAAATAAGGAGTAATACAGTAATAATTGGGGGACTTTTGTATCCCACTCTTAACAATGGATAGATCATACAGGAGAGAATCAATAAGGAAAGAGTGGATTTTAACAACACTGTAGACTAAATGGATGTAACAGACATATACAAAAACATTCTATCAAGTGACAGCAGAATAGACATTCTCCTCAAGTGTACATGGAATATTTTCTAGGATAGAATATGTGTTAAGCCAAAGAACAAGTCTTAGCAAATTCAAGAGGGTTGAAATTATACCAGTAATCTTCTCTGACCACAATGGCATGAAACTAGAAATCAATGACAAGGGGAAGACTGGAAAATTCATGAACACAGAGAAATTAAACACTCTCTTTAACAACCAATGAATCCAAGAAGAAATTTTAGGGGAAATAAAAGAAAGAATTTACTGAGACAAACAAAACTGGAAATACAACATACCAGAATTAATAGGTGCTGCTAAAGCACTTCTAAGAGGGAAGATCATAGCAATAAATGCCTACATGAAGAAGAAAGATCTCAAATAAACGACCTAACTCTACATCTTAAGGAACTAGAAAAAGAAGAACCAACAGAGCCTGAAGGTAGTAGAAGAAAGATTAGAGCAGAAATTATTGAAATAGAAATCAAAAAAACATAGAAAAGATTAACCAAACTAAGTTAATTCCCTGAAAAAAATAAAAAATAAAATTGACAAACCCTTAGCTAGCCTAAGGGGAATAAAGACAGTACTCAAATCAACAACATTATAAATGAAAAAGGAGACATTATAAATGAAAAAATTAAAAAGATACCCCAGAAATTCAAAGGCTTGTAAAACAGTACTATGAACATTATCAGTGAACAAAGTGGACAAGCTAGAAGAAATGGAAAAGTTCTTAGAAACATACAACTTACCAAGGAAGAAATGGAAAATCTGAATAGGCCCATTAATCGTAAGGAGAGTACATCAGTAATCAAAACCTCACAATGAAGCAAAGCTTTACTGGTGAATTTTACTAAACATTTAAAGAATTACACCAATTCTTCTCAAACTCTTCCAAAAAAAACGAAAGAGGAGGAAACACTCTCAAAATCACTTTACTAGGACAGCATTATCCTGATACCAAAAATGCAAAAGGTCACTACCAGAAAAGAAAATCACAGGCCACTATCCCTGATGAACACAGATGCAAAATTTCTCAATAAAATACCAGCAAACTGAATTCAACAGCATATTAAAAGGATCATTTACCATGATCGAGCGAGATTTATCACTGGGATGCTAGGATGGTCCAACATATGCAAGACAATCAATGTGACACACCACAATAACAGAATGAATGAAAAGAATCATATGATCATCATATGATCATCTCACTAGGCACTAGAAGTAAAATGGTCTCTATCTGCAGACAACATGATTTTATACGTAGAAAATCCTAGGGGCGCCTGGATGGCTCAGTTGGTTAAGCGACTGCCTTCAGCTCAGGTCATGATCTCAGGATCCTGGGATTGAGCCCCGCATCAGGCTCCCTGCTCAGCAGGAAGCCTGCTTCTCCCTCTGACCCTCCCCCTGCTTGTGTTCCCTCTCTCGCTGTCTCTCTCTCTCTCTCTCTCTCTGTCAATTAAATAAATAAATAAAATCTTTAAAAGAAAAAGAAAATCCTAAAGACTCAACCAAAAAACTGTTAAACCTAATCAATGAATCCAATAAAGTTGCAAGACATAAAATTAACATACAACAATATAAAGTGTTTTCATAAACTAAAATGAAATTTCTGAAAAAGAAATGAATCAATCTCATTTACAATAGCATCAAGAACAATAAAATTCTTAGGAATAAGTTTAATGAAGGAGGTGAGAGATCTCTATCTTAAAAATTACAAGAGATTGGTGAAAAGAAAAGAGGATACAAATACATGGAAAGGCATCTTAAAATGGTAATATTATCAAAAGCTATCTATAGATTCAACGCAATCCCTATCAAGATTCCAATGGCATTTTTTATAGAAGTAGGAAAAAAACCTTCCCAAAATTTGTATGAAATCACAAAAATCTCCCTAATAGCCAAAGAAATCCTGAGAAAGAAGAATAAAGTAAGAAGTATCACACTTCCTGGTTTAAGCTAAGCTATTAAAGCTATAGTCATCAAACAGCATGGTACTGACGTAAAAATGGACAAAGAGATATATGGAAAAGAACTGAGAGCCCAGAAATAAACCCAAGCATGTATGGTCTACTAAGAGTTGACAAGGGAGCCAAGAATACCCAATGGAGAAAAGGTAGTCTTCAATAAACAGGGCTGGGATAATTGGATATTCACATTTAAAAGAATGAAACTGGACCATATCTTAACCACTCATAAAAATTAACTAGAAATAGAGGAAAGACTTAAATGTACGACCTGATATCATGAAACTCCTAGCAAAAAACATAACAATAAAGCTCCTTGATATGGATTTTGGTAATAATTTTTTGGATATGACACCTAAACTATAAGTAACAATAGCAAAAATAAATATATGGGACTACATCAAACTAAACAGTTTCCATAAAAACCAAAAGAAACCACTAACAAAGTGAAAAGACAAACTACAGAATGGGAAAAAATGTATGTAAACTATATATCTGATAAGGAATTAATATCTAAAATATATAAAGGACTCCTATAACTCAAAAGCAAAAAACAAACAAAACAGTATAGAGGACCCTCAAAAAATTTTAAAAATAGGGGTGCTAGGGTGGCTCAGTTGTTAAGTGTCTGCCTTCGGCTCAGGTCATGATCCCAGGGTCCTGGGATCGAGCCCCGCATCGGGCTCCCTGCTCAGCGGGGAGCCTGCTTCTCCCTCTCCCACTCCCCCTGCTTGTGTTCCTTCTCTAGCTGTCTCTCTCTCTCTCTGTCAAATAAATAAATAAAATCTAAAAAAAAATTAAAAAATAGAATTACCATATGATCCAGTAATTCACTTCTGGGAATATATCCAAAGGAAATGAAAACACTTACTTAAAAAAAGTATCTGCACCCCCCTGTTCACAGCAGCATTATTTACGACAGCCAAGATATGGAAACAACTTAAGTGCCCACCAACAAATGAATGGATAAAGAAGTTGTGGTATATACATACAATGGAATATTATTGAGCCAAAAAACAAGGAAATCCTACCATCTGTGACAACATGGTCAGAACTTGAAGGCATTATGCTAAGAGAAGTCAGACAGAGAAAAGAGAAATACCATGTGATCTCACTTATATGTGGAAACTAAAAACAAACAACAAACTCAGAGAAAAAGAGATCATATTTGTTATTAGAAGTGGGGAGTAGGGAGTGAGGAATTCAAGGAAAGTGGTCAAAAGTTACAAACTTTAACTAAGTACTAGGGATGCAACACACAGCATGATGAGTGTAGCTAACACTGCCGTACAATATACAGGAAAGTTCTTTTTCAGAGGGTAAATCCTAAGAGTATTTGTCACAAGGAAAAACAAATTTGCCTTTATTTGTTCTTCCTTTTCTTTTTATTGCACGTGTATGAGAAGATGGATGTTAGCCAAACCTATCATGGTAATCATTTCAAAATGTAGGTAAATCAAACAATCACAAAGTACATCCTAAATTTATACAGTGGTATATGTCAATTATTTCTTAATATAATTATTTCTCAATAAATAAACAAGTAAATAAATAAATATATAACACATCTAATAAGAGTTGTTAAGTCAAGAAGACTTTACCACAATGTGTCATCAAATCTTCATGAAAATCTAAGAGTTGGTCACGGATTTCTTCAGGACATGGACATTCACTTTTGTCATCCTTAAAATTGAGAAGCATATTGATCTGAAAGTTTGGGAAAACAAGAAGGAGAACAAGAGAAAAAGAACAGTGAATTCAGGAATGACAGCAAAAAAAAAAATCATAAAAACCTAAAGATGTTCAAACCTTTGAGTATTCATAAATTGATGCCCAACAAATGAAAAATCATTATCACTCAATACAACTAATACCAAAAAATAAATAAAACTATTCAAAGCTTAGCTTGCTGCAAAATAGTCACATAATTTGCTTCCTTTTTCTCAATTCCAGAGTATGTTAGACCCTTGTATGCTTAGTGTTCTTAAATCAACTAAAATCTAAATATGATTTTAATATTTTATTATGCTTCTCCTAGATTTCCATTTTTTTTCTTGCTAATTTCTAAACTTCATGGAGTATTTTAAAGAATACTTTTTGAGAAGGATATACAGCAAAGATGAAGAAAAATCCAAATAGAAAATACAATGGATAGCTATGCTTTTACTAACATTGATGTTTCAATTAAATAAACTTCGAGAAACTATCCTCCATTTGTTTTAGCTTTAGACACAAAAATACTACATTTATGAATGAAGAAAAGAAAGGAATGTTGCTGTTTCATAATTTCCCCCGAGGAAACAATTTTAAGTTTGCTTTTTAGACTTTTTTACGTGAGACTCTTGTTTAACTTTTATTTTGCGATAACTACATGCATATGCTGTAAGATATAATCAAAGAGATACCATATACCCTTTACCCAGTTCCCCCTGGGAATGGGTAACATCTTACAAAACAGCAGTACAATATCACAGTCAGAGCCCTGACATTGATAGTCAAAACAGAGAACAATTTCATCACTTGAAGGATCATTCCTGCTACCCCCTTATAATCACATCCACTCCCCTCCTGCCTGCTCCTCATCCCTTATTCCCGTCAGTCACTAATCTGTTGTCCATTTCCATATTATTGTCATTTCAAGAATGTTACATAAATGAAATCATACAACATATGCATGCATACATTCCCATCTGATCCTTTTGATGTCTGCAGGGTCTGTAGTGATACCTCATTTCATTCCTGATATTGGTAATTTGTGGCTTCTCTCTTTCTGTTAGGCTTTTCAGCAGTTTGTAGATTTTATTGATATTCTTAAATGACCAGTTTTTAGATTCCTTTTTTTTTTTCAATTGTCCTGTTTTCAGTTTCATTGATTTCTGCTTTTACCTATATTATTGCCTTCCTTCTGCTTGCTTTGGGTTTATTTTACTCTTCTTTTTCTAAATGCTTGTGATGGAAGCTTATTGATTTGTTTTTCTCTCTTTAAATGTAAATATTTAGTGTCATAAATTATCCTCTCAGCACTGCTTTAGCTATTCCCACAAATTTTAATATGTGATATTTTCATTTTCTTTCAGTTCAATGTATTTTTAAATTTCCCCTGAAACTTCCACCATGAGTTATTTAAAATTGTGTTCTTTAATTCCCTAGGATTGGGAAATTGTCCTGTTATCTTTCTTTTATTGATTTCTAAGTTGAACTCCATTGTGGTCAGAAAAAAGATTCTGTATGAAAAAAATCCAATGCTTTTAAATCTGTTTAGGTTGTTTTATGGCCCAGGATAGAGTCCATCATCGAGAATGTTTCATGGGAACTTGAAAAAAAAAATGTATTATGTTTTTGGGTGGAGTGTTCTACAAATATCCAAAGATCCTGTTAGGTAGTGATAGGGTTGTGTTTTCCTAGATTCTTGCTGACTTTTGTCTAGCTATTCTATCAATTCTTGACAGAGGGGTGTTGAAGTCTCCAACTATAATTGTGTATTTAGGTATTTCTTCTTTCAGTCCTTACTGTGCAGACTTCACATATTTTTCAGCTCTATTATTTAGTATATGTACATTTGTCTTCTTGGTGAGTTGCTCTTTTATCATTGTATAATGTTCCTGTCCGCCTGTGATATCTCTTTGTTCTGATATACAATTATTTTAATTTTTCGTAATATATCTTTTTTCACAGATTTGAAGGGATACATACACCCAGATGTTTATAGCAGCCTTATCAACATTAGCCAAACTATGGAGAGAGCTTAAATGTCCACCAACTGATGAGTGGATAAAGATGTGGTATATATGTACAATGGAATATCACTCAGCCATCAAAAAGAATGAAGTCTTGCCTTTTGCAATGACGTGGATGGAGCTACGGTATATTATGCTAAGTGAAATAAGTCAGTACCATATGATATCACTCATATGTGGAATTTAAGAAAGACAGATGAACATATGGGAAGGGAGAAAAGAAAAAAAGGAGAGAGGGAAACAAGCCATAAGAGACTCTTAATGACACAGAACAAACTGAGGGTTGGTGGAGGGAGGTGGGTGGGGGATTGGCTAGATGGGTGATGGGTATTAAGGAGGGCACTTGTGATGAGCACTGGGTGTTATATGTAAGTGATGAATCACTGAATTCTACTCCAGAAACCAATTTTGCACTGTATGTTAACTACCTAAAATTTAAAAATATCTATCTATGTCTATATCTACATATCTACATCTCCACAGACATAGATAAATAGATATCTTTTTTCATCTTTTCACTTTCAACCTGTCTACATCATTCTTTTTGATGTGAGTTTCTCCTAGAAACATCTCATCATAGAAATATCTCATAGAGACCTAGCAGCATATGGTCAGGCCAAGTTTTAAAATCCACTCTGCCAATCTCTGCCTTTTAATTAGTGTATTTAGATTATTTATATTCATGACTTTATTGATGTGCTATGACATAAGCCTGTAATTTTACATGTTTTTTTTCTTTTTTGCCTCATTTTTCCCAACTTGCTATGGGTTCCTTGAACTATTTTTAGGATCTCATTTTGAGTTATCCCTGGCATTTTTTTTAGTGTATCTCTATGTATAGCATTTTAAGTGGTTGCTCTGGATATTACATTATACATACATAATTCATCACAGACTACTGGCATTGATATCAGTTTGAGTGAAGCACAGAAAATTCACCTCCCTTTATACCCCTATCCTCCTTTATTTAAAATATAAACATCTTGGGGTGCCTGGGTGGCTCAGTCAGTTAAGCATCCAACTCCTGGTTTCAGCTTGGGTGATGATCTCAGGGTCATGGGACCCAGACCCACAACAGGCTCTAGGCTCAGCACAGAGTCTACTTGTCCCTCCCCCTTTGCCCCCGCCCCTTGCTCTAGCTCATGCACATGTGCTCTCTCTCTCCAAAATAGATGAATAAATTTTTTTTAAAAAAATTAAAAAATAAAATATAGTCTTAAATATTTCCTACATATTTAGAACACATTAGACAGCTTTATCATTTTTGCTTCAACCATCAAATATAACTTAGAAAACTCAAAATGAAAAGGAAAATCCATTGTATTTATCCATGCTTTAACACCTTCCATAGTTCTTTCTTCATTCCAGATTTTCACAATTTTCTTCTACTGTCATTTTTCTGTTTCAAGGACTTTGTTTAGGATTCCTTCAGGGTTGATCTGCTGTAGTCCAATTCTCACTGTTTTCCTTCATTGGTGACTGTCTTGATCTCCCCTGAATTCCTGAAGGATGTTTTCACTGCCTATAGAATTCTGGGTTTTCAGTTTTTTTCCAGTTGAAAACCGGTGTGCCTCTTCCGTCTCTGTCTGGCCTCCATGTTTTCTGACCTGAAATCACAGTCACTCACGTGTTGCTTTTCCCTCTCTAGGTGTCATATCTTTCTCACTGCTTTCAAGATTTTCTTCTGTGTCTTTAGTTTTCAGAGGTTTGACGATGATGTGTCTTGGTTTAGATTTCTTTGGGTATCTGGTTTATTCAGCTTCTTGAGTCTCTTTCTTGATATCTTTTGCCAAACTTGAAATGTTTCAACCATTATTT